AGTATTTAAACGAGTGACTGTAAATTTATGTTGTAAGTGTCAAAAATAATTAATGTGGGCTAAAGAATTACTAAGTGAGCGACTGAGTGCGAGTGACGAAAAATCAAAAGAACAGCAACTTACAAAAAAGAATTGAGTTCCTTAAAATACAAAATGAGAAGCTTCATAATATTTGAGCGACCTAATATTTGATTGAGTGTCAACGAAAAACTACTTTGAAAAATACTATTATGAGCAGCGTATTATGAGCCCACATTTAAATAAAAAATGATCTTATGAAATAAATATTTGACGGAACACTATTCTAGTAGCGAAAAAAAAAATCATTAAAATTTAAGGGTAGGTAATCAATCAAATGAAACAATGTATTACGAAAAATGAAATAAATTTAGTATTTTCTTAAATCGAATCAACAAAATAAAAAACAAAATAAAATAAGTCGCTTCTGTCAACCCAAAAAAAAGTAATCTTATTAATAAGGTTCATTGATTGGTACGTATGAGGATTGAGGAGCTCTACCTACTCATCGTCACTGTATGATAAGTGCTGGCTTGGACTTAGCGGGCCGGCCTCGTTTTCTTTTTTGTCCAATAGGTATCAGTTTTGCTTCCAGTGGCGGTGTTGTTAGTTTGAGCCTAATTGCTACACCCAAAACGTGTTTGCATACCTACATATTTTGTTAAAAATTCGGGACAGTCGCCCCGCCCCCATTCGAATTCGCGCGCTGTAACAATCTGTAGTTTTCATTAATAAAGCGTATCAAAATGAAAAACATGAGACCTCAAATATAATATCAGTAACCAATAAATCATTAATAAAGCAGCTCACAAAACTTTGCTTAGTAGGGANCGGTCGGCGCGCCGGTCGCGAAGGTGTCGCCCATGGTGGCGCTGTCGCTGCCCGGCAGCGAGACGTTGCCCGCCGCGTCCACGATGGTGGCGGTCACGGTCAGCGTCACGCCGTCCGCCGGACGGTCAAACTCGTAACCCACCTTGCCCGCCGTGATGTCGGCATCGGTCAACAGGCGGTCGGCCTGGCCGCTCACCTTGAGGGTGTCCCCGGCCTTGGCATCGCCCGGCAGGCTCACTTCCACGTCCACCTTGCCGCTGATCTCGGTGTTGCTGATGGTGCCGTCGTTGTTCACGTCTTCGGTGATGACCACGGTCGGCGCACCGGTCGCGGTGGTGTCGCCCATGGTGGCGCTGTCGCTGCCCGGCAGCGAGACGTTGCCCGCCGCGTCCACGATGGTGGCGGTCACGGTCAGCGTCACGCCGTCCGCCGGACGGTCAAACTCGTAACCCACCTTGCCCGCGGTGATGTCGGCATCGGTCAACAGGCGGTCGGCCTGGCCGCTCACCTTGAGGGTGTCCCCGGCCTTGGCATCGNGAATTTTTTTTCTTATAATTACTTCTCGTAAAGCAAACGTAATAACTTTTAAAGTAAGAGGTATAAGAAGTTCAAACGATCATTGCAAACATTGTGATAGGGATATAGACATGCGATTTTTGGTTTTACAAAGGTAATACGATAAAAAATAATACAAAGTAATAAAAACCACCTGTTATGGGGGCATTATTTGGAGAAATTTATCAAATAACCAAAAAAACACGAATTTTAAAGCGATTTTTTTCAAAAGGTATATTTTTTTTATTATTTGTTGGCATTTTCTAGGTATTTTATGTATTTTTTTAGTATCGCTTATTATTTAGCATTATTACTATTTTCATTTGATAAGGATATACCTCTTACTTTAAAAGTTATTACGTTTTCTTTACGAGAAGTAATTGGAAGAAAAAAAGTTCTATAAAAAATAATAAAAAAGTCTCAAAAAATTTTTGACCTCTTTTTTGTCGATAAAAATAGGTCTAGTTTCACCTATTTTCATATGTGCACTTTAACGTGACTCACACTGTATAATGAAGATTTTTCTCATGTATGGCTTTTACTGTTTTTTAATAATACAATGCTTAAATTAGTGGATTATAAAAAATCTTAAAAAAGTACTCGATTTATACAAAACATCGATGTTTTCTTCCAATACATCGAAAGAAATCGATGTACAGTTTCAAAATATCGAATCGAAAAAAACATCGATGTTTTTTCAAAGTGGACACCCCTACTGCTTAGAATTAACTTTTTTGTAGTTCGTTCAGTAAAACCTCAATTAGAAAAATCTAATGTATCTTCATATTAAAGTTGCCCTCTCTGTATTTCTAGTCGCTCACTTAGTAATTTAGTCGCCCGGATAGTATTTTTATGTCTGAAATGTAATAATCAAAACCCACATTTTGCAAGCTCGTTCTGGATTTTATTATTGATCAATATTCGTCGTTAGTTTGGTTAATTTTTCGCTTACTCAAATTCATACCGCTCAAGGTATAAACAGTATGCCATCATCAGTCGCAAAGTTTTTTTTTAGTCGCTCGTTTTATAATTCCCCTTTTGGAACTATACCTCAGGCACTGACGGAGTTAAAACGCTAGATTTATGATTTTTCAATGAATCACTTATTTAAAGTGTATGTCTGTCCATTCCCGTGTAGATCTTAGAATAACTGTTTGTATTAGACTGTAAACTGTTTGTATACCTATTACAAATAAATAAATAAATAACTATTTCTCATGTAAAGTGACTGTATGGTTTTTATTGAGAAATTTAAACGTTCTTTAAACTTATTACCTCTTACTAACTGCTGTCTCATAAACTAGAAACCTTGGTAGACTGGGAAAGATGGAGAAAGGGAAGCATAGTAATATTTAAATAAATAAAAACAACCAACTATTATAAATATAATAATATTTATTTTCTTCTGACGAGTCATTTTACAAATTAACAAAATTTCTCCGCGCCTTTTTCACTATATTTACAAATGTACTTGGACGCGGAGGAGATCTATGTACAAACAGACACGCGGGCCAGTCGACTATAGTGAACATATAAAATTAAGAAGTCATTTCAATAGGAAAGAAAACAAGAATTTCAGTGGTTTTATAGTAAAACATAAAATCAACAGTATGAAAATAATCTCAAAGTACGTAGAATAACTTTAAACAATACCAGAGATCAAGATTTGAAAAAAGCACTGGAGATCACAATTTTAATATTCAACATTTACAATTACAATTTCTCTAGTGCTTATTTCTACACGTTCATTGAAAACAAAAATTTTATCGACAATAACAAGTCTAAATAACAAAAGTATAATCAAAAAGTATCAGCACGACTCAATTTAAACAACTTATTATCAATAGTGTTCCGCTACATAACGTAGGCAAATGAGCCGTCGACATAGTATGTTCGCTGACCGCCACCGCGGGAGTAAAAGCTGTGAAACCCCTAAAACGCGGTTCCAAGCCGACCTGCGGTCATTCCTGCGGTCGCGTCGACTGGCCTTGCGGTATAGACCGCAAATCAAATTCGAGTTATCCATACCCTTAATTAAACAGTCAGATTCTACTATCAGTATACTCTTGAGAACTTCAAGGTGATACGGATATCGTGTGACGTTTCCTTAAAAATACGAGACTCTAAAATACATTATTGCTCCAACACTCTTGCTGAAGTGACTGTATAATAAATTATTATGCGTTTCCATCTAAATCGAGGCCTTTATGTATATCTATTTGAGTGCGTGTAGTTTTTTAAAAGTGCACAGTCCAAAACCGAATGCAGTGAAAAAAATGTAAAATAAACGTACCACTAAGGTATTCCCCGTTATTGTGGTCTTTTTTGTGAAAGACACAAGAATCACAGTTATTTTATTTATAATAAATTGAAATTTATTTGAAGATTTTATTGATTTTAGCCATCAAATATTATTGTGTTTAATGACAATCAATCTTTCTTTAAGGTGTGAAGTTACACATTATTTTATGTTTTGTTTGAAGATCAAAAATACTGTATAATTTCAAACAACAGATACTTTGGGCTAGCATCTACAAAAATGTAGTTTCTGAGCTACGGTCTAAGTTCTGCACTGCTTTTGTGTTATGTATAGTGGTTACAGCTAAAGAGGCTTGAAATCAAAATAATTTAAACATTTGGTGCGATACTATTTAATACGAAAATCTGGATTATCAGTCCAAACGGGCCTTTCTGTGCCTCATATAACAAAACAATTTGTAAAGATCGCAAGCTGATCACGTTAGACGTGCAACGGAGCCGTGGATCACATGTGATTCATGACCAAAAGGCCCAGAACACACGGAGAAACGCAACTGCAACGAAACCCTTTTGAAACCAGTTTCAACCATTTTCCACACACGCTGCAACCACAATCATTTCGGTTTTCTTTGAGAACAGACGTCTGTAAAATTAGTTCTTCGAGAGCGAGAGTAACTTTTTACACAAATGTAATGTTTTTTTGTTCGTCGTCAGCTATTTTGTACAAAAAAAGCCAAATCCGATGAATGAAACGCAACGCGAGTTTTCTACACGGCGGTTTCAATACGACTGATTTGCAACGCGTTTCAAACCGGTTTCAAACTGGCCGCGTCATGTGTGGTCTCTCAATTGACGCTATGGCAGAAACTGAGATGCAACTCAAAAGTAACTAGAAGTTGCAGTTGCGTTTCACTGTGTGTTCTGGGTCCAACTGTGTGGAGTGTTTATACACCACTAAATTTTAATCACCGAAAAAAAAAATTCTGGGTAATGAGTTATTGATACTGATCCCATTTGTGCAAAAAAAAGAGTAAAATAAAGTGACTCAAAATATCCTCCTAAAATTGGTAATTTATTGACACACGCGTCGCTAGCACTATTTAAGTACGATAATGTAACACTTATTAGAATTAAAACTGGTCTAAGTTAGCTAAGTATGTAATAATAACACTGGAAGCGTGGTCGAGGCGTGAGCGAGACAGACAGACTGATCGGGGCAATATGCGAGCGCGTACGACTACTCTAGCGAGCAGCGGAGTGACCCAGCTGTGACGCGTAAAATACGGACTAACGAAAATTTAATAAAAAAATTAACTTCATGAAAACCATTTCTTTTTCTTTTGCTTTGAATATTCCACACGTTTCTACATAACCTGTTAAAATTTTTTCGGTGATAAAAATTTAGTGGTGTATAGTATGTACCGCGTTTATAACACCAGCGTGTTTGAGATGCAAGTCAGCGCACGTGCACGCTCGGCCACAGCGCGAGCTTGCGTCGGCGCGCGTCGTGCAAGGCCGCGTGCGTGGCGCGTGCACCGGCCAGCGCGCCGGGCCGGTAGAGCCTTAGCGGCCGGAAGGATAGCAGCCTCAAGTCGCTGCTCAGCTGGCATTCCGAATGGTCGTGAAGACGCGGCGGCTTCCGGCGCTGGTGGTGCGAGTGAGGCGGTGCACTGCCTGGTGCCACGTTTAGAACGTAGCCGCCGCATTTCCGCGCGTTTCGCACTAGAAACACTGGTTTGTTCGTGCGAGCGGGCGGCGCGTCGGCTCGTGCGAATCTCTCCGCGTATAGCGACCAGGCGCACGCTCGAGCGACACCAGTGTTGCCAGCCGCCGTCGCTCGACGCTAAACAGAAAACGGACGCATTGATAGGAGCGCACCAAACGGGAGAAGCTCGGCGACTTTGCTTGTAACTGCAAATTGTACGCATGCATTTTTAAGCGCAACTTTATTTTAATTACAATTATTTAGTCATACACATCGAATACGATTCATGCCAAGTTTTTACTTTATACAGGGTGTTAGGTAAATGGGTATATGAGCCGACACTAGCCCATGTTAACATGGGCTTATAAATGGTACGGTGAAGTCAGAAAATTGATATCTTCATTTTAATTATTTTAATTTTCATACAAATCTGATTTTATACAATTTATTTTGTATGAAAATTTAAATGATGATATCAAACTTCTGACTTCACTATACCATTTATATGCCCATGTTAACATGGGCTAGTGTCGGCTCATATACCCATTTACCTAACACCATGTATTACTACAATATGCGCATGCATTTCATTCTACTAATTACATACTTAGACTTGATTTTTTAATACATTTACTACTATGAATCACATATTATGATTCATGTCCAGTTGTAAGTTTGTATAAGTATTTTTTTGTAAATTTGTAGCTATGCAAAGCAAAGTTGCCGAGCTAATTTCTAATAACATAGGAGCAGAATCAGAAATCGGATGAAATCAAAACATCGAAGACGCAAGGAATAAATAGGCATAGGTTCAACGAAATAGGAACTTTGCATTTGTTTTGATACATTATTTAGTGTTTTTTAAATATGACCATTTCTAATCTACAGGGTGTTAGGTAAATGGGTATATGAGCCGACACTAGCCCATGTTAACATGGTCATATAAATGATATGGCGAAGTCAGAAAATTGATATCTTCATTTTAATTATTTTATTTTTCATACAAATCGGATTTTATAAAATTTATTTTTATGAAAATTTAAAAAATTAAAATGATGATATCAAATTTCTGACTTCACCATACCATTTATATGCCCATGTTAACATGGGCTAGTGTCGGCTTATATACCCATTTACCTAACACCCTGTATACTAATATTATAAATGCGAAAGTAACTCTGTCTGTCTGTCTTGCTTTCACGCCTAAACCACTGAACCGATTTTGATGAAATTTGGCATAGAGATAGTTTGAGTCCCAGGAAAGGACATAGGATAGTTTTTATCCCGGTTTTTGAAACAGAGACGCGCGCGATAAAGACAAAATTCCACGCGGGCGAAGCCGCGGGCGGAAAGCTAGTAATACAAATAAAAGCTAATTAATAAAATTAATAATAAATATCATTAATAAAATTAATTAGCTGCTCACAAAGGAGACACAATCTATGAGTCACATTTGACTCACGAAAGTTATAGTAAAAATATCATAATCAGAGATGTATTCTCAAGATGCACATCAATGATCTGCTCAAACCCGGTACCTTTGGGTATGCAGATGACACAACAGTGACAGCCAAATATCTTTCCACCGCAAAAGCCAGCGGGAGTGAGGTCGAGTCTTGTCGCGAGTCCCTTATCGAACGCTTAAATTTGGCCCTTCAGGATGTCTCTGATTGGGGCGATGCCAATCTGGTCCAATTTAACGCGTCCAAAACACAGGCGTGTCTGTTCTCCGCCAAACGAAGTCCATTTCGTCTGGCTCCAACATTCCGAGGTGTGCCTGTTAAAATCACCGAGCGACTCCAACTTTTGGGTATCGAAATGTCCAGCAAGTTGAACTTTGGCGAGTACATCGAATCCATAGCGAAAACTGCTGCCAAAAAACTTGGTATCCTCTCGAGGGCAAGGCAGTACTTCTCCAATAAGCAAAGGCTGCAGTTATATAAAGCACAGATCCGACCTTGCATGGAATACTGCTGCCACCTCTGGGACGGCTCTGCCAAGAAATATTTGGCTGCTTTGGATTCGGTGGAAAGGCGTGCCAGGAGACTAATCGACAGCCCGACCCTTGTTGAAGCGTCGCTCCAGGAACTTGACCACCGCCGTAAAGTTGCTTCTCTAACGGTTTTCTACAGGCTACACTTCGGAGAATGTGCGAAGGAATTATATAACNAAAAAAAAAAAAAAAAAAAAAAAAAAGATTTGTTTCTAGGTTCATTACCTACGCTTATGGCGTTTCCGTATTCAGTAAATATAACTCATAAGAAATTAGGTAAACTTGGCGACACACAGACAGTATTATTTTTACATATAGACAAATGCAAAGCTCAATATTCGTATCGCAAACTATACGACTACCTAATAACAAACTCAACAATAGACAGTAAAATGAGTACAATAAGTCTTTTATAGTCAAGAATATTGTATTTAAAATCAAACAAAATCAACCCTCAAATTACCTTTCAAATCAAATTCAAAACAAAATTCAAATATTTAATAATGAAATTCGTCCTACCATTTTTTCCCGCACAAACAATAGAAAAAATATATTTATAGAAACATATCACATGGGTTTTATAAATATCAAATTGTATTCAAAACAATCTAATCAAGGTATTTCTTATTATCTAATACTTATATTAGTCTTATTAAATGTATAAATTATGTAAACATAAGGTCAATGACATTGGAATGAATTTTGAGTTGTAGATTATTTTATGATACAAATTATAATGTTTTGATATTGCTTTTGCTTTGCAAATATATTTTATCATACTGATCTACCATACATCTTTTCGAGAGAGTAAATGGCTTCTTTGAAATAAAGCATGGATCAGTCAACTGGTGGTAAAATCATCAAAATTACTATAGTTTGGTTTCAATGTTGATTCTTTTTTATGAGCTGTCAAAACTACATTCTCCTACTTTGTACAACAAACAGAAACTAATGACGTCAAGTATTTACCAAATCAATTTATTGACACTGTAATATTACAGTCAATGAAAAAGTTACTGTGTTTAAAAAGAAGTGTTTCTAGAATCCATAATGTACAGAATGTCTTGTGCTGCTTCTTCTCAGCACTGTGCACTGACCCATTTATTGCGCCGAAGCAGTGGTAGGGTTAATACTGGGACTTGTAAAATTGCTTTTTAAAGCCTACTTGCAATAATAAAATATATATTATGAGGTCTCACAGTGCGCGTGGACGCACAGGGTCACACACGAACCAATCATAGCTCTATTCAACGCCGTGCGTTCTATTTGCTGCTTCACATAAGTAAGCATCGTTTGTGAATCCCGTTAGTTTTATGAGATGGTAAACGAGGCCCTTAATATGATTTTAATTATTTAATTTATTTAATGCAATTATTATTGAAATTTTATGGGCCCTGGCCTGAAATAAATGAATTTTATTTTTTACTAGCTGACCCGGCGAACTCTGTTCCGCCTTAAAGGCAATAAATAAGCCATCGCAATTTTTCCTTATTTGCTCACCGTTTAGACCTACCCTGGACTACGACAAACATTTTAAAACCAAAATCAGCTCAATCGGCCCAGCCGTTCTCGAGTTTTAATCAGACTAACGAACATCAATTCATTTTTATTTATATACACTTGCGAGCAAAAGTATGGAATCACTTACATGAAGTTGTTTCCACGCGATCTTGTGTACTAACCAATTTGTTAGTAACAAAAAAAGTAGCACCATTTTAAAGATTAAACTTTTAACTTTAAATTGATACCAAATTCATTTAAATCACACCAGTATTTAAAAAAATATCCCGGCTGATGTGAAGAAGTAAGGAAAAAGACATGTATCAACTGTTTGATACGTCGCGAGTTGCGGCCTATTTATTCCCCATAAAAGCAAGTGTTTTCAGATTTTTGCTTTCACACGTTGATCCATACACATCTCCGCTTCTTTTGACACTTTACCTGGGATTCTACACCTTCAGAAGCAGCACAAATTGTTGCATTTTTGCAAGAAGGGCTCAGCCAGCGGGCTGTCGCACGTCAGCTCCACATAAGCCAGTCCTGAGTTTCGAAAGTTTGAAGACGCTTTCAGGATACCGGTGGCTTTATCCCGAGACCAAGTTCTGAACATTGCCGGTGCACATCGCAGAGGGAAAACCGTTTTTTCATGTCAACTTCTCTACGAAATCGTCATTTGACTGGTATCGACGTCCAGCAAGAGCTCAGAAATGTTCGTAGGATAGCTGTTAGCAAGTGGACAGTTTGTCTAAGATATAAACAACAGAATTTGACTCCAAAAAGGCCTGCCACAGGCTTGAAACTGACGGCAGGTCACCGATAAGTACGCTTTCAATTTGCTCCTACACATCTCGATCGGAAGTCGAGCAAGCCACCCCCATAAGCCAATGTTTTAGCGAACCAGCACTGCACAAATCGCTCCCTAGGCCGTCTATTGACCCGACCTCTTCGACTGCTGCACAGCAAAAACATTCTGCATTCATCGGAGAACAAAACTCGCCTCCATTACTCGCCTTCCGAGTGCGACCTAATTGAAAGCGTGCTTGTCGGTGACCTGCCGTCAGTTTCCAGCCTGTGGCAGGCCTTTTTGGAGTAAAATTTTATTGCTCATATCTTAGACGAACTGTCCACTCGCTAACAGCTATCCTACGAACATTTCTGAGCTCTTGCTGGACGTCGATACCAGTCAAATGACGATTTCATAGAGAGGTTGACATGAAAAAACGGTCATCCCTCTGCGATGTGCACCGGCGCTGTTGAGAACTTGGTCTCGGGATAAAGCCACCAGTCTCCCAAAAGCGTCTTAAAACTTTCGAAACCCAGGACTGACTTATGTGGAGCTGACGTGCGACAGCCCGCTGGCTGAGCCCTTCTTGCAACAGTGCAACGATTTGTGCTGCTTCTGTAGGTGTAGAATCCCAGGTAAAGTGTCAAAAGAAGCCGAGATGTGTATGGATCAACCTGTGAACGCAAAAATCCGAAAACACGTGCTTTTATAGGGGTAAATAGGCCGCAACTCGCGACGTATCAAACAGTTGGTACATGTCTTTTTTCTTACTTCTTCACATCAGCCGGGATATCTTTTTAAATACTGGTGTGATTTAAATGAATTTGGTATCAATTTAAAGTCAAAAGTTTAATCTTGAAAATGGTGATACTTTTTTTGTTACTAACAAATTCGTTAGTACACAAGATCGCGTGGAAACAACTTCATGTAAGTGATTCCATACTTTTGCTCGCGAGTGTAGATACATTTATTTTTTAATTTCTTCACAAGTCTCAAAATTCATACCAACGCTGACACATATAACTAAGTATAATAAATACGTAGTTAACGTACCTGGTTGGTAGGCGAAAGTCGGCTGGCGTCGTTATTGTGTTGTGACGGCGATCGGCGGCCCTCGCCCGGCGCTTCTAGCAGCTCGAACGTCACTCGGCACTCGTCGCCGCCGTACTGTGGAAGAGAATGGTATTGTTAGTATGTTAGGGAACCTTTTAAAATTATTCTCCATACCAGGGGTTCCCAAAGTATGCGCCGTGGTGCCCTGGTGCACCGTAGAAAGTAAAGAGGGGCGCTGCGAGTCAATCCTTTATGTCGAGTTGGCGCTTCCGCTTGAACCGTTCATACCCACGTCTTTACCTGCTCGTCTTTGTATCTTTTCAAAAGGATAGGACCACTTCATAGACAGAGCTTCACTGGATACGGGTAGTACAGGCCCGGTCATTGTGCAAATCCTTCGGGAAGGCCTCTGTTTAGCAATGGACGTCGTTCTTGGATGGATTCTCTATAATTTACCAGAGGCAAAAAGAGGACTTGGCCTACTCGTACTTCGCGACTGTGCGACCGGCGCCCGCAGTGAGTGTGCGAGCGCGACAGCAACATAATTACGCGCGAGCGATAAGGATGGGTAGCTTGGGGTCATTGGACAAAATTCTACGTGCTCGCAGACCAGACTATAGTATACTCACTGGGTCTTTGCATAACTCAGGGTTTGCAACAGTAGTAAGGACCTCGGGCCCTAGTTTTTTTTTGCGGCATCTAGCGAATATTTGCTACTAAATCTTGCTCTAGTAAACATCACAAATATACTCACGACTTTAACAAGGAACGCGTTGTGGTCGTGTCGCAGATATCTGGCAGCTCGGCGCACGTAGCCCAGCGGCCCGCGCATGCCGTCCCGGGCGCACAGCTCAGCGGCGCGCACTGACCACGGCTCCGACACACAGTGCTGCAGCTGAAAGGATATAGCTCGGTTATTATTACCTTCTAAGTCATACAAATAAACAAGCAAATTTAAGTCGTAAAGGTATAGATGACCCACGCTGAACTGTCCCACCAAACTCAATGACAGGAGGGCGCTACCATCGTTCAACTATATGGTTTCCAACATGGCAAAAATCGGAACTAGCGATCCGGGATTGACGGTGGCGCCCCACTGTCAATGTCATGCATAGGACAGTTCAGTATTTTGGAACTATACAGGGTGTTAGGTAAATGGGTATATGAGCCGACACTAGCCCATGTTCACCATAAATGGTATGGTGAAGTCAGAAAATTGATATCTTAATTTTAATTATTTTAATTTTCATACAAATCGGATTTTATAAAAAATATTTTGTATGAAAATTAAAAAAATTAAAATGATAATATCAAATTTCTGACTTCACCATACCATTTATATGCCTATGTTAACATGGGCTAGTGTCGGCTCATATACCCATTTACCTAACACCCTGTATATCATTTCCTGCAAATAAGCTTTAAAAACGCTTCTACAAAAGACAATGCTGGAAATTGGCGCCTTTTTTGGCGCGGCCTTCTACCAAACTTTGTTTTTATATTTATTTTATTTGTACAAAAAACACATACAGAGAAGAATCAACAAGGTACATTTACAACCAACAATAAATCTAGATTGTAATCCAAAAAAGTGTTTCTTCTGTTATATTACAAAATAGTATAATAAACCAAACTTACTATTTTAACATGTATACCTGTAAACTCAATCTGAACTGAGTTACGAGCGTTAGAAGTTTGATGACTAGGTTTGGTCGATGGCCGCGCGAAAAAAAGGCGCCACCCTTCCATACAAAATCTGGCATTGACATTTTGGTGTGATTTTATCCACCAGTTTCGAGGAATAACCGACTGCGCTAGTAGAAAAAATGATCTTTTTTCCTGAGTCATAATTCTGTTAGAAATAAAATTAATACTCCTAGGTGTTACTATGAAGACGTCAGTAGGAAGGCAGCATGCGTATATCAACACTGGCATTCAGTGAATTGCACATCGCATGTGTTTACATCATTATCTTCATTATTAATAAATAAATAAATTATGTATTTTATTGTAAAGCATAGCAATTTAAACCAAGAGCCATTTAGCAATAGCAGAATTGGATTATCGGATATTTGATTATTTTTTTAATTAATCAAAGTAAATACAGTAAAAAATTTACAGTTGACTACAACTGTCGCGATCTTCAAATCGATATTCTAAGGTTGGGTTGCTATATCAATTCTCAATCAAAATTCGTCCTTCGACTGTCAAATTCTGTTTTCGATCAAATATCTATAATTTTCGATGCATTTACACTTTTATATTGCTTGAAATAGTCTTACAAACAATATGAAAATGTATAAACATCGAAAACCGTTGATATTTCTACCAAAAACATAATGAAATGTCGGACGGATTTGGATTGGGCTTGATTATGGAAAATAGGATCCTTATGCCTGTTTTCACCATCAATCCCAAATTTTTAAGTGACCCCTATGTAATCAAAATTCATGTATGTTACCATAGGTGTCACTTAAAAATTAGGTTCGTTCGTTTCAGCCAAATGACGTCCACTGCTGGACAAAGGCCTCCTCCCAAGGTTTTCCACAATGCACGGTCCTGCGCTGCCCGCATCCAGGCTCTTCCCGCGACCTTTACCAGATCGTCGGTCCACCTAGTAGGAGGCCTGCCCACGCTACGTCTTCCAGCCCGTGGTCGCCACTCGAGAACTTTCCTGCCCCAACGGCCATCGTCTCTACGAGCTATGTGCCCCGCCCACTGCCACTAGATTTTAGCAATTCTGCGAGCTATGTCGGTTACTTTGGTTCTCCTGCGGATCGAAAAATAAGGTATTGATAGTGAAAACAGACATCAATCTACTAACCTGCCTAACAGCGATAGACACCAGCTTATCCAGCGTATACGCAGGATAGGCTTTGATGCCCAACATTTCCCTTGCGGCGTCTTCGTAGGCCGCCGGCTCGGTATTGCCATCTAACACTCCTTTGACCAGCTCCAGGAGTGCGTTGTAATAGTCCGCTGGGGAGGTCACGTCCGCTGGTAGGTCTGTGGAAGATTGGACGTAGGTAAGTAAAGATATAGGAAGGTAAAATTGCAATTGTGACACTTTATACTAGATCTATCAATGAGGGTTTTCGCGTATATCCGCCAGATAGACGTCGCGTAGACGCGAGGTCCAAATGCTGCATGATTGGTTATTTTTGACATGACATTGACAGTATTTGACAGATATGTCAAAATCCACCTATCACGCAGCAGTCAGTCCCGCCATCTAGCGGATCTTTCATACGCGAAAACCCTCATTAGGCTGGGTTGCAACACTTTAACTTCAACAAATGTCAAAAATCTGTCAAACTAATAAAAAAACCGGCTATCGTTAAAGTAAAATTAGGTGGTGCAACTAAGCCTAAGACTAGAAAACATCAGTAGGAAGGCAGCATGCGTATATCAACACTGATATTCAGTTATTTGCACATCGCATGTGTTTACATCATTGTCTTCTAGTATTTCTAACAGAACAAGTTGTGATAAAATGTTGGTCATAATAATATTTACGTGGGGTATCGCATGCACGAGATATTACAAATATTGTGTATGCCTACTACTCTTCATAGATTTGAATACCGTTGTGAACGCGCGTGGTTTAACATTCTTACGCAACCACAATACTTCATCATTCCCCAGCGCGAAGACGGCAAACAAATAGTCTTAACGCTATCACTATTCGTGTTACTGCCGTTTCAGCATTTACGCCATGGCGACTCTAGATACCTAGATGCACGGTGCACGCACGTAACGTCAATGTAACATTCTTAACGCAATCACAAAACGGGAATGTGTAACACAAAAGTCTTAATAACTTACAGTTAGCCTATGCCTAGATGCGCGGCGCTCATCCCTGGTCACACCCACCTAGCACTAATATAACAATCTTAACGCAATCACAATTCACTACTCACTGTTAGGCTTGAGCCGCAACGCCGTAGCCACACTAGGGTGCCTGGCGGCGCGGCGCTCTGCGTCCGCCAAGGCCGAGGCAGTCCGTAGGGCTCCGGCCAGTCGCTGGCACACTGCTGCGTGGAGCCGCAGGAATAGGTACCATGATGATGTGCAGACGAAGCGCGCCTCCTGGGACCAACAGTGTGGTTATTATACAGATATAAAACAATTGAATAGAAAGTATTTATTTGTGTCAATAAAGGTTAGATTTACAAGTCATCACAGTGTGCAACAGTGGTATGAAACAAAAAGGTCTATGACCCAGTGATTGTAGGAGAGCCAGTAAGAGCAAGGTTTTGAACCTTGAAGGCAATAAACAACTTCTTAAGGCCGGGTAACAGAGAAAATGGCGAAAATGAGGTTTTCATTTTTCATTTTTGAGGTACTAAACAGTAAAATAAAAGGCTAAGATTTTTTTTGGGCATAGTTGAGGATATTTTCTAGGGCTATTAACGGATGGAAACACGATTTGATGAAGTTGACTCGATAGAATAAATTCCCAAAGTTACCTCTATTCGTTTTCTAATAATGGTTTTATTTTTAAAATAAGCGATTTGAGATTCTGAATCTTTTACTAAACTAAAGTTCAGAAATAACTTGAGGGCTTTTAACGGATGAAATTTTTATATTGCGTCTTATTTAGTTACTATGTTAAAAAATGTGGAAAAAATCGCCCATGACGGCTTGGACAATCTCAATCAGTCGCGCGGTGGCGCTTACGGAGGACGGACGCGTGCCAGTTTTTTGGCCGTGACAGTTCTCGATTTGTCAATATTTTTGACAATGATGACTTTGATGAGTCACAGTATAATAATACCAGTGTTACTGGAGAAAGCTAAAATTTTTGATAATTAAGAATTCTGAATTTTGTCTACCTATTGAAATTTAAATCGTTGGCATCCTTTTAAACTAAGACTCTACTCATGATACATTCCTCAAATATGAGACAAAACCAATGAGTTAAAATTACATTTTAATAGTACCTACATACAATCGTCTTCACTCTTTAGAAGAGCACACTGACACAAATAAATAATAAAAAATTAGGTCAGTGGGTCAAATATAGGGGCAGCTGCACGTCACTGAAAGACGATTCTGTTTACTCGGCATCTGGGCTGGAGAACATGAATCCTTGCTTACAGATGCAGATGTAAATAGAGTTATAATTGGACAAATTTTACATGAAATGTTTAACAGAACTCAGTTAAAAGACACATACATGGAATACCAATAAGGTTGCGGAGGGAAAGCTACCTATTATAAACTAGCGGCCGCCCGCGACTTCGTTCGCGTGGACCTCGTTTTACCCCCGTTAGATATGATGTTTTACCTCATTTTACCCATGTTGATAGATGGCGTTTCACGGTTTCCCCCGAATGAATATTTACGAACGTCATACCGTAGTTTGTCCAGTGCTGTAGATTTTAACCAATGACGATAGATGGCGCTTTTAGACACGTCTTATTTATTTATTGAAATTTATTTGCCACATATCGTCATAATGTTAATCTGGGTTATAAACAATAATACTGTAAAGTTTCAACAAAATCCGTTCAGTAGTTTTTGCGTGAAAGAGTAACAAACATCCAGACATCATGACATCCAGACATCCAAACTTTCGCCTTTATAATATTAGTAGGATATTTCACAATCCAAACTAATATTTACTATTTAGCATTTACTTACAGTAAATATTAGTTTGGATCGTGAAATATTTAAAATAAAAAAAAGAATAAAACAAAATAGGGTTTCAAATTACCTATCTATAATCTAATATTATAAAGAGGTAAAGTTTGTGTGTTTGTATATTTGTTAAATTGTAAGGGGTAATCTCGGGATCTACTGAACTGATTTTAAAAAATCTTTCACCAATAGAAAGCCACATTATATCTGAGTGTAATAAGTTATATAAAAACCAAAAAATTCCACGCGGGCGAAGCGGCGGGCGGAAAGCTAGTTTATTTATAATTATGTAAGAGCATAATTATTAAAGTCGAAGTCAAACATTCTTTATTTGTGTGGACCTATATTAACGAGAGATTACAAGAGATTACAAGGCGTCAAATATTTCAAGAAAAAAATTAAAAACTATTATAAAGCTAAATTTTGCTCTCATGGAGCCTTTACCTACTCTGACAAATTAAGACTTAGAGAAGAAACTAATAATAAAACTATTTAACTGTCCTGCAATGAAAAGCTTGATCGGGTACAACACCTCAAGTTATTTCAGAACTTGATTTCATTAAAAGACTCCGAATATCAAATCGCTTAGGTATCTAAAGTCAAACGATTCTGAAATGTCAAGTGGACTAATGAATAACCCATTAAGATAGTAGCGCCCTCCTGTCAATGACATACCTGGAACGATAGAGTTTTGAACAACTAATAAAAATGCTTTGTCCTAAATGACTGACGGATATCGTAGAGACCTGAAAGTTGGAAGGTGTGTTCTTTTTATGACGTAGGCATCTCATAAGAAAAGATTTTCCGAAATGGGGTCATGAAATGAAGGGGGTGAAAAAAGGGGGCAAAGTTTGTATGGGACAAAGTGATTCCTTGGTTCAATCTACTTGAAATTTAGTTTAACAATACCTTAATATAATTCATGAAAGACGTGTGGAACGGGTAGAAATTAATTTTGGCAGTCATTTTCTTCGAAGTTGATATCAATACTACTTAGTGCCTTTGATTTAATAACTTTTTATTTTTACAAGTGTTTGAAAACTCCATTTCAGATTGTGTTCAATGTCAAGTGAAATCTCAAATTGAAATGTCTCAATCTCAATGAGGAGACTCTGTATTTATTCCTAGAATTCCCCAAACACCGTCAAATTACCCTTTCGAATTCAAGACAGTGCAGTTTCCCATTAGTCTGCTTCGTAATGACTATAAACAAAGCTCAAAGTCAAACTCTAGGGACCTCTGCTTAAACTCTCATGAGTGCACAGAGGTACGCAGGTAACCGCGTGTGATGCTTATAGCAATTTTCGATAGGTACAGAACCCCGTACATTCGTCATACATATTATAGAAAGAAAACACCCAGACCAATACAAACAAATATGTTTCTGCAATTTAAGTATGATATTTTTATTTATTAATAAACAAAGAGACTGAACAAAATTGATGCGTACCTATACTGATTAATGTTATTAACCACATGCAAAGCTTCGTGAATTGCAACAACTACACTTGCGAGCAAATGTATGGAATCACTTACATGAAGTTGTTTCCACGCGATCTTGTGTACTAACCAACTTGTTAGTAACAAAAAAAGTAGCACCATGTTAAAGATTAAACTTTTAACTTTAAATTGATACCAAATTCATTTAAATCACACCAGTATTTAAAAAGATATCCCGGCTAATGTGAAGAAGTAAGGAAAAAGACATGTATCAACTGTTTGATAACGTCGCGAGTTGCGGCCTATTTACCCCCCATAAAAGCACGTGTTTTCGGATTTTTGCTTTCACACGTTGATCCATACACATCTCCGCTTCTTTTGACACTTTACCTGGGATTCTACACCTTCAGAAGCAGCACAAATCGTTGCACTATTGCAAGAAGGGCTCAACCAGCGGGCTGTCGCACGTCAGCTCGACATAAGCCAGTCCTGGGTTTCGAAAGTTTTAAGACGCTTTCGGGAGACTTGTGGCTTTATCCCGAGACCAAGTTCTGAACATTGCCGGTGCACATCGCAGAGGGAAAACCGTTTTTTCATGTCAACTTCTCTACGAAATCGTCATTTGCCTGGTATCGACGTCCAGCAAGAGCTCAGAAATGTTCTTAGGATAGCTGTTAGCAAGTGGACAGTTCGTCTAAGATATAAACAATAGAATTTGACTCCAAAAAGGCCTGCCAGAGGCTTGAAATTGACGGCAGGTCACCGATAAGCACGCTTTCAATTTGCTCCTACACATCTCGATGGGAAGTCGAGCAAGCCACCCCCATAAGCCAATGTTTTAGCGAACCAGCACTGCACAAATCGCTCCCCAGGCCGTCTATAGACCCGACCTCTTCGACTGCTGCACTGCAAAAACAGTCTGCATTCATCGGAAAACAAAACTCGCCTCCATTACTCGCATTCCGAGTGCGAGCTGATTGAAAGCGTGCTTGTCGGTGACCTGCCGTCAGTTTTCAGCCTGTGGCAGGCCTTTTTGTAGTCAAATTTAATTGCTCATATCTTAGACGAACTGTCCACTCGCTAACAGCTATCCTACGAACATTTCTGAGCTCTTGCTGGACGTCGATGCCAGTCAAATGACGATTTCATAGAGAGGTTGACATGAAAAAACGGTCATCCCTCTGCGATGTGCACCGGCGCTGTTCAGAACTTGGTCTCGGGATAAAGCCACCAGTCTCCCAAAAGCGTCTTAAAACTTTCGAAACTCAGGACTGGCTTATGTGGAGCTGACGTGCGACAGCCCGCTGGCTGAGCCCTTCTTGCAACAGTGCAACGATTTGTGCTGCTTCTGTAGGTGTAGAATCCCAGGTAAAGTGTCAAAAGAAGCCGAGATGTGTATGGATCAACGTGTGAACGCAAAAATCCGAAAACACGTGCTTTTATAGGGGGTAAATAGGCCGCAACTCGCGACGTATCAAACAGTTGGTACATGTCTTTTTTCTTACTTCTTCACATCAGCCGGGATATCTTTTTAAATACCGGTGTGATTTAAATAAATTTGGTATCAATTTAAAGTTAAAAGTTTAATCTTTAACATGGTGCTACTTTTTTGTTACTAACAAATTGGTTAGTACACAAGATCGCGTGGAAACAACTTCATGTAAGTGATTCCATACTTTTGCTCGCGAGTGTATAATTAAATTTATTATCCAAGCTCTAAATAATCGCTACTAAGAGTAACTTATCATAAAAAAAAATTCCAATCGCTCAAGCTCCCAAGGGTCTACCGATAGGTCGGGTGACGTAATCTTGAAATTCTTTAAGCCGGCGCAGAACTTCCAGAAGGTCGGGCGACGCCACGGCCACTTTGAACAGTGTTTACTTCTGCAGTTATATTTTATATTTATTCGATTCTAGAATATATTCCCAAAAAGTCTGAAAGGTGTATTAATTTGTACCACTTGGATATGATTTCTATTAGAAAGTGTTGTGAGTGTGACGCTTGAAGGGAAGGAAGTCAACCTACCCTAACCAACTGCGTATTTCTATACTGTGTAGCTGGAAATTGTGGCGGGAGCTCTTTGACGCGCTGTTTTCGGCGAAGAATTGCGCGCGCAGATTTTGACAGCGCGAAATACCTACTTTAGAAGAAATACCAAGCCTTAAAGGAATAATAAACAACATCATAAAGACATAACTGCTTTTTTACACCTCCACAAGATAGCAATGCCTATAGACAAAGTAACATTTGCAACAGGCTTAGTTTTATGATTGGTTCACGTAACAAGTTGATGAACCAAAAAAAGCTTATTTTTTAACCCAATATTTGGTTTACATAGGCCACGGAGAATGAGATTACTCACACCAATGAAAGACATTTATATTTACATTTAGAAACACCATAACACAGAATAACTACTGACAAATTATTTTTAAAACAAAAATAGTTTATCTTTAAGGTAACATGCTATAAAAACATCAAAATGGGTATGTTAATCTCCAATTTTTTTTACAGATTACAATCAAAAATATATTTTACATTCAATAAAAGCACAAACTTACATTTGGCGGGTGATCTCTGTAGTCCAGATCGCTTTCCTGCTTGATATCGTTCTTTATGGACGTGTCTTCGTTGCTGCTGCTCCGTTTCACGCTGTTTGTTGCACTCACTGGCTCTGAAAATGGATTGATATGTTAAAAATTTAATAAACATCATAGAAAACAAACGAAAAAGTTGTTAATTTGTTTGGAGCATCTCTACAAATGGAGTGTTTGCAACGGGTCCGACAGAGAATATCATCATCATTTCAGCCATAGGACGTTTGCTGCCGAACATAGGCCTCCCCCAATCAGAATATGCACTTCACAAAATGCGCACTTTTTATACAAATGTAATTGCTGAAGAGTTTGCATAATATTAGAATGGAAAAGTGCGCTTTTTGCCTAGTGCACATTCTGTATCTCCTAGAAATGGAAGTACATATTTGTAATCGATTTATTATAGTATGAAATGAAGAGACATCAGTAGGAAGGCAGCATGCGTATATCAACACTGACATTCAGTGAATTGCACATGGCATGTGTTTACATCATAGTCTCGTAATGTACTAAATAAATGACGAGTTACATAATTAATTTTATTTACTACGATCAAAGTTTAGATATGATGTCGCAGGTTCAATTCAAACTGTACATAAAAATAATTTCGAAAACGACATTCGACAACAATCAAATAGCAAGAATAAAATGTCGTAAGCTGAGATATTTTCTGAAACATCGTTAGTATTTGGGGGTCATTCAACCCTCTCTCATAACAGACATGAGTGACAGAGATAGCTTTTTTTAGGCTTTCTCTGGATGGCTTAAAGGGAGCTGCACCGGTTGGAAGAGGCCAACTAAATAAATGCTTATGTTAGCTTAAATGTATAAAAAATGTTTACCTTTACTGTCTGTATTGTTGTTGTTCTTAGGTTTGTTTTCTTTGTCATTCTTGTTGTTTCTGCTGCTCTTGTCTGATGCGGCATCCGATTCTGATGACTGTTGACAAATTAATTACAAATTATTGTAGTTCTTTAAGAATTTTAATGTATAAATATAGTAAAGCACTTTACATTAAGGTTGTATAGTTCTACAATCACTAGAGAGTTAGTTTCCGTCCTAACTTCATATCCTGGGCACGGGGAGCGATGCCTTACAACCATTGCTTTCCACCCTCACAGCATTTTTATAACAAATTAGCTAAATTCTATGTAGGGTGATTGCTATAGTAATGAGCCTATACAGTTATTGGCATATTGGATTGTTAATAAGTAAAAGACAAAAATATTTACTACATTGGACTGCATATTGCTCAGAAAAAATATTTGTGTCTTTTACTCTCTTAATAACTTCCATTAGGCTTGTTTCTTTTCATTTTAGGCAAGTTGGCCAATAACTATGTATTGGCTAAATACTATAGCGATCACCCTATGGTAGGTATGGACTGGAAAAAACTTCTAAAAGGAATTTAATTTTTATCATTTCTATTCCTTGTTTTAGAGCTACATTTCGTACGATACATTATGTCACGTTTATTTAGTAAACAAATCTATTTCTATGTCTTTCGTATGCGTATAAATAGATTGGTTTAGCGGGTACAGCAAGTTGAAAACTTGTTTTTGTCTAATTTAACGTGAAAATTAAGCTGTAGAAAACTAAGACAAAGAGACATCAGTAGGAAGGCAGCATGCGTATATCAACACGGATATTCTGTGGTTTGCACATCGCATGTGTTATCATCATAGTCTCATGTACACTTAACACTTTAACAGCAATTCTAAACTATAGGTTTTAACTAAGTCAGTGTCTAAGGTATGATATAGTTCCAAAATACTGGACTGTCCTATCGATGACATTGACAGTGGGGCGCCACCGTCAATACCGGATCGCTGGTTCTGATTTTTGCCATGTTGGAAACCATATAGTTGAACGATGGTAGCGCCCCCCTGTCATTGAGTTTGGTGGGACAGTTCAGCGTGGGTCATCTATAGCGGCACGGGAGGTTTTTGTGACGGTCAAACGTCACAGAACTGACGGTTAACCGTCTCTGTGGTCTAGTAATAAGACCACCTGCTTCATACGCAGAGGTCCCGGTATCGATTCCCAGTGGGGGCAGATCTTCTGTTCGGTTTGGTTGGTGGTAGGGCTTGTTCTAAGTCCGCCTGGCTAGCTACCACCATCTTACCTAAGTCTGTCGCCATAAAAAGAATTTTAACAGCATTGTTGTGTTCCGGCAGTTAGAGGTAAGATAGCCAGTTCCTCCGTGGTTGAGGATTCAGGGTGAAGCTCGCTTCCACCTTCGGCCTGATCGTCACTTACCATCAGGTGAGATACAGGCCAAGAGCTTCCTCGTTGTGGATAAAAAAAAAGATTTGTGTGCTCCGTCACGTCATAATATGTCAATGTCACCCCTCCCATGCCGCTTCCAAACCTCAGGCACTGACTGAGTGCCAGACCTATAACAGTAATTCTAAACTAGCATTTACCTCTTGCTTCTCTTGCTTGACATTCGACCCGTTGTTGGTTTTTTCGTCGGCAGGCTCAGCGGGACTGCCCGGGCTTGGCGGGTCGATTTTTTCCTCTGTAACAAAATAAGATATTAGTAAAAATTGACATTTTTACACACAAAGATAAGTATTGCTATTTTGTAGCTTTGTATTATGTTTTGGAGACATCAGTAGGAAGGCAGCATGCTTATATCAACACTGGCATTCAGTGAATTGCACATCGCATGTGTTTACATCATTGTCACCTTATTATAGTTTTAAAAGTAAAGCCTTGTATTTATTTGGTCAAGCTTATCATTCGCCTGAGCATGCTTAAGTGGATACTTAAAATATCCAAGTTTTGTATTTGGGACTCAAATGCCCGTTTTCACCATCAATCCCTAATTTTTAAGTGACACCTATGACAACAAAACTCCTGTTATATGTTACCATAGGGGTCACTTGTGTGACCGTGAAAACGGGCATTAAAGTGTTATTAAGTCAGTACACAATCATATCCATATCCATAGTAACCTTTACTTATTTTAAGACTCGAGACAACGTAAAATATGCAAGTATTTGTTTTGGACTTTCCAAGATTTGGCTTTTCCAAGTATTTATTCAATACACTCGCTGACATAGCCCGACGGACTAGCAAGCTGAAGTGGCAATGGGCAGGGCACATAGTACGCAGAACTGACGGCCGATGGGGCAGCAAGGTTCTGGAGTGGAGGCCGAGTACCGGAAAACGCAACGTGAGACGTCCACCCTCAAGGTGGACCGACGACATCATAAAGGTAGCAGGAAGGCGCTGGACGCAGGCCGCTACCAACCGGGTAACATGGAAAGCATTGGGGGAGGCCTATGTTCAGCAGTGGACGTCCTGTGGCTGATGATGATGACGAAGCAAGTTTCATCTTCTATCTTTACTATGTATTTACAAGAAAAAAGTATTTAAGTATGTTTATAACAATAGTACAAGCTCTGCTTAGTTTGGGATTAGATGGCGCAGAAAAAACAGGTATTCCAAGAATAATTCAGTACATACCCTCATCCCTTTCATCGTCGCTCAACGGCTGTCTAGGATGCGCGAACAGATCCGGCAAGAACTGTCGTAACAACTGCTTGATTCTTCTCTTCTCTGCCTTCTGAATCGCCGTCTGCCTTCTGGCGTGGTGTATGAGTAACTCCGTACAGTCTCGGAGGATTTTTATTGCTGTGAAGAAGAACGGAGGTTATTAGTGGCAGGCCTGTTCATCTCCGCGAGTTTACATCGAAAACAAAACACGCACGATGGCCCACCTACAGGATACTATTCGACAAGGCCTCACATACGAGCGAACATTGACTCACGCACGCGTATTCTTGTGTATGATGGAAGAAAATAAAGAAAATGGTGTACTAAATACTGTGCAGTATTTAACTGCCTAAATAATAATAAAAACACAGAATGTACTTTTTTAAGTTGCCTCAAGACACTGAGAGGTAAATAAGTAGTTAATATTATTCATGATAATTCATGTATTTCCACCTCACGTCACATCATTTTACCGAAGTCAGCCCTATAGCTTCGGCGCAGTGCCGATCACTGACGTTTGTCAACAAAATGGTGCTTGACTCTTGAGACAAGCTAAATTACACCATATTGTTAATGACATTGAGCATACATTTTTTTAAATACCTTCGCGAAGTAAAACTTCTGTACGTAGTACTTATTATTATTCTGTGGTAGTGGTAAAAGTGAGTGGGGATGGTAGGGGGTAATAAAATAATGTCAGTAGGAAGGCAGCATGCGTGTATCAACAGTGTTCGTTCTGTTTGCACATCGCATGTGTTTTCATCATTGATTTTTGGATGTGTGTTTGATTTTTAACAGGTACAAGGGAGGTATTTGACCGCAATCACACGATGTAAGGGAGATGCAGTCTAGGATGGTACATATCTGCCCTGTAATTGCCTATTCACTCTTGCCTTGAAAAGGCCCGGATTAGTGTTCGGGAAAGAGCAGCAGCCAACAAATTCCAGTCCCTAGCTATTCTGATTTTTATGCCCAGTAGAAAACAAGTACGTAGTGAAACAATGTTTTGTGTAGACAATTTTGTTGAATGTTGACATGTTTTTGTTGATTGTGTAGGACAAAACACGCTCTTTAGTTTTGGTGTGGGTGTTATTATCATGTAAGTACATGTCTACATTTTTCGGTTGGTCTAGGGTGGTCCTCCTCTCCTAATTGCCGTGAGTAGGCCCATAATATTCTAATTTTGAGTACATAATGGATGCAATAAAATATTGAGTATTGACAGAGTAAATACAAATGTAGGTCATCTTCATAGAAACGCACCGAGCGCGGTTTGTATGTTTGCGCGCTAATCCACGCTAAAATTTGTCAGTGTGTGCGTGCGCGCCGCATACGTATTGGCGCGCTCACATACAAACCGCGCTCGGTGCGTTTCTATGAAGATGACCTACTCATTTGTATTTACTTTGGTATTATTATTCTTACCCTCATGTCTTCCTCGCACAGCATAATCCAAACTTAGATGTGGGCCCGGACGACGCGCGGCGTAAGCGCTCTCTAGCTCGTTGAATAGCGTCTTAGAGCGCATCGCTTTGAGGTCGTTCTGCTTGAAGTTGATGCCTTGATGGTCGAGCGACTTCAGGTAGTATTTCTCGTTTTGCTCGCGCCATTGCTTGTTGAAGCCCTGTGGAAAGATGTTGATTAAATTGAGACATATAAGTGGGATTTTTAAACTAATTAAGAATTTCGAAGTCGATTAACTTCGAAGTCCTCCTATGTTGCACAAACTTTTGAATGGTCAGGTGAGGTGTAGCAGTCTCCTTCAGCGTATCTGCCTCTCCATACCATACAGATATCCTAGACACATAATCACCAAGATTTTCAAGATACCGGCTACGAAAACCAATTTGGGTCGTCAATCTCCTATGTACAGACTCCTTAATGACTACAACACACTACAGAGCAAGGTTCGGGATTTAGATGTATTTTACGATAAGCACCCTAAATTTAAAGATAAATTGCATAAGCACTTAAGTTCTGCGATGTAGGGCACGCTTTTTTTCTTGTTATTATTTTTTTTTTTTTTTTTGGTTTAGCGAGTCGCTTTTGTATTCGTTTTAAATCTCCGTCTGAATGTTGTGCTTACCCTTAAGTGACATATTATATCAGAAATGTTATGTTCATAAATGTTAATCATAAGAGTATAATATATTATGTTGTTGGTATGCCATATAAATAAATAAATAAATATGTTCTTATAATTAAATTCGTTGCGGGTCTAATAACAGTTTTTTTCCCCCGGGACAAACTTGACCTTCACTGGTTGGGTTTTATTGGCGATCAAGCTGTAGATCCTGGCTACACAGGAGTTGCAGCGGTGGGAACGAGAAGTGGGAATATTCCCGTTAATAAAGATGGGACCGTATCAGACGCTTAAGGCAGCAAATTCAGTTTAAGGTAAGTCGTAAGTGACCTTAGTTATTTCAACACACGATTTAGAAAGAATCGTGGATGAAAGGATTTATAGAAGGTTGAAGAGGAAGCTTATGTTCGAAGACCCCCAAATGCTGAACCCATGAACCACAAAGGGTGATATCAGCCAGCTTACCTTCTGAGCCTCCCTCCATTCCTCCTCCTTAGCCTTCAGCCGCCTAAGCACCACCGGCACAGCTACCACAGGGTTCTTCTTCAGCCCCGCTATGATATCCACCGCCTGCGACAAACGACGCACAGGTTATTATATTTGAAAGGCTCAAGGCTCACTTGCACAGTTCAATGTAACATTACATGGGTATAAGATACAGAAAAAGTGTGTAGTTTTGAATTTACAGTTATAAAAAATTGTCCGACCGACATTGTTAACTGTAACTAAGTTTTTTACTATCTGTGTCGCGGCCAATGATCTGTAGGTCAGGGCTAGAATGACAGACGTCAATCACAAGACGTCTTTAATGCACCAAATCCCTACTAATATTATAAATGCGAAGTAACTCTGTCTGTCTGTGTCGCTTTCACGGCAAAACCATTTTGATGAAATTTAGCATAGAGATAGTTTGAGTCCCGGGATAGGACATAGGATAGTTTTCATCACGGTTTTTGAAAGACGAAATTTCAAAGCCGGGGGCGAAAAGCTAGTAAGATATAAATCCAGTGCTGATATGTTAGATTCATACACATACTCAATCACAAATTGGGTATTAAATACAAATAGTCTGAAACCAACTTATTCACCAATACCATAATTTGCCAAATCAAGCCATCAATCATAGGTACACAACACACTGATACTTTAGAAGGCTCTCGGCTCATGGCGTTCTATCTCGCGGCCAAGTGTGTTTTCACCTGTCAGGGTCATCGATATTTATAAATCGATACATACACAACATTATGATCTTTACAAGTGAAATAACTCAATAGAAAAGACGCAATATTCACGTCAGTTTGTAAAAAACCGGACTTTAAACAGCAATATCTACAAGAAATAAAATCATAATTTGTCCTTGAACTGTCTACATTTCGTAATAACATGACGGTCTGACTCATAGTCTACATATTAATGTTAATTCTTCGTGTCGTGTCGACAACAAACCTACACAGTGTCAGCCCAAAACTCCGCTACAAGAGCAGCGTTGTCAGTAGCATTCATTAAATCTTCCTGCGTGCAGTTTATTCAGTTAAATCAAATTAATAATTCAAAGTAAAGTATACTTGAACTGTGCACGTGAACGCTTATTTTATTATCTATAGCAGTCTATTTACTACAAAAGAAATTAGGAAGGGATTGCAACTTAAAAAGGAATGTAAAAAACAAACTAAAAGATGCTTTGACCTTTTTTAGTCATGCTTTAGTTTAAAAAAGGGTTGCTATAAAATATACATTTAAATCGGGGGCCAGAAACTATCGACATATGACAGGATTCGAACCTGCTATCTATGGTTTATAGACTGTAGCTAGCCACATAGCCAAAATAATTAATTCACCTGTAAAAAAGTTCAAGTACTATGGGCCACAGTTTCAGCTACCCATTTCCGGACATGTCGTCTCGTTCTATCGCAAAGAATAGCCATTTGATGAGAGCGAGAGAAAACACGAAAATGGGTAGCTGGATCTGTGGCACACTGTACCTATAGGTCGACCAAGATGTTAGAGCCAACGGATTTTTCTATAGTCTGGTCTGCGAGCACGTAGAATTTTGTCCAATGACCCCAAGCTACCCATCCTTATCGCTCGCGCGTAATTATATTGCTGTCGCGACTGTGCGACGGGCGCCCGCAGTGAGTGTGCGAGCGCGACAGCAACATAATTACGCGCGAGCGATAAGGATGGGTAGCTTGGGGTCATTGGACAAATTCTACGTGCTCACAGACCAGACTATAGAACTAAAATCAAATTTTGTAATTCAGGGGTTTAGTTGTCAAAAATCCGCCGTCTCAAAAATCTCAGTCGCACTATAGGGTGATTAAAAGTAAATTAACAACATAAAATAAAGCATAAAAAGCGTAACACTTGCCACATCGACCGAGTGTAGGATAGACAGTGATGCATCATGGAAGCGTGCATGCATATGCTGTTCAAATCTACGTATAACGTTAGTGTGCATGTAAAGTGTGGATAACATTTTAAATGTGTGTATATTTTTTAAAAGTGAACTTGGCGATAAAAGTTCTACTAGTGTAAGGGTGTTTCGTAGTGTGAATAATATACACGATGTGTATCGTTTTACATGGTGTGTAGTGACTAGTATACACGGGGTGTAATGTGACAAGTATACACGGGGTGTATTGTAGTGTTGTGACAAGTATACACGGGGTGTATTGTAGTGTTGTGATAAGTATACACGGGGTGTATCGTAGTGTTGTGACAAGTATACACGGGGTGTATTGTAGAGTGTAGTGTGACTTTTATACACGTCGAGTCTATAGCGACATTATGTTGTGTAGTGTGGCTTGTAGCGTCACTGTGACTAGTATACACGGGGTGTATTGTAGTGTGTAGTGTGGTTAGTAGCGTCACTGTGACAAGTATACACGGGGTGTATGTTGTGACAAGTATACACGGGGTGTATGTTGTGACAAGTATACACGGGGTGTATTGTAGTGTTGTGACAAGTATACACGGGGTGTATTGTGTTGTGACAAGTATACACGGGGTGTATTGTAGTGTTGTGACAAGTATACACGGGGTGTATTGTAGTGTTGTGATAAGTATACACGGGGTGTATCGTAGTGTTGTGACAAGTATACACGGGGTGTATTGTAGAGTGTAGTGTGACTTGTATACACGTCGAGTCTATAGCGACATTATGTTGTGTAGTGTGGCTTGTAGCGTCACTGTGACTAGTATACACGGGGTGTATTGTAGTGTGTAGTGTGGCTAGTAGCGTCACTGTGACAAGTATACACGGGGTGTATGTTGTGACAAGTATACACGGGGTGTATCGTAGTGTGTTATGGTGTGTAGTGTGGCTAGTAGCGTCACGCCCGTACCACCTTATCGCCGTATATGCGCCGTAACGCCCTCTGGTGGATGGTGGGCGAGTGTCCACCGAGGCAGTCGTCCAGACGGTGTCTGGCCGCGTCGTCTGCGCTCATCCGAGCGAGCTTCTTCTGAACGCCTTCTAATACGCGAATGGTGGCTGCGTTGGTTTCGATTACCACGTCCAGCTGGAAAAAAGTTAAGGTTTTAGTTTTGTAACGACAGCATGTCACCTTAAAATAAACCTCCTTAAGAATGCCATGTTGTAACTATGAATTTTTTAATAAAATAACCTAAAGACCGGTCGCCGAGCAGATAATCATAATCATAATATCATAAAATTTCGCACGTAATTATATTGCTGTCGCGACTGAGCGACGGATGGCCGCAGTGAATGTGCGAGCGTAACAGCAATATAATTACACGCAAGCGATAAGGATGGGTAGCTTGGGGTCATTGGACGAAATTCTATCTGCTCGGCCACCGGACACTACTAGAATTTATTAATATTCTCACCTCAAACCGCTCGTCCTCGCAGCGGTAAATGTACTCCTCGTATTGCGTCTTGCGTGACGTCACGAACGTCGAGTCCTCGCTCCAAGTCGGGAACGACACCCAGGTATCATTCAATACCTGGAAGAAATGTGGGTTTCAATACATATGATACAGGTAAAGGATATTATTTAACTGAACAAAATAATACAGTAGTGAAATAAGTAATACTTATTTGTAAGGCATTTGTTTTAAGATTAAAAACCAGATGACTTTTTCATATGCTTTACTTGAATTCCTCATTCATCGTGAATCTCTTTAAACTTCTCAGAAACTCTAAATGTCTTTTTATAATTATTTAGGAATTCAAATTACTAAAAATAAATTAAGTTCATTACATTTGACTCAAGGTTTTCAGAGCTAAAATTCAGACACCAAATTATTAAAGTTTATTTAGTTTTCCAGAGCTAAAATTCAGTGTTTTCAGCTAAACTTTCTAAATTACTTGGCAACATCAACTAACTTGTGCATAAAAATGTAACAAATACTAACCTCTTTGCACAGCGCCGTGCGGCCAGAACAACGGCGCGCGGCGGCGTCCCGCGGCAACGCACAGTATGACGTGCCCAAACGCTTGCACGTCGACAGATCTGCGGGACAAAAGAGTAACTTTAATACAAGATCAAATACATAGCCTAAACACTTATAAGTGAACGCAAGTCAATATACATTCTGCATCAAATAAATCGCACCTCCCACGACAAGCACTTAACAAACGTATGCATCCCCACTTCCCACCAACATTGGTACCATTTGAAAGCCTAGTTCTAAACTTCATTTCATTAAAGGAAAGGTTTTTACCCCAAAAATGTGTCTTTACAAGGATTCAGAGTCACTTCTTCAAAAAATAGGTAGTTACGCTATAGCCATTTTTTATGACTATAAAACTGTTAACTTGGGATTAATCGCTATCCATCTGTTAAAGAGGACACGTGAGATATTTATTTGGTTTTATAACCATAAAAATTGGTCTAATTGATCCCAGAGGTGAACCCAAAGTGAGGTCTATTTTCAAGTCACATTTATGGTATATGTTAATCATTTATTTAGAAATGAAATGTATTTTTCTTTAAGGATATTTATTGGGCTTTCAAATAACACCAATATTATTGGGGTACCATGGTTATGTCAGAAGAAAATCTTTGAAGTTCGCGTCGCGGAAGGTGCGGTTTATTTGATGTTGAGTGTATTTCAATAGTAGTTTACACTACAATGGTGTTTGTCCTTAATTTTCATCTGGATTGTCAACCACAGGAGTTGATTTGTACATTGTTGTTATTGCGTTATACTTAGGTAAGATGGTGGTGGTGAGCCAGACGACAGTTTACATCTGTCAGCCCAAAACTACAAAACTCCGCTACAAGAGTAGCGTTGTCAGCAGCTTTCATTAAATCCTCCTGCGTCAAGTTGCTCGGGCACTCAGGGTCTTTCCCTGAGTTTCGTCGACTGGGGAACAAAACCGCACCTGTACTCCAAGAGCCATCCAAGAAAACCTGACCAGATTGTCCTTACTGCGGCCATCCGAAGTCTATTTAAAGTCTTCATATATTAGGTATAGATAAATGCGATAACCACGCACTTTTTCTATACATATACATCACTATCGACTCACCAATATCCATAGCGGCGTCGCCCTGAGGTCTGTCGTGCCTCAGCTGCGCCCCCAAGTGTCCCACGGGCTCATAGCGGACGCACTTGTCCCGGTCGCTGCGGTCTACCTTAGTACTCTATCAATATACATCACTATCGACTCACCAATATCCATAGCGGCGTCGCCCTGAGGTCTGTCGTGCCTCAGCTGCGCCCCCAAGTGTCCCACGGGCTCGTAGCGGACGCACTTGTCCCGGTTGTCGCGGTCGCTGCGGTCGCCGCGATCGTTGCGGTCGGTGCGGTCGCGTTCGCGGTCGTAGCTCAGCAGGCTGTTGGTGTTTGGGTAGCTGGTGTTGTTGTAGCCTGTTGAAGAAAGTTTTAGTGTTATAGATGTTTTCTTTTCAAATAGAAGTTCACTGCTGGACAAAGGCCAGAATCAAATATTGTCACATTGACCAGTCCTGCCCTTTCCGCATTCAAATGCTTCCCGCGATCAAATTCACCGAGTGGAAGACCTAGGTAGGTACACTACGTTTTCAGGTCTGTAGTCGAACTTTTCTTCCCTGAATGTCATTGCAAATATATTTGCTATAGTCTGGTCCGCGAGCACATAGAATTTTGTCCAATGACCCCAAGCTACCCATCCTTATCGCTCGCGCGTAATTATGTTGCTGTCGCGCTCGCACACTCACTGCGGGCGCCCGTCGCACAGTCGCGACAGCAATATAATTACGCGCGAGCGATGAGGATGGGTAGCTTAGGGTCATTGGACAAAATTCTACGTGCTCACAGACCGGGCTTTACATTTATTTTCTACCTTCTTCAGAACATAGCTGGACTGGTTGAGAAGGTTTGAGGCGGTTTTCGGAATTATGTAAAATAGGAAGATGCTTTGTGGCATGGAATACATATCATGGATTTCCTTTGGCTGAAATATGAGGTCAAGCGTATAATTGCAGGTTTGAGATCCCGTCACCACCTTACCCGGTTCCTACTGGACTATTGTGGTAAATCCATTTTTGAAACGAGCATTATTTAACCGTTTGCATGCCTGGACTTCAGATAGATTACGACATGTGACAGTCACTGTCTCATCCTGATTAGTGCAAGCATACGAAAGGTTATGCTCATGTGGAGAGGCAAACGGGAATACTAGTAATATGAGTACTACAGATGGCTAAAAAGATGATGGACCGACGACATCATAAAAGTAGCAGGAAGGCGCTGGACGCGGGCCTCTGCCAACCGGGCAACATGGAAAGCATTGGGGGAGGCCTATGTTCAGCTGTGGACGTCCTATGGCTGAGATGGCTAAAACTAAAATAAAGATGTCCCTAGCAAGACTCGAACCCTGACCTGTGTGCAGTGCTTCTTTCTTGCGACTACCGTCCAGCATCGAACTGTATACTTAGAGAAACAGTAATATGTCCCTGCCGGGCGTCGAACCTATGTGCAGCGCTGTTTATGAACTGCCAATAATTGCAGAGTGTCTTGTGGGACCTTTACCACCACGCTGACGTCTAGTAGCGGACTGCTATTAGTTAATATAGTATATTTTTCTTCTTCTTATCGTGTCGACAACAAACCTACACAGTGTCAGCTCTAAACTCCGCCACAAGAGTGGCGTTGTCAGCAGCATTAATTAAATCCTCCTGAGTGCAGTTGCTCGGGCACTCAGGGCACGACATTATGTGCTACAATACACTATAGCATTGGTTCCCAAACTTATTTGAGACGCGCCCCCTTTCGACCATACGAAAAATTACGCGCCCCCCTCCTTCAGTCAAGATTATTTATTGGTTGTATCGCAGTCTGGATTGCATTCTCTTAGCGGTCGCAGGTTTTTTATACTTGTACACAGATGGCCCGCGACCCCCACTTTGGGAACCAATGCCCTAGAGCAACGAAAAACCTCCTAGTAAATGACGCCTCGCAAGCCTCTACACAACGTCCCGATTTTTTTCTGGGTCTCTTACCGCCCCCCTGTAATCCTGCAGCGCCCACAAGGGGGCGTTATCGCCCACTTTGGGAAAGACTGCACTAGAGATATATTTTGTCCCTGCCGGGAGTCGAACCTGTATGCATCATGGCAGGCGGCGTGTGAGGCGGCGAGGCGGGTGCCACGAAGTCTTGTAACCATTTCTGGAGTTCAGGGTGTCGGCACAGGAACGGACCCGTCACGCAGAGCAGTTCCGACGATGAGATGATCTCGTTGGTGAAGAGGAGCAGGCATCTGGAAGGTTTTGTTGTGGTTAGTACTGCTAAGAAGATATCTTGGAAGGTACCATCGGCCTGCCATTGCCTGTCATGTCGTCTCGTTCTATCGCAAAGAATCACCATATAATGAGAGCGAGAGCAAAAACGGAAATGGATAGTTAACAGTGTGGCCGTGTGTACATTGTACAAATGACCTACACTGCCGTCTATAAGCTAAAAGGCCGCTAAATGACATTTGGTCATTTTTCACTTTTTTAATGTAATGGTAATAAAAAAAAAATCTCTATCGATCTGTCTAGGAACGGTTATTCTATCTTTTACCGTTCTCAAGATATTTTTTTTTAAAAGGCAGCTAAATACAAAAAACAAAAACCTTACATCGCTTAAAGGTCGTTAAACGGCACAACTAGATTAGAAGGCAGCTATACTACTTTAACGTTTGGATCGATTGAACATTTTTACTATCAATGCTTAGCTATAAAACAGTTATTATTCAACAGTTAACTAAAAGGTAGCAAAAGTATTTTTGCTGCTTTTTAGCTTGGTTACGGCGGAGTATAATACCTTGCATATACTTAACTAAAAGGCGGTTAATGCGCTCTTACCGAACTAAAAAGCAGTTAAAATAATTTTGCGGCCTTTAAGCGTTGTAGTGTTACTACTTTTACAATTAATATACTATTATAGAAAGCCTTATTAGACCGTACGTAAAGTAAAATAAATATTTTCTTCTGTGTCTTGCATAACAAAAAAGCCGTTAAATAACAAAACATCGCTAAAAAGCCGCAAACTACCCATCTCGCTTGTAAGTATAGTTCACTTTGTGATACCGGACTATTATGTATTCTGTGATACCGGACCAAATTTTAGTATGTTCTTAAGCATGTCTGTCGGAGCCCATCTGTAAAACGTCTGGTCCCGGAAAAAGACATCATCAAAACGGCAGCTGCAACATTTTGATAAATACAAAGGATTCTGATTCTATGAACCTTACATGCATGTGGGGGTTGTCAAATGATACCTTAACTGTTTTATAAAGGTATGATACGCAATATCAACTAAGTAGTACAATAATGAAAATATTTAAAATTAAATGAAAATTACAGCTGTAAAAACCAAATATTTTTAAATACAGCATCGAAACTATACACGATAGACAAAAAATACATGTGGCAGACATAACAAGCTACTCACTAGCTATCCAAAGAATAAAACTGTGACTCGATCAAATTGAAAATGTCTTAGTTACATCATTGTTAGTAAGGCGCTCCCTCTAATTCATGCGCGTGTAGTTTTTTAGTTTTAACTACTTTCAGTGGGAAATGGATATAATAAAAAAAATATTAATAAAATCGATTGAAAATACAAAAACAAATCAGTTTTTCCTCGAAATCGACAATAAAATAAACTTACTAGTAACCACCATTTATATTTTGTAATAATATAATTTAAAACTTTGCTTTGGATTAATTTGTAAGTACATAATTATTTGTATCTAAGCCAAGTACCTACCTAAGCTTATAGGAGTCTTTATTTAGTTACACAATAGGCCAGTCAATGTCGACATCAAAACATCGTAAACACACTTTTTTACAGTATTTATGATGTTGTTAGGTCCCTTTAGAGTTTTTACCTTTATTTGCAACAATGCGCCAAAGTGTAACTTTGGCGCTTTCTTCACTGTTTTGGGGAAACTACCAGAAGAGAGCGTTTTGTCGATATCGTTGCTTCATATTTTACTAAATTTAATAAAGTTTGCCACCGTTTGAAGTTCATTCCAATGCTCTTAGTCAATTTTTTTGGAGATACAGCAAGTCAAAGATAGGAAATAATTTATAATAGGTACTGAATAACTCAGGCGCTTATTTCAGTTATTTTTAAAAATAAAAAATGTTTCCAGGTGTCTTTGTTTAATAGTTTTGTAAAGTCAATTAAATTTTCTACAATTTGAGCTTAATCTAGCATTCTAGAACCTTAAAGATATGCCTTGTCAGAGATGAGAAATTTTTTCGAAAGTGAACATTCTCATCACGGTCATTTGCATAAATCATGAGAGAGAAGTTGAAGGAAATATAATGACTTCATTTGATTTCAATAAATGGTATTTCTAAGTTTCATAGAAACATAAGTTTGCTCAATAAAAACAGTAATAATGATAAAAACAGTGTACTGAATAACGTTGGTAATATATTTATGATTTAAATTTAAATTTTAGAAACATAAAATACTATCATTCACTCGTCTCCTTTCCCACTGAAATTAGTTGAAACTAATAGAGTACAGCTGTCTGGAGTAGAGAGCGCCTCACTGACAACTATGTAACTAAGACATTTTGAATTTGATTCAGTTAAACAAAACCTGAATAGATAATGAGTTGCTCGTTATGTGTGCTATACATATTTTCTGTCTATTACTTATAGTTTCGAGACTGTTAATTGAAAATATGGACTTGAGATTTTATTTTGATAAATATTTTCGTAATTGTAATTCAGCTGAGGTTATTACACATATTACAGCATTATACACCATTTAATTACATTTAATTTGATACCCCACACATGCAAATAAGGTTGTTAGAACTAGAATAAAGGCAATTTTTAAAATGTTACCCTAAGAGGATGGACTATTTTATTTTGTTATCACCATTTCCGATAGTTTTGTGGAAAAAAAGAACTTTTCTTTGCAAAAACTTAGTTTAATTTTATAAGTTAACGTTTAATTTTGCAGGATTCGAAAAATACAGATGTGGATAGTGCTAGCCTAAAAAGCAGTTGTATGAAAAGGTTTAGTAATTAACCGCCTTTAAGTTATGCATAACTGTATTAAAAGTTGTTAATGTCGATATCTACTTGGCTATAAAGCAGCTATGTGTAATTAGCCGCTTTTTTGTTATGCATACGTTAATAACTTCCTGTCTCTAAAAAATACTTTTGGAAGTTATTAATAAATCCATAACTTAAAAGCAGTTATGATTCTTTAGCTGCCATTTAGTTCTGCACACTTGAAGCAAGCATTTAAATTTTACAAGGTTAGAAAGGAAAATGTGTATTTATTGAATTAATTATCAATATTTTACAAAATCAACTTATTTCATGTGAAAATTGAAAAAAATACCTTTTTTTTGGTATATGACAACATGACAAAGTGTTTATAGATACTGAGCAGCATAGGTTTGAAAATTTTGCCACGTTTTTCTGCTCTAGCTCAAAATTAGATTTTGTCATTTAGCGGCCTTTTAGCTTATAGACGGCAGTACACTGAACTGTCCAACCAAACTCATTGACAGGGTGCCACCATCGTTCAACTACATAGTTTACATGGAAAAAATCGGAACCAGCGATCCGATATTGACGGTGGCACCCCCTGTCAATGTCACGGGTGGGACAGTTCAGTGTATTGGGTCTATAGCTTGGAAGAACTTTGGGACTGTCAAAACACATGTTTCTGTGAAACATGTGAAAATGTGTATTGATAGGAAGTCCTAAAAACAATTTAAATTCTGCAAATAGTCCAGTCATTTTGAGTTGTCCGCCAATAAAAATCCAACCAGTGAAGGTCAAGTTTGTCCCGGGGGAAAGTTAAACTGTCATTGGACCCGCAACGAAATTAATCAGAAGAACATAGGAGTTGCTTACCTCAAAAAGTTGTCATAGACGTGCTGCGAGCGCAGCGCCTTCCTAGCTTTGTCGAAGAAGCTATACTCGTGGTGCGTCCCGTATTTCGCTGCTTCCGCGTACGTGACGTCACGCACGCCCGCGCCGCTTAGGCCGGACACGCGGGATTTCTTGGCTGGGGGCGCGCCTACAGCTGTAAGAATAGATGTATTGAAACTACGCTCTATATGTAATGAATAAATAAAGTTTAAATTGAAATGTTCGTTTTCCAAATGCAATTTTACACAGTTGCGTTCACAAAAAAAAACGGTTTATAAAGATAGTTTTTTCAGTATGTTCCAATTGATGCCAAAGCAGCTAGATAGATTCAGCAAAGACTTTCAATGCCAAATACAGATCTTCTTACTAGAAGTGATTGATGCTACATTTATATTTAAAAAAAAAACAATTAATTTAGTGCAAATAAGTTAACATAATTATTTTAAAGCGAATGGTCAATAGTCAGAAAGCTTCGAGTAAGTACAGTAAGTAGCACTTAAATATTAATTGTCTATTGCATTCATTGTGAAATGACAAACTAGAACATAGGGGCACGGCAACTTTTTATTTATATTTATTTATTCTTACACATCCAAATAAAATTTAACAGTAAGTTAATAATTTGAATTTGTAACTTTACAAGATTCCCAGTTAGTTTGATGTACCATACACTAACTATAAGTTTTATAGAAGCAAAAGTGTCGTTGCTAAAGTCTGGTCGCGGAGCACGTAAAATTTTGTCCAATGACCCCAAGCTACCCACCCTTATCGCTCGCGCGTAATTATGTTGCTGTCGCGCTCGCACACTCACTGCGGGCGCCCGTCGCACAGTCGCGACAGCAATTTACGCGCGAGCGATAAGGATGGGTAGCTTGGGGTCATTGGACAAAATTATATGTGCTCACAGACCGGGCTTTACACAAAATGAGAGCTTTACTATCAAACCACATGTAATGCAATGCAATAAATGATTTGATTTGATTTGATTTGAGAGTTAGCTTGATGTGTCGTCGCCTGTACACGTATGAAATGAAATCAATAGTGATATTGGTAGTGATAGTAGTACTTACCCATCTGCGTGGACGAGGTGAAGCTGGGTGACCTCTTGAGGTGTTGCGGCGGCGCGGCGGCCGGCGCCGGGTGCTTGCTCACCTGCTGTGATAACACATTGTTAATAGGGCCAGGCCTGTTCATCTCCGCGATTTCCTAAAAACAAAACATGCTACTCTTGAGACAGGCTAAATTACACCATATTGTTAATGACATTGAGCATACATTTTTTTAAATACCTTCGCGAAGTAAAACTTCTGTACGTAGTACTTATTATTATTCTGTGATAGGGCGTCTAACAATCAACAAGCAGACCAGTGGGTTTAGACAGATTTATTAGCAATTTGTATTGCCCAAATTACTAATAGTCCCATTAGCCCCTCGTGTTAAGCTAAATAAGCTTGTGTTACGAGTGGGCTCACCACAATAGTCGAGCGGCAGCGGGATTCGAACCAGCGTCCTCGGATCTCGAGTCGGCCACTCCGACCGCTTCACCGGTCGGCTATCGTGGCTATAATCGCAAACTAGTCGAAAAGTGATCGAAAGGTCTTTCTTATATGGAATTTTGACGGATTCTATTCGATCAAAAAGTGAATTTTGTCCGTTTAAGCGCGATTGGTCCAATTCGCAATTGGATATCCTTTTATTTTGGACCAATTACGAATTGGACCAATCGAGAATTGGACTAATCGCGAATTTGTAATTTTTTCATGATTGGACCAATTGGGAATTGGACCTAAACGCATTTTGTCTAGGGGGCAGGTAGTAGTGGTTTACCTGACCGTTTAAAAAAGGCTGATAATAGTGACATACGCCCGTATTCACAAACATTACTATGAGATCTCACAGCATGCGTGGACGCACAGGGTGACACACGAACCAATCACAAAGTTCTATTCAACGCTGTGCGTTCGATTTGCTGCTTCATTTAAACAAGCTTCAGTAAAATGTAACGTGAAATGTGATTTTGTCTTGGGCGACTCCTAAAAATTATATTTTTGAATTTGAGTGATTCCTGCTTGGTGAAAATCGGTCGCCATTAATAAAATACAAGGGACAAAACATAGTAGATATAAATAAGGTAGGTAGGTATACAGGGTGTTAGGTAAATGGGTATATGAGCCGACACTAGCCCATGTTAACATGTGCATATAAATGGTATGGTGAAGTCAGAAAATTGATATCTTCATTTTAATTATTTTAATTTTCATATAAATCGGATTTTATAAAATTTATTTTATATGAAAATTTAAAAAAAATAAAATGATAATCAAATTTCTGACTTCACCATACCATTTATATGCCCATGTTAACATGGGCTAGTGTCGGCTCATATACCCATTTACCTAACACCCTGTATAGATGTTCTACTTCTAATTCCCCTCCCTTTAACTGCTATTTTATTTTTTAATTTATTTTATTTATTCAAACCACATCTTTTTATAATACTACAAACACAAATGTCATAATGCCTTTTCATTAAACCCGCTTGCTGCATCCCAACTTTAGCCTGCAACGTAAATTGTGCCTTATGTCTACCTAAATACACTCGCAACTCACCTGCGGATGATGGTGCGGCGCGGCGTGCGGCGCGGCATGCGGCGCGGCGTGCGGCGCGTGCGCGTGCGGCGGCGACACGCAGAAACGTTCGCGCTCGCGCTCGCGCTCCGGCTCGCTGTCCACGCGTTGCTGGCGATTAACGAATTATGTTACTCAAAGGCATAAATCTATACTTCTATATGTTTGGAATTTAATTATTATTGACACTGTTACCCACTATTTATTTTGACATTTAATTGACATTAATTCTATTTGTATTATTAATTTATTTGGACATGATGTGTATTTCTTTCTTATTAATACTGCAATTGTTTATTATTAATAAGAAAATATATTGAAAATTTGACATGTAATGAACATTATGAATAAATTTCTTATTCTATACTAATATTATAAATGCGAAAGTAACTCTGTCTGACTGTCATTTGTCTCGAAGCGCTGGTAGGGCCCAAAAGATAAGGAGACATGTAAAGTGCCCCATAAGGGCTACCTTTTCTTTTTTTATAATTGTCTATTGACGTTCATAAGTGCCACTTGTGGTCTAAACTGAATAAATATTTTTGATTTTGATTTTTGATTTTGTCTTGCTTTCACGCCTAAACTACTGAACCGATTTTAATGAAATTTTGCATAGAGATAGTTTAAATTCCGGGAAAGGACATAGGATAGTTTTTATCCCGGTTTTTGAAACAGGGACACGCGAGATAAAGTTTTTTCTGTGACAGACAAAACCCACGTGGGCGAAGCCGCGGGCGGAAAGCTAGTATGCAATAAGTTAATAATAAAACATGCTTACAATAGGGCCCGTTGGCCCTCATCAAGACAAAAAGAATGAGCTCAAACACAGTATGATTGCTGTAGGTCATATAAATGGTGGATTTTCTGCAGGTAGCATAACATAAGTCATTGTCATCAGGTATATAGACATAGATGACCCACGCTGAACTGTCCCACCAAACTCAATGACAGGGGGGCGCTACCATCGTTTAACTATATGGTTTCCAACATGACAAAAATCGGGACCAGCGATCCGGTATTGACGGTGGCGCCACGCTGTCAATGTCATGCATAGGACAGTTCAGTATTTTGGAACTATAAGTACCTTTCAAACTATTCAAGCTACAGAAACTGGTGCAAAATTCTAACTAAACAAAGCCTCAAATAGTAGTTAAGTTCCTGTCTTATTATCTCAGACAGCAAAGTCTCTAATATTACTATTTTAACTAAAACTATCTACTACTGTAAATATTTGTAGTTTTGTTTTAATATTAAAAAATTAAGCCGGTATTATTTAAATTTAAAATACGACGTTACATTCAAAATGACGATCAATAAATCTACACCAGATATTTTGAACTCAGTTGTGTAATAAAATGTATAAATACCAAATAATAATATAGCATGTATATTGGCAATAATACGTTACTTTTATTTAATTAAAGTTAAAACATTCCTAAAATCATAATCACCAACAGCATTTTTTTAATAAAAAAAACTAATTACCTTCACATCCCTCCTGTTAATTATTTCTGTCAATACCGATTCGCGCCTCACAATCATTGTAGAAGTTATAAAAGTTATGTCACTATAAAAACTGTATTATCTTTGTCAAAAACGTTTTTAATCTTAATCAAATCAAATACACAATCACTATACTTTATATTTTCGTCAAAAATTAAAAATATCTTCGTCAATTATCTAAAAAGACGGTTAAAAAACCGTCAAGTCAAAATATATCAATTATTTGAAACAATCACTGAATTAAAAATATTATAAATTTAGTTATAACGGCCGTTGAATGCCGTAGTCAAAATGGTACTGACGATGAGCGGTCGAAAAGCTGTTATGCGAAATGATTTTTGATCCACCCTCGTATTTTTAATATTCAATGAAGTCATGTCACAGTAGAAATGGATACAGTAGGTTAACTTGAAAGTAAACCTGTTTTAAATTGAAGATTCAATTTGCGTAGTTAGGATTTTTTTGTGCTAAGGAGCAAAAACAAGACTTAGTAAATCTATACTAATCTATACTAATATTATAAATGTGAAAGTAATTGTCTGTCTGTCTCGCTTTCACGCATAAACCACTGAACCGAAAGGACATAGGATAGTTTTTATCCCGGTTTTTGAAACAGGGACGCGCGCGATATAAAGTTTTTCTGTGACAGACAAAATTCCACGCGGGCGAAGCTAACACGCTTCCTTTAAAAACACAAACCAATGGCAAAAAACTTGTCAGGACTTGTTGAGAAGCTTTTAAAATTCAACTTGCTGATAACAATATACATTTTATCAAATCAAAAGTACCCCTTCACTTATCCTAGGCCATTATGTGAAATCTCCACTATCAGCGGTACTATCAGATAATATCTGTTGACCTAGCGCTGATATTGACATGTTTGCGTACCACTTCCGGTACTTCGTATCCTATGGCGTATGGTATTTCCAATGATAAGTCTGTAAGTCCAATTTATGTGAGAATTTAGCATACGTGGTTACGTAAAATTTGACTATATTTTGGCTGCAAAACCGTATTTATTCAACTATAAAAAAATCTATTTAGTTGTAATTATGAAATGGAGGATTTAATGATGTCTTAGAGTTCGATGTTTGAACCAAAAAGTGGCTGCAGGAAATGCTCGATTTTAAAATGTTTTTTATATTTCTTTATGGTTCTGTTGTCTTTTCTCTGTTATTGGTTACAAAATTAGAAATCTACAACGTGGTTTATAATACTAATAAGCCATACTATGTCATTGTTTGTTGTTCCTAATAAAATTAAACATTTTATTTTATTCTTAACTGTAACGGACCTCATAAAGATAAAAGGAAGGCGCAATCGGTCGGACAATCATTGGGGGAGGCCTATGATCAGCAGTGAACGTGCTATGGCTGAAATGATGATGATGATTCTTACCTGTGGAGGCGGCGGCGACCGAGCGTGGGCATAGTGCGGTTTGGTGACCGCCTTGGCGTCAGGTAAGAACTGCCCGAATTCAGCCAACAGGTCGTCTTGGTTCTCGAATAGTTTTGCCACCTATGAGAGACGTGAGATTTAGTAAATACTGTCACAATAAATAAAAGTAAGCCAATAATTAGAAACGCAACCAATTATTGACACTAATTCAAATAACTGTACATTTTAATATTTTATTTGTTTTGCATTATTTATTATTGCGTCAAAATAAGTGACTGCATAAGTATTAAACACGCAAAGAAAAATTCACGAAAACTGCACAATGACAGAAGTTAAAATTAAGACACTAGACCACTTGAAGTAGTCTACCATATTTAACATCATTTTCATAGTGTGCTGTAAAAGTGCTTTTTAAAGCCTATTTGCAGAAATAAATTAGTTTTGTTTTTAAGATTTTTTTTTATAAATTGATAAGACAGTTATGAAAGTTTCTAAAAATATGTTACAGGACAATTCCAATTTTTTGCGTTGCTTACGAAGGGTAAGCAAGTAAAAATTCAAATAAAAAGAAATGGTACAATTTTATGTAACACATTTTTTAGAACAAGACAATCACACCTGCTGTTAAGTGAGATGCAGTCTAGGATGGTAAATACCTGCCCTTTGCCTATTCACTCTCGCCTTGAAGAGGCCCGTGTTATACAGTTCGGGAATGTCAAAAATACCTTTAAAATACCATTAAGTGTCTTACCTGAGAATACACCTCTTGTTCCGTCTGCTGTTTAGCCTGTGGTTCTTTAACATCACGATGACCCCTCTGGTAAGCATGGAGTATCTCCAAAAACCGCTTGTACTTGTCCGGTTGCCGAGAGAAGCGCGACTGGAGACAAAAGTCGCAAGTTAGTGCTATAGTAGTGTTAAAGGGAGCTTGTGGTCGTATAAAGGTGATAATCAGAACTCTTATAGAGCAGCCGCAAGTTATTCTCATGTGGAATCAATCGGTAATTTGTATCATCATTAAATGTTACATTTTTGGTTAGGACATCAGCTAATGACAGTTTACTTCTGTAAGTTAACTCCTAGGCCAGTGGGCTGAGTGTGAGTTTAAAAAATGTATGAAAATTTTAGTTTTTGGACGTTTCCCGCTAGGGGCGCTGTACAATCCGTCATAAATTAAAAGTAATTTTTTGACGCGCTCACACTCAGCCCTCAGAAGGATTTCGTGTTTTCTTCATACAGCTACTGCTATCTTCTTGAAGTCGTCGGTCCATCGAGAAGTATCATTCCTACTACGTTTACTCCACCTTCCATTGACCCACTGCCTCCTTAGCTAACTTTAACTTTTCCCCTGGACAAACTTGACCTTCACTGGTAGGAGTTTTATTGGCGGTCAAGCTGTAGATCCTGGCTACACAGGAGTTGCAGCGGTGGGAACGAGAGGTGGGAATAGTCCCGTGCCATCTTCTTGAAGTCGTCTGTCCATTGATAAGTATCATTCCTACTACGTTTGCCAAGATATTTACTCCACCTTTCATCTACCCCCTGCCTCTTTAGCTAGCAAAATTCTAGGACCAGGTCAACTTGTGATCTTTTTCTCTGTAAATAAAGCCCACTGTATCTTTAGCTAGCAAAATTCTTAGGTTGAGTTGCACCATCTAACTTTGACCGTAACTTTGGAGATAACCGGTGCTTTTTGTATGGATTTTGACAGATTTTTGACGTTTGTCAAAGTTTCAGTAAGATGGTGCAACCCAGCCTTAGACCAGGTGTTTTGACAAAGCTAAAATATCCTACAAAGGTTCTACAACAGTTACAGCAATCTCACCTTAATCTTATTGACGTATTCAATAGCATGATTGAACTCCACAGGCTGCCCTGGCGGAGCAGAGGCCGGATGTCCACCGCTGCCAGCCGGTGGCGCTACAGTACCTGCAAAGAGAGCTATATTGTAGCCAATGTATGTGAAAGGAGGTATAAGCTGTATAAGGGTTATAGTCAGAACTCTTGTAGAGCAGCCGCAAGTTTTTATCATTTGAGGTCAATCGGTAATTAATGTTATCATAAAAGGTTATAAATAAGAAATTGAGAGATTATCATTTATTTTTTATTTATGATTAGAACGGTAGTAAGAATTACGCTATTCAAACAAGTAACAAAGTTCAGATTAACATTTAAATACTTAAAAACAAAGGAACACTACAGAATATTATAGGCCTTTTAGTTTTATGACTTTTAGTAGGTATCTGATAAGACTTTTTTTTATAGATATCTGGTAGAACAATTCACTGGTAACCAGCATCTTTATTTGTTAAGAACGTTATCTGATACTTTACCGGGAGTGTTTAATTACTAATTAGTGCTGATAACTATCTAAAACTGAGGTTTAAATGTGGTATACACGAGTCACTTACCAGGAGTATGGTGAATGGACGCAGCCTCAATCTGCTGATGTGCCTGGGAAATGTGATGCAGCGTGTTCCCAGGAGTCACAGACAAGTTGTGGACTATTGCGCTGTTCACCGATCTGTAAAAAGTTGTAGAGTTAGTACGGTGTTAAGATGGAGCTATAGAGGTGCTATAAGAGCGACAATCAGAACTCTTATAGAGCAGCCGCAAGTTATTCTCATGTAGAATCAATCGGTAATTTGTATCATCATTGAGTGTTGTTTATAAATTGTAACCTACCTACAGTCTACTTCATAAAACTGCTATAATGATAGTAAATAACATGATTTACTAATTATCTTAATACTGATAGTATCTTTGCGGTATTATTCGTTAAAGTTTTATTAAATAGTCTATGTTTTACAGAACGGTGAAACATATTCACTTAGGATAATAAGAAACGATCATAATAGTTTACTAATTACCTAAGTAATACGTAATTTGAGCCAATAAAACGAGTTCTCGCTCATTTTTATTCAATTTGTTTAATTGGTTTGGTCAACAATGTCATTAATAAACAAATTCCAAATAGCAGAGCTTATTCTTCATATCGAATAAATACATAATATATAACCTTTCCATAATAAAAACACTTATTATCTCTTAAGGTTTAGCCAAACCAACGCGATCACACGCGATCAGCCGGCGTGCAGCGATGGCGACCAGACTTAAATGCATTGATCGCCATCGCTGCACGCCGGCTGATCGCGTTGGTTTGGCCGAACCTTTACACTTGCCAATAACTAACGCTAACAAACTGACATATAAAAGATCTATATGCAGATCCTTAAGTTTGACCGAGAGCAAACTACTATACCGGCCGCTAGTCAATTTCTAACCAATCTATATCCGACAAACACAGGCCAAGACCGCAGTGTAAAAATATTATACTTACAACCATCCGACCCATATATCATTATAAATACTCGGTCAACGACCCGATCAGCTGGTCTGGCGTCCCTTTCGCTCGTACGGTGAGCGAGAGAGAAGTATAAAAGTACAGTGTACGATAAGGAATTGTGAATGATAATGTATGTTTTTGAATGTTTATCAGTATCTAGGTCTTAAATTATGAGGAAGTGATATAAAAACGCGGGCATTTCGTAGAGTATAATGAACTTTTTAAAAAAATAAAACCGACTTCAAATGCGTGAACACAAAAAAAAAACTAAAAATTAAAAATATTGCGTATAAAAAAGTTCATCCCCAATTTTCCACCCTTGGGGGTGAAATATTTTCTTCAAATTCGCATGAAACCACCCTTTTGATAATACCTATTCAACAAAAAAATAATCGTTCAAATTGATTTATAATCGGCGGAGATATTGCGTATAAAAAAGTTCATCCCCAATTTTCCACCCTTGGGGGTTGTTTTTTCTATTATTAAATTTAAATGGGACCACCCTTGAGGTATTACCTATACGCCGAAAAAAGATTTGTTCAAATCGGTTCATAATTGGCGGAGTTATCGCGTAACAAACATAGAAAAAAAACATACGGATCGAATTGAGAACCTCCTCCTTTTTTGAAGTCGGTTGAAAATGACATTTATTATTCACTAGCTTTCCGCCCGCGGCTTCGCCCGCGTGGAATTTTGTCTGTCACAGAAAAACTTTATCGCGCGCGTCCCTGTTTCAAAAACCGGGATAAAAACTATCCTATGTTCTTTCCCGGGACTCAAACTATCTCTATGCCAAATTTCATCAAAATCGGTTGCGAGGTTTAAGCGGGAAAGCGTAACAGACAGACAGACAGACAGAGTTACTTTCGCATTTATAATATTAGTTGGGATAAGGTAATTCTTTTTGATTTAAAAAAAATGTACAGTGCATTGAAATTTGTGCAAACTGGGAACCAGTAGGGATTCATAATAATCCTTTTGTTAGAATTTCAAAATGGCGGATGGTTTGATGACAGGCGGCCATTTTGTTAAGTATGTACTTGATTGGCTGAACGTGATGTAACGAGTACTTCTTCACATGTAAGATAAGTAAAATTTTATAAAACAAAAATAAAACCGACTCCAAAAAACCTACACTAAAACGTAGAAAAATAATTACTAATTACCTGTAGTCGGTGCCCCTAGTCGGTGCCAAGATTATGAAACATGTAAAGTTTGCCTGCACCGACTCCAAAAGTATCAATCATGGTATACCTACATAAATATTAATAATTCGTCCTAATAAATAGGTAGGTAATTAGTAATTATTTTTCTACGTTTTAGTGTAGGTTTTTTGGAGTCGGTTTTATTTTTGTTTTATAAAATTTTACTTATTTCTTGCTTTTTAGTTAACTAATTATTACCTTGATGTTACCACTGAAGGTAGGCAGTAACACTGAGACCAAAAAAAATTGGTTCATAATCGGCGGAGATATTGCGTATAAAAAAGTTCATCCCCAATTTTCCACCCTTGGGGGTGAAATATTTTCTTCAAATTCGCATGAAACCACCCTTTTGATAATACCTATTCAACAAAAAAATAATCGTTCAAATTGATTTATAATCGGCGGAGATATTGCGTATAAAAAAGTTCATCCCCAATTTTCCACCCTTGGGGGTTGTTTTTTCTATTATTAAATTTAAATGGGACCACCCTTGAGGTATTACCTATACGCCGAAAAAAGATTTGTTCAAATCGGTTCATAATTGGCGGAGTTATCGCGTAACAAACATAGAAAAAAAAAAAAAAAAAAAAAAACATACGGGTCGAATTGAGAACCTCCTCCTTTTTTGAAGTCGGTTGAAAAGATGTTGCGTAGTTTCCCGAACTCTGCCTAGCCTAGATGAATTCGACGATTGACCTCGATTGGACCTACCTAGTTGAATCGTTTGCCCAAGGTAAACAAGACGAGGTACTTGCTGATCATTTATTTGAAAAAAGTAGTCCTTAATGTTTCCATCGAGGTCCTATCCTGTGAAAGTGTGGGGGACAAAAGTTGCCCGACGTGGCAAAAATTTGAAACTGATGATAACCCAGTGTGATAGTGGCGCTAATGAGGGCTATCGTTTTAGCGCTCACCAGTTAACGCCACTGTAGAGTAAGGTCCTGTCACTTGCTAGTAGCGAAGACAGTGGCACCAACTGGTGAGCGCGAAAGTGGTAGGAGGACTATCGCATTTGCACTCATCAAGATGGCGCCACTGTAGAGTAAGGTCCTGTCAATCGCCAGGGGTGCCAACTGTTTATTTATTTATTTATTAGGTACACCAACGATAGGTACAACAATACACAATATGTTAAAAAATACGCAAAATATTAAGCTAATTGCACTATCACTTAGAGGTATACACAGCTTGCAAGAAATATAAGTTGCTGCTTAGTTAGCATAAATGATGTTATATAAGTTAAATTATTATGATATAGAGTCGGTTGCTGTAGCCTTGAATTTGGGTAGGGACATGAAATGCACATCCAGGGGACCACTACATTTATTGTAGATCTTGCAGATCCGACATATAGGAGAGTTGGCTCCTAGAACAGTTAAATATAAAAACGATAGCCCTCATTGTGAGTGTATAGTTTTGTGTTTAGTACTAAACAGATAATGGCTGGAGAGGCGCCCGCTGAAAACCAGCGTCGAAGCGCGCGTATGCACGTGTGTCTCGACTAATGCTGAGCGGGCGCCTTTTTGCACAAAATATCGACAATCATTTTATTTGTATAGCTTAAGTCTGTTATTTATTTTGTGTCAAATTAAGGCTTTCTATTCTATCCGTGTACTCAGTAGTATTGTGTAGTGCAGCGGTTCCCGAATGGTGGTCCGTGGAACCCTGGGGTTCCGTGGAAAGCCGCAAGGGTTCCGTAAAAAATATTATCCCACGTTTCGTGACCGACGTTGTTCGTTCGCACCGACTTGTTTACGCACAAGGGAGGGGCAGGGCGTGCGGGCGGAGTAGTACGGGGTTCCGCTAGGAAAAGTATAATCAATTAGGGTTCCTTGGCAAAAAAAAATTGGGAAACCCTGGTGTAGTGTACTCACTGAGGCACAGACAGCAGCGGCGGCGAGGCGGGCTGCACCGGCAGCAGTTGCACCAGATGCGGCTGCGGAGGCGTGTGGTGCACGCCCAGCACCATGCCGCCGCCCATACCGGTAGGAGACGGCATGGAAACTGACACCTGCGCAGAAGAGTGGAGTTAGTCAGGTAGCGTAAAGGTCGGACCACATTTGTGTGGCGCAACGCGGCACAAAGCGTTTGGGACGTGTAAGGCTAAGGTAAGAACTCACGGCGCGATTTCTAACCGCGCCCGCGGTGTTTGCGAGCCCGCAGCTTCTGTAGAATGCAGATTCTTATGTAAAAACTAATGCACAACTCACGACGCGGTTTTCGCGTTGACGTTGAGTTCTTAGCCTAAATGTTCTGTTTAAAAGCTTACTTGCGTAAAAAGTTTTAAGTTTTTTTTTATTATTCTTTCAGTCTTTTTGTATGAACCAGACCAAAAAGTGCTAGACAACTAAACTAAACCGAGGACGAGGAAGACCCGAAACTACAAGTGTTAGGAGTCTCAAATTTTACATGGTTCCTTTTAGAACATAGGTGCTCACTAAGAAAGGATTTTACGAAACTCCACCCCTAAGGGTTTAAAACGAGATCCACGCGTACGAAGTCGCGGGCGGCCGCTAATTAAGTTTAAAAACAATCATTTGATGTTAAAATTAAAATCCACCGAAGTAGGTAAATTTTAATGTTTACACAATATCTATGCATGCATAAAGCTTGTATGTATTACCATCCATCAGACGCCACATACCGTGTTGGCATTGTGGCACACCAATGGTAAATTCAATGTATCCCCTTGAACGAAGTTGCAGACCTATACCCGAGGTAAGCAACGTGCACTTTAGGGAAAACTACAGCATATTGTATAGATCGTTTCATCCACTCGGCCGCGCCCCAGCAATGTTTGGTCTCGGTCGCGCGGGGTGCGGGGAGTGTGGTCCGAGCAAGCCGTAAGGCATTACTGTAGTGTGCGTGTGCACTCATGGATCATTTAGCGTGTACCGATAACACTCAAACATTAGCGGAAGAATGGTGGGGCGCGTCCGAGTGGATGAAACGATCTATACATTGTTTAGTCTAAAGCCCGGTCTCCGAGCACGTAGAACTTGGTCCAATGACCCCAAGCTACCTATTCTTATCGCTCGCGCGTAATTATGTTGCTGTCGCGCTCGCACACTCACTGCGGGCGCCCGTCGCACAGTCGCGACAGCAATATAGTTACGCGCGAGCGATAAGAATGGGTAGCTTGGGGTCATTGGACAAAATTCTACGTGCTCGGCGACCAGACTATACTGTAAACAAGTCTAGAACTCACCTGTCCATTGCTCTGAACTTCGATCTTGTATCCGGGTGGCAGAAACGTGTTGAATCCCACAATTAACTCGGGGTGGCCCTTGAAGAGATTCGACACTCGAGTGATGACGCCTGGGGTGTCGATACTAGAACAAACATAATATAGTTAAATAAATATTTGATTTGTAAAGGAATTGAAAGGTTTGAATATCTAAGTAAGAAACACATCAATCTAAAGGCACCCTCAAATCTGACGTGTATGTGCTTCTATAAAATAATAATAAATTTGTGATATTTCGTCTTAGGACTCAGTTTCAAGATGGATATGAAAATGATCGCTTACATATAAAATCTATGGGACATCGTGCTTTGACAATTCGTAAAGTATTTATATGGTATTAAAATACCGTCTCTGTCATGCCTGTGTACTAATGCAGTTTCATCACGCAACAAAAAACTTAGTATGCGACTGTAAGCCCATCTTCACAAATTAAAATCACCTATTTGGGCTGAGTTGCGCCACGTTAAAATTAGCCATAACTAACAAGATCTTTGACGTTTGTTAAAGTCAAAGTAAGATGGGGCAACCTAACCTAACGCCTGTATTCACAAACATTACTATGAGGTCTCACAGAGCTCTATTCTCTCTCTATTTAACGTGATTTGCTGCTTCACTTAAGCAAGCATCGTTTGTGAATACGGATGTAAGTCTAAATACAAATATACAGACAAAAAAATATAAAAACACTCACGTCTGACTCTTAAACTCCTTCATGATATCCAGAAAGTCGTTGTACACCTGGGGCTGCGTATTAAACTTGTATTTGACCTGGTCCAGATACGACAGGGCATCTTCGACCTTAAGCCGTTGGAATTGGGCACCGGGCTGGGCGGGGTTCGGCGACACCCGGCCCGGCATCGGCTGGTGGGGCTGATGCGTCTGGTGGGGCTGGTGCGGCTGGTGTTCGAAGAGCTGGAACAAAGGATATTAATAAATAATGAGGAACACCTGGATAACAAACAGATTATGATGATCACCGGGCCTTTCAAGGCGAGAATTTCGTTGCGTGTCCAATGACAGTTTATTATTTTCCTCGGGGCAAACTTGACCTTCACTGGTTGGGTTGTTGGTGGTCAAGCTGTAGATCCTGGCTACACAGGAATTGCAGTGGTGAGAACGAGAGGTGGGAATAGTCCCGTAGCTAGGGAGTGTATGCCGAATTCTTCATTTGCCTTTAGTAAATTAGAGAGGGTCGTCCTCAAGTGGAGACTAAATGACCTGTAGGCCTAAGATGCGCGCCGTGATAAGCGGTTATCACGCCATTTCATCGATTTTGCCCATACATTTATTTACTTATATTGTTTATTATTTTCCCCGGGACAAACTTGTCCTTCACTGGTTGGGTTTGGCGGTCAAGCTGTAGATCCTGGCTACACAGGAGTTGCAGCGGTGGGAATAGTCCCGTAGCTAGGGAGTGTGTGCCAATGGAGACTAAATACCTGATCATAAAAAACTGCAGGCGTGACTAATGTAGGCCAGGACCTCTACTTGCCTCTTGTGTATAAGAGGGTAGTCCTCAAGTGGAATCTAAATGACCTGATGATGATGAACATACCTTCAGCCTAGGCGGCACCTGCGGCTGCGGTGGTTTGGCCACGACATACTGCACCGACCCTGCCTTCAAGTAGTTGATGACAGCAGGGCCCGCGCCGCGGGGCGCCGCCCAAACACTCTTGTTACGCCGAGTCTTTCCCCAAGCCTCTATGCTAAAGCCTGGTCCGTGAGCACGTAGAATTTTGTCCAATGACCCCAAGCTACCCATCCTTATCGCTGGCGCGTAATTATATTGCTGTCGCGACTGTGCGACGGGCGCCCGCAGTGAGTGTGCGAGCGCGACAGCAACATAATTACGCGCGAGCGATAAGGATGGGTAGCTTGGGGTCATTGGACAAAATTCTACGTGCTCACGGACCAGGCTTTAGTCATAGTTACTGCATCTTGTTGGTACATACCTTGAGCCTAGGCGGCACCTGCGGCTGCGGCGGTTTAGCGGCGGCGTACTGCACCGCCCCCGCCTTCAAGTAGTTGATGACCGCGGGGCCCGCGCCCCGGGGCCCCGCCCGCCCAAACGCGGAGCCCACGCCCACGTTGCCCACGCCGCCCACGCTGCTAACTGAGAGCATGGCTGTAGCGCCTGTGCGCAGCGTGTCTGGAAAGATAGGGTGGTGTTAGAAAAAAAATCAGTTTATGGATAAAAATGATGTACAAAATCTTTTTTAAAACAGCTTCTTGAGTTTCTTGCGCTGCTTCTTCTCAGCACTGACCCATTTATTGTCCCGAAGCAGTGGTAGGGTTAATATTGGGACGTGTAAAAGTGCTTTTTAAAAGCCTATTTGCAAAAATAAATGAATTTTATGAATTTTAGCTAGGGACTGGAATTCGCTGCCTGCTGCTGTATTTCCTGAACACTATTATCCGGGCGTTTTCAAGGCGAGAGTGAACAAATAACAAGGCAAGTATTTGACAACAATCGCACCTGGTGTTAAGTGGGATGCAATCTAGGATGGCACATATCTGCCCTGTAAGTGCCTATGTGTAAACCTACACTTAATTAGGACAACTTATAAGACATGAGTGCCTGTCTATGGATTAATAGTCCAGTCAATGAATGCCTTAACGACGGTGTAGAGAGAAATCCGTGGAACACAATTTCTGACCTCGGGACTTTATTTAGCCTAGTTAGGTGGTGAACATAGCAAAAGTCCCCGCCCTTAGCCCTTGAGCCGGCGGGGAGAGGGGGGTTTAAAGGTACCACTTTTCGGTTTTTCGCTTAATCCTCGGAAACTATGCGTCCTAGTGACATGACTACTATGAACCAAAAAAAGCTTATTAAATTTGCTACAGGTGAGACCGTCAAGTTTTTCTATATCTTGTATAGTTTTTGCGGCATCTGCTCTAGAAGGTCTGTAAAATTGGAAATTTTATTGTTGTCTTGCATGTTCCTTTCAGGAGAAAATCGACTTAATCAACATTGAGCAAACACTATAGACATGCGGGAGCATGTTAAGCCTAGTTCCATGGAGGGGACTGCACCGTGCGTATATTTAGACGAACCAATTAGAGCCACTTTTGACTCCTCATCATTCAAAAACTACTGTGCATTAACACTTCAAATTTGGCTCATGTATTGAGACTTGCAAGATGTACATCAGCTTCAAATTTCATAAATATACCTCAAACGGTTATTTAGGTATTGACGTTCAAAAATCGATATTTAGAGCACTACTATCTATCTATCACATGTGAAATGTTAAAATTTACTGGTTTTTTATTTGTTCCTTTGTATTTACATAACTACCTTTCTGGATGCCAAATTTGAACCTTCGAGGTCATCTGGAAGTGGTTAGAATTTGGTCTATAGGTCAGACATGTAGATTTTTGGACGTCAATATCTAAAGAACCGTTTGAGGCATATTTATGAAATTTGAAACTGATGTATATCTTGCAAGTCTCAACACATGAGCCAAATTTGAAGTGTTAATGCACAGTAGTTTTTGAGTGATGAGGAGTCAAAAGTGGCTCAAAGTGATTCGTCTAAATATACGCACGGTGTAGTCCCCTCGCTGGAACTAGGCTTAACATGCTCCCGCATGTCTAGAATGATTGCTCAATGTTGATTTAGTCGATTTTCTCCTGATGGGAACATGTAAGACAAAAATAAAATTTCCAATATTACAGACCTTCTAGAGCAGATGCCGAGAAAACTATACAATTTATCGAAAAACTTGACGGTCTCACCTGTAGCAAATTGAATATGCTTTTTTTGGTTCAAAGTAGTCATGTCACTAGGACGCATAGTTTCCGAGGATTAAGCGAAAAACCGAAAAGTGGCACCTTTAAACCCCCCTCTCCCCGCCGGCTCAAGGGCTAAGGGCGGGGACTTTTGCTATGTTCACCTCCTAACTAGTCTAAATAAAGTCCTGAAGTCAGAAATTGTGTTCTACAGTTTTCCATCTATAATGCTTTATTGACTGGACTATAAGTGCCATTTTAAATTTAATTAATGATATTTTAAGTTTTTCTGTTGAGGTTTTTGATATTAAACTGTCCAACCAATCCTGATTTCGATGAACTTATTTATAGCATGTGTGTTGTGCTGATTATGAACGTATTTGCTGTAGAAATCTAACTAAAAGGCTCAAACTTATCAAGAGAAGGAACTTAATAGAAGTACGAACCTATTCAAGCACATTCTTTCTTATTTATCTTATCACTTAAAGGAAAGGTTAAAAAAAAATGACAACTATTGAGTGAACTAAAATGTTCAAAGAATAAAAACACAAGTAAACAATTGAATTATTAATAATACATTAGTGACACGAGTTAATGAGGAAAGTTGTTTTAACCCGTATCTTCCCAAGTACCTAAAAGCTGATTCGATTTTAACGAAATTTATAGTACTACATGTTAGTAACCTACTGAACAATAATATGTATAAGAAAAAAATAATCAGCTTTCTGTCTTTCAGTTTCAGTACCGATCCAAAAATGGAACAGTAGGAAGATATGCCACTGTAATAATTTTGCATTAGTTAGGAAGATTATTGTAAATAATACAAGGTTTTTATAAAAAATCGTATTATTATAATCGTATATTTTTATTAAACAATAAAATCACACATTATAAGTAAGATACATATCAAAATAATATATTTTTACACATTATTTTGAGTGAAAAGCAGAAGAACACTTATGGTTCCTGTCGCATCCAATGGGTTTTCCATGAATATGTTGTTTTGTTCCATGTTTTCCAAAATATGGAATCATCGACTCATCAATACTTAGATTTCTATCACCAGGGTAATATTTTAGCCATATATTTGTTGAGTAAATTCCATAAAGGACGAACTTTTTCGAACTTATCCTGTGGGGCCAAGTTAGTATTATCAGCAACGTGAAAGAATCGCAGCAGTTCTTCAAATCTCTTTCTAGGCATAGCAGCTGCCACACCTTGAAAATTGCAATCGACACTTTGCAAGATATCGCATGTACCTACTGGGAAGTAGGTACATGCGATATCTTGCAACACTATTGTATCTCGACAACAGAAGAATCCCAATAAAACGCTTTATTTCTTCAGTTGTAACTTTGAAATGATGATACCCTTTTTGAATTGCATTATTTTCAGTTTCAGAGCGAATTAGTTCAAACACTTCCGCGTCAAAAAAATGATCGAAAAATTGTACCGGACTATCAAGATGTTCTAAAAGTCAGAGCCACCTGACACTTTGTCTGCCTTTTCATGGACATCTGTTTTCCTCCATTTTCGGGAAGCAGGACATTTCTTTTTCGGTGGAGGTGGTTGTGGTGGTGTATCTAATAATGGCTCATTCGGAACGTCTTCTATGGCATCTAAATCGTTTTGGGATGACATAATAGCCCTAAATTCAACCTGTGCTAAGAGTTGATGTCTAGATAGATGATTTATATTTGAAGACTCCTCATCGCCGCTATCTTCATCGCTCTTGTCGTAATTATCTGGGGGTGTTATGTAAACACATCATCGACTTCCTCTAGATATGATACGATCTCATTTACCGACAATCTACAACAAAATAAATGAAAAATTATTACCAACAATTACATAAGTTTATAGAATGTCCCATCTCCATATTATCCTACTGATCCAAAAATGGATCGGTATAGTAAAATGTAAAAATTATATGCGAATACCCTATATTTATATTTCAATGCATTATTATATGGTATCTGAACCTATATTTGATAAAAACTCGATAAAACAAAAGCTGTCAACATATTAGAAATTATAAAATACTTACATTTGCCGATGAGACATTTTTTCACGAAAAACAAAAAAATTAAGCTCATGAAACTGCATTATTTGCGCGCGTGAACAAAAATCTGACAGATGGATTAGAGCGGTAGAACTGCCAGTGCTGCCAATATAAAGAAAAAACAATGGCTGCGTTAATGCAACTTTAATTAAAAAATATTTAACTAACCGATCCAAAAATGGATCACTGGGATGATACGGGTTAAATCAACATTCTTTAATTAAACTAATTGCATAATAATGATTGTAAAAAATATTATTTAACCCTCTCGTATTTAATTAATAACAATATTGATTTCTTTATGTTAATTAAAAACTGGTTTAGATTTTATATTCTTTTAGAGTCTTTCAGAAAAGAAGGGAAAATTTTATGAAATAAGTGATTAAATGAAAAGAATATCAATATTATTGTACCACCTACTATATTCTCAATTTGGCATTGGCCCTAAGGTTGAGGAAAACGCCAAATGGCATTAAGTGCGCCTTATTGAAACTGTGTTTGTTCTGCAGAANCCCACGGGAACCGGAATTCGCGGGAAAATCCTTTTGTATGAAAAATCTAAACTGCTTAAGTTAGACGCTTGAAATTTGGCATGCAGGTACCTTAGTAAACTTAAAGCTTAGTTACAACAGGATATTGCAAAATTCCCACGGGAACGGGAGTTAGCGGGAAAAAACATTTGTATGAAAAAATCTAAACCGCGTAAGATAGATGAAGGGGGTAAAACGGGATCCACGCGTACGAAGTCGCGGGCGGCCGCTAGTTGATCATATAAATAAATAAATAAGGAGCAGTAATGGATTCTAATATTAAACATGAATCTTACAACTTAGTTCACATTGTTATTTCACTAAGTTTTATATTACAAAAACTGTATAATAAATAGTAGGGTAAACCGTATAGCTATTGCCCACTTAAGATTGCAAACACATTGAGATGAAAAATTAAAGAAAGTATTTTAATTTATCGACCATTTATGACTTTTTTCTTATACCTCAATAAACTGTTAAACAGAATATTAACAATTTTTAGTTAAAACTTACGTAACTTAGAAAATATTGAAATAAATTTAAAATCCTCCAAAAAGTACAGTCATTGCCCATTACTTACACTAATTGCCCACATCAAAGCACAGTAATTGCCCAGTATCTTAAAACAAAATAATCAATTTTAAAATGACAAAATAGGCTTTAAATAAACAAAACAAAACAAAACATTAAACTTAAATACTAGTAATACAGTCTTCAAAATTTCAAAATAAATTGCGTTTGGCCTTATTAACATATTATCAAATATTTCTTGAGCTGATGTTGACAAGTCAGAATCGGTAGAGACAGAATCATCTACTTCAAAACAAAGATGACGCAAAAAATTGAATTTTATATGTATTTATTTTTTTATCTTCTTTGATATCAGTTCAAGTGGTTGCTCAGAATGTTCAATTAGCTGTTGGTTATTCTTCCCTAAAGTTGTATCTAATTCCTTACAATTAACTAGTAGATTTAACGTAGGATTGTAATTTTTTGTATTTGCGTTTGAATTTTTATCATTTTTTTCAAGCCAAACCATATTTTTCAGCAATTTATCTTGCAGATAAATTGTTGGATACATCTTGTACAGCTTCGATCGCTTTTTGCAAATTTTCTATGCTTTATTGAACTTTTGGAGTCTTTGGCATACTGAAAATTAAACATTAAAAGCCGTTTCAATATTTATGCCTGTAAATTGCAAAACAAGTCTAGCAATGAGCAACTTAAACACTGCTACTGCATGGTGGCAACACTCTAATAATAATTGCCCTGGGCAATAACTATACATTAACATATGGCAATAACTGAAATGATGGTGGGCAATAACTAAAAATATACAGATTTACGTGCAGTGATTACCCACCGTTATAATGACCGTTAGAAATCAAATTTTATCAGTTATTTTCATTGATAATGGAGAAAACACTTATAATTTCATCATGACTATACACCATTAGTTGAATATTAAATAACTTGCAAAAAAAATTTTACCTCTAAGAAAGTAATTCCTTAGTAAAATTGTTAAAGTCTTTACCTGTTTGAGTAACATTTTCACCCGTCTTGACAAAATCCGCCATAACTGTATTTTTTTAGTGTTTCCTATTGTAAATTTTAAATCTACTTGTACATTGATCTCGGAGCCCTCTACTCAGTAAATTCAAATCTAACTAGAGTGATTCAAAGTCAGCACCTGACAATATTATTCTTAAAGCGGGCAATCACTACCAGTGGGCAATCACTCTCTGGTTTACCCTAATTAATTAGAAATAAACTCACCAAGCAGCTGGGGTTGGGCTATAGAAGTAGATTGTGCAAGTGTATGCATGTTGCTCGCACCAGCTTGTTGAATCTGCAACAAAAATGGAAGTTAATTCTACAAGTTCTATTAAATACGAAGTTATCACTAGTATAGCACTTATAAATATGTATAAAAGTCATGCTCAAAGACTGAAGCGTCGATTCGCCAAATTTTTGTTATGACTTCTGAAAATGAAGAAAAACCACGGTTCCGAGCAGTAGTGGGGGTTGAAAACGCTCTTTGAGCGAAAAAACATCATCACAATGCGTTGTAGTCACTGTATAACGTCTATGTAGCGAAATTTGTGTTATGGCTCTTATAAAAACGCTCACGACGATGTGACAATGAAGAAATGCCATGATGAAGAGCCTTAGTTTAGTATAAAAATTGTTAGTATTAAAAATCTAATACCCAGTACTAAATTGCAGTTTGAGTCTCAAACTAAGAACTTTTGAGACTAGATGGCGCTGTGCACAACGTACAAGGAAATTATTTAAATTGATGACACAATACTTCGCGTAGGTTCATACAACACATAACCCCGATGACTATCATGTTATTATCGCATAAAAACTCCAAAAATGTGTCCAAATGTTACTGCAGTGTTGTACAACATTACACCACAAGGTTATATCGACGTTCAGAACTCCATTTCTATTTTGGATGCGCGCGTCGCTTCTATAGTCTCTATTTATAACGAAGCTGATTCACTATCGGTCAACCGTGTGACACGTTAGCCTGAGTTTTTTTGTTTACGTTCGCGTGTTGGGTGTGTTTTCTACATTTTTAATCGAATAGCAACTGTTTTTGTGAAGTTTAGAGTGTTGTAAGTTTAAATTAAGGTGACTCAATTTCTGGCGCTGATTCTTCTCAGCACTGGCCCATTTATTGTCACGAAGCAGTGGTAGGGTTAAAGAAATACTGTTAGGACGTGTTAAAGCGCTTTTTAAAAGTCTATTTACAGAAAATAAATGACTTATTTAAGATTGAACTGTTATTGCTCAATGTCATAAATTATATAAAAATACTGAAAAATTCCACGCGAGCGAAGCCGCGGGCGGAAAACTAGTCATATCTAATATAGTAAGGAACTAAGAATATACTTAGCAAAAGAGTTTTAAGGGAACCAAGTTTCAATATTTTTCTTACCAATATAAAATGCACAGAGCTCTAAGAACATATAAGTTATACAGCTTGATGTATATTTTGCCGGCAATTTTATCAATTAGCTAAAGTCAGCTTCATTATAACAGCTTCAGACTACGTCGTTAGCAATTCCAATGACCTAGTGCAAGCTAGGTCTATTACACAGTACAGCAGTTGTTTACACCTACCGTGATAAATGATAACCTACGCCGGCCAGTTTATCATGCATTTGTATGTACACAGTGGAGATGATAATATGCATGTCGCAAATGGGTGGAACCTTGGCAATGTTTTTTTTTTATGCTTGAAAAATCAAAATAAAAAACCTTTTTATAAGAAACTACATTAAAAGTATGATTACTTTTTCTGAGCTCCCGTGATATTTCTTAAGACCTGAAGAGAAATGAGAGTGGCTGAAAATCAATGCTTTCTAGAATATAGGTTGTCCTTGTCAGCATAAGCTGAGCCACTTTAAATTGCTTTACCATAAGTACTTCTTATTTTGTTATTCCAATTTGTTATTTCAGAGCAATATTTTTTGACTTCTTACAAAACTAAGTTGACAAAATTGTAAGAAACTGTACATAAAGGACTCGCCCACCAGTAGTCACCAAACCTATCCTGGAAGACCTATCCAACAAAGAATATAAAAATCTAAGCGTCAAACTTATTAAAGGCTATCTTTAAACAACAAAATTTCATTAATCTAGTTAATGTAATTGTAATAAATTTTCCCCATCGGGATTTAAACCCGAACCACCAGTCTTTTGGAGCAGGTAACATTAGTGCCAGTTTTAAATCCATAATCGCTTCGTTCTGGCTCTTTAGCGATCGCAAAATTCAAACTGTCACGTTACTTTGTCTAGGCACGACGAAAATCTCGAATCGATTGTGCCATTGTGATGTTATTTTTCGAAGTCGTATTACATTACAATAAATTACTTTATAACAAAACATTTCAACAACAAAGATGGCGGAGTCAGACTTTCCTTAAACCTTGACTTTGAAGTCGGAACACACGACTGTTTAAATAATTTATCAACGGAAAAACTCGAGCGAACGATTGTCCAAGATTATCTTTTGAGTAATGCAAAAACTACAAAAACATCCTACTAGATAGGGGCCTAGTGGATAACGCTCTGTCAACTGATAGATACCTTTCAGCTAGGACACACCTAAAGACTGTGGGTATTTGTTTCCAATTTGGTTCTATTGCAATGCAACCTAAAATCAAGAGGGAAGTGAACCTTAACTTCGAACTCCTATATTCTTCTGATTAATTTCGTTGCGGGTCCAATGACAGTTTAACTTTCCCCCGGGACAGGACAAACTTGACCTTCACTGGTTGTGTTTTTATTGGCGGTCAAGCTGTAGATCCTGGCCACACAGGAGTTGCGCGTTGGAACGAGAGGTGGGAATAGTCCCGTAATCTAAAATCAACCTGTGTCTCAAAATGGTGACTAAGTTTCTTGCGCTGCTTCTCAGCACTGACCCATTTATTGTCCCGAAGCAGTGGTAGGGTTACAGTAATACTGAGACGTGTATGAACGCTTTTTAGAAGCCTATTTAAAGTAAATAAATTACTTTTATGACTTTTAAACAAATACTTTCGATATCGAAGTGCACGTCAACCCACAACAACATAAAGTCTGTCTGTTACCAGGGGTAGTGAACTTAGCTGTTCAAACTCGCACAATAAACGAAGAATAGGTATTCCATCTGCAGTTTTCTGATCGAAAAAGGGTTAGCAACCACTGACAGGGCAAAAAAGGAAGGTGACTTTACAAAGTGAAACCTTATGCTGCAACAACAATTTATTTCCTGTCTGTATCTATCTATCTATATCGCTCGACTGATGTGGAGCGTCGCTCAGCCGTGGAAGACTTCATAGCTGAAATGAACTTAGTTATTCACAACACCCCTAATGCACCACCAACCTACAGTAGCCCAACGGGCGAGTCTTATATTGACGTCACGCTTTCTAGCGCAGACGTCCAGCNCTTCATTGGTTGGGTTTGTGGGGCGGCTAACCTGTAGATCCTGGCTACACAGGAGTTGCAGTGGTGGGAACGAGAGGTGGGAATAGTCCCGTTTGTCTGTATCTATGAGGATAATGTCGTTCTTTGAATGAATAATACAATCCTTGCCAAAACTCATTAAATTGGAGCTCTCCCAAGCTTAGCAAACGGTGACATCCTTTGGCAAACCATCAACTAAGTGCATTGACATCTTCACAATGCTATAGGTATTCGATTCTATCCATAAACCGTAAAGTATGTAGCTTAGAACGTTTTATGATTGTCTGAGTACAGGTAGATTGATGATCCATAAAAATAGCGAAACAAAATTGACGATGCCTTTTGGTTAGTTGGTATTCTGTACATTTTGTTACATCTGGCAGTTAGTATCATATCGGCCAATATAATCAAATGTTGCCACATATAAACGCTGATTTTTATACTGTAAACTCCTGAGATTTTAAAATAGCAGCTTCTCTAAACATCATTTGTACAGACCACCACAAAAGGAAAGCTATTGGGTCTACCTCTTTACATGTGAAAAATGCTTTGCTCAATAAAAATCAAGTTTCAGTTTATAGTCTTGATACATCAGCCTTTTAATCTGAATTTCTGATGAAATTTTTGAATCCAATAAGTCTTCAGGACTGGACTGGTTGATGAATAGTCTTCAAATCTTGGGAGTGGAGTTACAGAATAATGTCCAGTGTTTAGGCAGGCAGCTCGTGGCATCTTTGGCAACAGGCTAAGGACGACAACTTTAGGGTTTAATGGGTAGGAGGAGCCCCAATAGAGAGCCTCTCAAAAGGAGAAATCCCAATAGTCTCTAAAGAAGGAAACCCTTTTACCCTTGAAAAGGAGGCTGACAATAGTGACTGAGTTTCTTGCGCTGCTTCTTCTCAGCAATGGCCCATTTATTGTCCCGAAGCAGTGGTAGGGTTAATACTAGGACGTGTAAAAGTGTTTTTAAAAGCCTATTTGCAAAAATAAATGAGTTTTAGAAGAGAGCCTCAATAAGTCAGGTATGCAGTTCAATATAAAGTATTCCAACGTCCTTTGGCATATCGTCAAATGTCAATGCACTGCTGTCAGCTGAATCACTTACAACGCGAGCGATCGATCCAGCGGAACATATGGCTTGAATAATAGAACAACCGTTGTGATTATGGGCGTGTTTCAGTGGAGTTAGTATTACTATTACCTACTTCTTATTGATGTTCTTTTCTGAAAATAGATTTGCGTGGTAGTTATTTTCCTTTTTCATTGGATTTATCTCCAACGAGTAAGTGGGCGTCTTATGGTAAGTTTGATGAAACGTGGTCTTTAATCGGGTCCAGTTTATGTTTGAAGAAACGTTTTCTGCATTCAGTTCCAAACATGTATTTAGCTTCTTGGCTATCTTAGTGGGGTCGTCGGTCCATCGAGCAGGTAACCTTACGCTACGGTTGCTGAAACGTGGCCATTTGGATTCATTTACTCCATTTTCATCAATTCTCTGACAGATTATTGCCACATTTTACTGGACAATGTCCATTACTTTAAACTTTTGCCGAATGGCCTTGTTCAGGTTTTAAATATCTGACAAGGCAGGTATTTGGTAGTTTTACCCTGCCAAGTAAATGCCTTTCCTTGAAGAGGCGCTGTTGATATGTGGACTTTTCCTTAGGACATTATTCTATTTGAAGAGATACTCATTTTTGCTATAGGTCGATCGTTCATCTTGATAAAAGTATAACTTCACCTGTCCAGGTTGCGCGGTAACTTGAAACTATTTTTACTATCCGAATCGCATCTAAAACTGGACTAACCTTCGGTTTTTTGCTAAATATCTCGCTGCGCAGTTAATACTTATTTTTTGCACCGTTTGTTATGCTAGCGTTATAAACTGTTTTGTACCTAATGTATTTATTTACGTTTTCCCGAATTGAATAACCTATTTACCAGTTACATAGTTTTCCTGTTCTTCTGATTAATTTCGTTGCGGGTCCAATGACAGTTTAAACTTTCCCCCGGGAGAAACTTGACCTTCACTGGTTGGGTTTTTATTGGCTGCAAGCTGTAGATCCTGGCTACACAGGAGTTGCAGCGGTGGGAACGAGGAGGGAATAGTCCGGTACATTGAGTTGGTGAATAACGGAAAGTGAAAATAATATAATAAAATATTCAATAGTAACCGCTTCATAAGATGTGTGCAATATTGTCAAATAAATATGCATTCACATACACTGGCTCACTATGACTTATTATGAAATAAAAAAACTACTTCGACAAAAAAATCCACCCATTTCTTTCATTACTGTGTACTTTTAATCAGAAAAAGAAGAATAATTATTCTGCTAATTTTATTACAGAAGTAGGTAAATTTTAATGTTTACACAATGTCTATGCATGCATAAAGCTTGTATGTATTACCATCCATCAGACGCCACATACCGTGTTGGCATTGTGGCAACACCAATGGTAAATTTAATGTATCCCCTGAACGAAGTTGCAGACCTATACCCGAGGTAAGCAACGTGTATCTTAGGGAAAACTACAGCATATTGTATAGATCGTTTTATCCACGAAGACGCGCCCCACCAATTTTGGATCGAGGGAAGCACGGGGTGCGGGGAGTTTGATCCGAGCAATCCGAGCGTCATTATTGTAGTGTGCATGTGCACTCATGGATGATTTAGCGTGTACCGATAACACTCAAACATTAGCGGAAGAATGATGGGGCGCGTCTTCGTGCTAAAATGCTTCGTTAAAGCTTCATTACATCATGCATTGCACAGTCAACGGCATATCTCTACGTATTATAAAACAAAGTAGCTCCATGTCTGTCTGTAGGCTTTTGATCTTTTAGACTAAACAGCAGATTTTAACGCTGTTTTCGTCATAAATAGTGATTCAAGTATAATACTTTGATATCTCTTTTTATCATTATTTAGACAATTTTGTTCAAGTTTTTTAGACTTAGGAAAAAAGCATTCCAGTTGTCCACGCTATAATAGCCTTTGTGCTCTTTGAGCTTAGGAATTTATTCCTTGACTGATAATATCAAGGCCATATTCTCCATTGCAGGGGGACAACCCTCTGTAAGATACGCTCCCCATCTGGCCAAACGGGTTGGATTGGCCTGATTTTAGCATATTCCTTTTGTCATTTACGATATCCACGGGAAGAGTGGATAGTCCTTCCTTTCGATTCTACTCTGGTTCATACTTCATACACGTGTGTTAACCCTTAGGCTGGTTTTAGTGTCACGCGGACTGTCAGTGCGGATTGGTCCGCACAGCCGATTTGTATGAACTGCTAGGGAGCGGAGCGGTTCCTCCGGATTACTCTAAAACGCTCCCTAGAAGTTCATACAGATTGGCCGTGCGGAGCACCGGACGGTCCGCGTGACACTAAAACCAGCCTAAGTGCCTTTTTCCTGATGCGGATTTCGGCTCGCGTGCGGATCTAGTCCTTATGCGTGTAAAATCACGCTGCTGGTTGCAGAACAAAGATTTCGTATTGTGTGCCCGCAGCCGATCCGCGTTCCACGTGCGTGTAGCCCGCGTAATAGGATAAAACATGGAAATAATGAAATGCGGGTAAATCCGCATCACAGGAAAAAAAACTAACCAGACTAACGCCCGTATTCACAAACGATACTTGCTTAAGTTAGGCAGCAAATCGAACGCACAGCGTCGAATACAGCTCTGTGATTGGTTCGTGTGTCACCCTGTGCGTCCACACGCACTGTGAGACCTCATAGAAATGTTTGTGAATACGGGCGTAAGACTGCGTTTCCACCAGAGATGTGCGAGGATGCGTAGCGTTGTAAAGGACCAATAGAATCGTTTCATCTCTGGTAGAAACGCAACCTTAGGAGAAAACTATGTAACATATTTGGTTTTCAACACAATCTACACAGCATTAGAGTTCAAATTACCTGAGCTGGCGACTGGGTTGGCAGCGGCGAGGGCTCATCAGGCCCGAGCCGCGGCACGGCCGTTCGCTTCATCATGGTAGATCAGCAAGGGCCCATCACACTTTCACCTGGAATACAAATAGCAACCTTATTAGAACGGTGTTGGGGTCATTTGAGCGTAATAGGTTAACATAGCATAAGGTTGTGTTGCCTTTTTGGCCACTTTGGGTGTCACGAACTTTTTGACGAGTGTGCCCTCAGTGGCGAAAAAACGCAAGTTCTTCGCCATCAACCAAAAGAAGAAGAAGAACTATTTGACGCTGACTGTACGACGAAGCCGCGCAGTTTTAATCGTCAAAACCTATACCAATTTAATATTATCTACAATGATACTGACGCCCTTATTCACAAACAATGCTTGCTTAAGTGAAGCAGCAAATCGAACGCACAGCGTTGAATAGAGCTCTGATTACTTCGTGTGTCACCCTGTGCGTCTAAGCGCACTGTGAGACCTCATAGTTTGTGAATACGGGCGTAAAATCATTCAGAGTGAAGTGTTTTATCATTTTCGGCACGCCACAAACCATACAGGCGATATGACGCTTCCAATGATAAAATCGATATACCCCCATGTACGCAGTTGCAAGCCCATTGGGGAAGGCAACGGGAAGCGGGGGATACGCCGCCACTGGTTCTCAAAGATAAGGTTGATGCTCGTATTCGCAAACGATACTTGCATAAGTGAAGCTGCAATCGAACGCACAGCGTTGAATAGAACTCTGTGATTGGTTCGTGTGTCACCCTGTGCGTCTACACGCAATGTTTGTGAATACGGGCGTGTACAGTGTAGACGTTTGGGAAAAAATAAAACCTTATGACAGTATAAAATAAAGGTGGTGTTATGAATTTCTGGTTTCAAAGATAAGATTTGGGAATTAACACCACTGAGCAAGAGTGGAGGGGTGAGATTTATATGGCATTTCTAATACAAATAATGCTAGAGCGACTACGAGGTGGCTTGTTTGCATCACGGAATTAAATACCTAGTGCAAAAGAAGAAAAAGGTCATGTTTATGTTAATTTTTAGAAAAAGTCACAAACAGACATTTACTCTTTGTAATTACTCTTCTAAAAGGACATTTACATTTGTAAATGCTATATTTATAGCAAGCAAGACTTGGTCCTGTTTTGTACTTATATTCTGTATTATAGAAATCACTTTATCTCTTTTCTTTTTTTAAAACGGATTTATTTATTTTAATTTTAATCCTAGAACAAAATTAACCGTTTTTATGGTTTAAGACATTTATTTCTCTAAAAGAATTACATTCACTTACAAGAGAAATACAAAATTAACCTTAAAACTATAGATTATTTAAAGTTTATACAATTTTATTTGTTTACATTTTAATATTTTTTGCACGAAGCAGACGCGTACAATAGCAGTCACTCGAGTATTAATATATTGGCCATTCGTGGGTACACTAAGAAAACAGTAGTTATAATTCGTAACGACAGGTCCAATTACGTATCGTATTCTAGTTTCTATGAGAATGTTGTACTTAAGTCACTTTTTTTTTTAAAGTTATTTTGATTTTATTTGCTTCAACCATTTTTAGTATTATTAAATTATCATTTTAACAGATTTAATTAAACTCCGAGAATTGGCTCATGAAATAAAGTTTAACCTTTTTTTTGAACGATAGGAATGATTTTGTGCCTTTGATGTCATTAGGTAATTTGTTATACAGTTTCGCCCCTTCATACAATACATTTTTCTTACCATAGTTTGTTCGGGGTCTTAACAATTGGATGTCATTGGGTTTTCGTAGGGAACGTTTTGAAAATTGTGATTTAATATTAAAGGATATTTGTGTATGAATATACTTTGCTAGTATTTTACGTACAAGTATACATGTATTGTATTTATATATTTGGGACAAAGACATAAGTCCGGTTTTTTTATAAACTTCTGATGTTGGAGTTAAGAAGTCAAAATGAAACAGCAATTTTATAATTTTATTTTGAGCGGTCTGTAATTTTTTAAGGTTAGTTTTAGCAGCACAACCGTATAGCTCGATTAAGTAATCTAGGTGGGGTTTTACCAATGCATTGTAAATGGTATATCGGACGGACGTAGGAAAACAGTGTACGTTACCGCGCAGGACAGACATTAGGTTTGATAATTTTGCTCGGGTTTTTTCGATCTGTGGTTTCCAAGTTAATCGACTATCAAGTATGAGTCCGAGGTATTTTTCAGAATCCACTTGGGTCAAACGTTCATTATTTATGCTGAGAGGCTCGAAATCAGATATGGGCTTATTTTTGGCGCTAAAAATAATGAAATTGGTCTTAGCTATGTTTAAAGTTAGTAAGTTAGATTGAAACCAAATAACTAGCAAATCTAGGTCATCCTGTGCATCTTTGGCAATAGAAGTCATATTACTGCCGGAGTAAAATAAGCACGTGTCGTCAGCATACAATGAGACTTGACCTTTGAGATTCAGATCACTGATACCATTTATGTAAATTAGGAATAATAGGGGTCCTAAGATAGATCCCTGTGGAACTCCAAAGGTAATCCCCTCAGGACGGCTGTGAATGTTATCAATTTTTACGATCTGATATCTGTTAGTAAGATATGATTGAATCATTTTATGCACAACATCTCTGATACCAACCGAGTTCAACTTATCTAGGAGCAGCTTGTGGCTTATCGTATCGAAAGCTTTTTTAAGATCGATAAAAACACCGAGAACTATCTGTTTCTGATCAATTTTTAGTTTGATATCAGTGATAAGATCTACACACGCAGACAAGGTATTAGACTTAGGACGAAATCCATACTGCTTGTCAGAAAGGAAACTAATGGAGTTCAAGTACTGTTCCAGCTGATTATAGACAACTCTCTCATATATTTTTGAAACAATTGGTAAGACAGATATGGGCCTATAGTTACCAACATCAGTTCGGCTACCTGATTTAAATATTGGACTGACCTTTGCCACTTTAAGTGAGTCGGGAAAGCAGCCATTTTCTAAAGAACTATTAATGCAGTTCGTTAATTCGTCTAAAATTAAAGGTTTGATAATTTTAATAGTTTTAGGGCTTATACCATCAAGACCGCTACTCGTGTTTGAATTCAAGTTTTCGATTATTTTATTAATTTCCTCTGTTGTAACCGGGTTAAATTTTGAGAATTCGTTTTGGGATTGCTGTGTATGAACTATTTGCATAATATTTGTACTTACATGACAGGTGTGAGATAATATATTGTTCGCAAGAACAGAACCAATGTTAGCAAAAAATGAGTTGAAGCATTCACATATTTCTGCAAGATCGGTAATTGGACCTGTATTTGTCACAATTTTGGTAGGGGATACGCTAGTTTTAAACTTATTATTTGTTAAATTATTTAAGAGTTTCCACATTTTAAGAGGCCTATTTAAGCAGTCGTTGAATAGTTTCTGGTAGTACACGGATTTCGTTTTTTGTATAGTTTCACGAACTTTCCTCCTTTCTCTTAAGTACTTTTCTTTTGCAGCTTCGTCATCTGGTGCTCTGATGTAGTCATATCCAAGCTCATTTCTCTTACTGATAGCTTTAATTATATCCTTGTTGATCCAGTCCATTTTTGGAGGGTTTATCATCTTAGTCTTATTTATTTTGCTTCTTCTCACAGATTCAAGTAGTTTTTCCTCTAATTTCTCATATTCACCATTACACTCGTCTATTTTCACGGACTTTAATTCATCAAATAGTGTGCTATAATTAATGGCTTGATACTCAACTCTCTTGGTCCTCTCTGGTTCAAATCTGTTCACTTCCAATGCAATGTGCTTGTGGTCTGATATTACCGACTCTATAATAGTTAAGTGAAAGGTGTTATTTTTAATGTTTGAGCAAACGTGGTCCAGGATCGTTTTTGAAGTTGCTGTCTCTCGTGTGCAATATTTGGGATCAATTTGATTAAGTATAATAAAACCATCCTCCTTTAACATTTCTCGGTAATCTCTGGTGGGTTTACTTCTTTTAAGTAAATCGTAGTTAAAGTCTCCAAATACTAATGCCCTCCTTCGCTTAAGCATCTGCCGCGAATAGGATTCAAGAAAGTTAAGATTGTTGGTCCTCTCAGGTTTGTAAACAGCACCTATGTCCAAGGAGAATTTGCCTATGTGCACCCACAAGAAGTGGTTGTCATTCTCACAAAGTTCATCAATGCAACTATGATTAAGGTTATTGTGTACGAAGATCGAAACACCACCCCCCAACACATCTCTCCGGTAATTATAATAGTGGGTATAATTCGGCAGCTGTATACTCTGGGCTTCTGATTCAGATTTTATCCAGGTTTCTGTTAATATTATAACATGTATCTGATGTGGCGTAGAATTAATGATGCATCTGAGCTCGTCTAGTTTTCCTGGCTTCACGATACTCCGTATGTTTGCATAGAGGAACTTTAGTGATTTACTATTTTGCATGAGGTTTGTATGGTTGCTCACGATGTCATAAGTTATTGTTTCGTTCACGGCTTGAGTTGCTTTAGCGGATTCTGTTAGTTTTTTGCCTGAATCAATTTTGGGATACCCTTGATGAATTTGATAGTCAAATCCTTTTCCTTTTTTTCCATTTTTATCTCATTATTTTACTATGAGATGAGCTAATGGGTGCCGTTACTTAACGAATTTTGCAAAGACTCGACCCTAAACTGCATAATACACGAATAACGATCAAACCAAGGGCAGCTTTGGTGCGAAAGTAAGACGACCTTGGCACACTGTGTCGTATTGAATCGGTTGACATTTAAAATCGAGTGTAACACCAATGGGCGTGTAAAATTGTAAACTTGTAAAAAATTCAATTTAATCGTAAAAATGTACAGTTGACAGCACATTGTTTTTGCAAAATTGCCTGTATTACAAAAAGATAAGAGGCTAATGTGTTTAGCTTGACCATTAACTGTAGATTTTGCTTGTAAGTCAAGCCAAAAGGCTGGTAGTTGGAAAATAGCAATCTTTTATAAGTCTGAGAAGGAGCATCAGTGTTTTAAAATAAAATACTTCATGATCTTCATCTGTGTCAAAAAAACATACCACATAATGAAGTTTGTATAGTTTCAAGAACTAAAAACCAGTCTAACATTAAAAAAATAAAAAAAATATGCTAACAAGAAACAAAACATTGTTTTTTATAATGAACTAATACCTGCACCATAATCAATGAAACAAAAAAGCTGACAGAAGTTTAATTATTCTTTGTTTATCATTTTTCACTTTTCACGTTTTCCAGTTTCAAGCCAACAATTGACAGGACAATAAGAGGCGAAGCGGACGGTTTCTTTGTCGTGAATAAATTACGGAGCTCCGCTATAACTGCATCGGACTATTAATTTAATTTGCCGGTGTTATTGTCGACAATATAATGAAGATGAGCGGATAAAGTAGACTGGTTATATTTTTAGATATTTGTGCAATGTGATGAAATAAACTGAACCACTGATTAACGTAATTGCTAGCTAAATCCAATGAATTTGCAGAATAAATATTTTTTTTCATTGTCTTTATTAACCCTTAACTGGTATCGTGGGGGCCGCGCGGCCCCCACGCATGACGTTTTCTTTGATATCTAAGAAGCTACGCATCGTGGGCAGCCAAAATTTTTGGTATTCTCATTTCGGCGCTACTCGCGTCTGGTGCAGGCGTTTCAGCACTGTATCATTCACCAGGACGAAGAATATGCACGTGTTGGGGTCCGCGCGGCCCCCACAATACCAGTTACGTTAGTTTTTTTTTCATGGCAATTTTTATTTGTATTTTGTTTTTTTTGCAGTATTGATGGCTTATTAGTGATAAAACAATAGAAGATACCTAAAACGAAGTTTTTGATTCCAAATTAGTGATTAGTAGCATGTCAGAAGAAGGATATAGTGATAATAAAATTATAGGTCATTGTGAAGACTCAATAACCAATATTCGGTCGATAATGAGGATACTGCTTCTAATTTTCTAGTGTTTTCTTCAGAAAGTGAAAATGAAGATGTTGTAGGACCTAGTCAATCCAGCTACTATGAAAAAATAAATACAAGTGGTCTGAAAATCCACCAGCACCTGCTAATGTTTGTCAAAATAATATTTGTTTTTATTTTTATAAAACGCTTATTATTTTTACTAAACATTACATTAAAACGTTATTTATTATTAAGTTCACATTATTATGGATTAATTAAAATAATAATATTTTTTATTATAACTTTCTAAACGTAGGTTTCATAGATATTTGTAACGTTAAAAAAATATTACGTAAAAAGTTGTTACTATTATGTAATGTCTTGAGGTATATAAGTAAGAAGATTTAATACAATAAAAACTAAATGATTACATAGAAAAAGCCTGATATTATATCATTTATGAGCATTTATTCAAGTATATAGATAAAACATGCTTGCTAGAAGCAAACATAGTATGGGGGCCGCGCGGCCCCCACGATACCAGTTACGTATGTCCAATTTACGATACCAGTTAAGGGTTAAGAAGACAGCTTTGTATTAACAGTTGAATTAAGTGATTTTTACTTGAAAAATGATAAATTACAAATGCTTATCTGGCTTTAAGTCACTCAAATATGTCAGTATAAAACGTAGTTCTAAAAATTATCCCTCTGGACACGTGGTCCGACTGCTTTGTCCGATTAATCGGACCACGTGAACTTTTTTTTCCTGTTGGTTCGATTAATCGGACTACAAGGAATCGCAATTCCACTTCGTCCGACTAATCGGACTTGAAATAAATTAAGGGTGGTATGCAACAAAATCGATCCATGGAAACTATTTCTCGTGACAATTTCATATTAACTACCAATGCGATGCTCTTTGGTCATAATAATAACAAGAGCTTCCTCGTGAACGGCTTGGCATTATTATAAATATACTATTAAATAAATTCATAATAATGAATTTAAATCAATATTGATTTGAATAAATTAATACAAATATGTAAAGGTATAAATATTTTTAATTAAAGATTGTTTCATTTAATGTAAAACAACCTCCTTTTAGTTCAATTCAAAGTTCAACTGAATTGAACTTTCAGGAAAAAAAACCGTAAAGTCAACTTTCTTAAGTAATCTTTCAAGGAAGTTGAAATACACGGATTTTTTTTATAAACATTTCCTAAATGTTTATATTATTATAGATAAGTAGGTTATGTAGGTAGGTATTCATTTGTTTTCCAAATTTTCAATAGGGATGATTCCTGGGTAAAAAGCAAGAGTTTTAATTAGTCCGTCAGTTAGCTTATCAAAAAATACTCGACACCTATTTTTCACTTTTTAAAACTAATGAAAATGTAAAGAGATAAAGCGTGCCAAAGTTCTAAAGAAAAGGCCCGTGACGTCAGTGAGTGCGTAAAAGTGCTGCACTTTGTGACGTCACGCGGAACTTCAACGCACTGTAACTTTGTAATTATTTGTTTGATTGGCAATTAAATAATTCAAGTCCAATATTTTTTTATATTAAAATTGACGGACGAAAAAATTTTTTTTAGGAAACTAGCCTAAAAATCTATCAAAAATATTCAATAGATTTATTGTAGTTGAATTTTTAGGAAAAAATATTTCCGTTCATTTCAAATTTCTAGAAAAATTATTGAAACTATGGAATTTTTTTCCTGAAAGTTCAACTCAGTTAAACTTTGATTTGAACTAAAAGGAATAGGTCTGTTATAGTTTTTCAATCAAGAAAATGCAATTAAATAGTGTTGCGTTAATGAAATAATAAATGTATCTTTCTTTCTTTCTTTCAAATAGGTTGGGCGGTTAAATGTCGGACCATGTAACCTTAAGAACAGAAAGTCTTGATAGTCCGACTCCTTAATCGAACCAACAGGAAAAAAAAGTTCACGTGGTCCGATTAGTCGGACAAAGCAGTCGGACCACGTGTCCAGAGGGAAAATTATCCGAATTAGATACCTACCTAACTTTAAAAGAATATAAAGGAACATGTTGGAGGTAACATGGGTCACCAGTGACCCTTAACTGATGAGTTTTCTGTTGTATTTAGTTTTTTAACAAATTAGACTAAAGTGTACCTATGCAAATTTTCATCATATTTAAATTGTGATTTGCTATTGATTTTTAAGTCATATTGAAAAGCAACTGGACTCTGGTAAACTTCTTATTTTACCAGCTTTAATACTTTTTAAGTATGATGAAGCATTGGCTATCCAATATTGGTTATTTTACCAATGCAGAGCCACAGTGCTGTCGATTTTTTGACTAGAGGAATAAACAATAACCAGAGGAAAATAACTTATTATTAATATACCGATAATTTTTTATCTAACTAGGTGCACGCGTACGGGGTCGCGGGCAGTGTCAAATAAATTGGCAAAATATCCCAATACCACGTGGATATCAGCGCGCGTTCATTTGTTTTAATCAATACTTAGGTACCTACTTACTTAATTAAAACATAACCTGCATGATTTATTTATAGGTTATGTTGTTCCCTACTTCAACATGTATCTCCGTATGCGGACTTCAATAGATAAAAGCAGTGATTACGTTAACAGTATCACTAACAGAAGCTCAAGGAAAATGCAATTTTCATTGAAATTTTCTCTATTTACGAAGCACGAGAACCAAGATGGATTCCTATGACGTCATCATCGGACTTCGCAATATTGTAGCCGCGGTTCACGAAAACTTAGCGTAATATGTGAATTTTGCAACGATTTAACTTACGTATCGATCTAAACACGTTGAAACAAGAACAGCACACACTATTGTACGTTTATATTCGGAATTTATTACATGAAGCCAGCTTGGTTTCTTTTGAAACCGGTCTCACGAGGGCGCGATGACACAAACTCGCACTTATTTATAGCGGAAAACGTACACAAATCGATAACAGGCCGGGCACAAGAACAACTACATTGAACGGGGCGTCGCAAAATGCGTTTTACAGCAACTTTCGTCTCTCACTTTTGCAATCACAAAAAAAATGACAGCCATCATGACAGCAGCCAGTGTCCCGCCTTTTTTTATGGGTGCGTTCGGAAACTCGCAATTTGAATTAGATTCAATGTAGGTATAGCTACGTTCACCGAAATGTTATTATTATTTCCACAGTGAATCATAGCGAGCGGATCTCGTTTGAAGAAAAAGTCGAGGTTGATTGAGGATAATCATCTTTCAGAGTAGAGCGGTAAAGTCCGGTTTACGTTGAACCGGTAGAAACGAGGACGGCGCGGCGGTATTCGTCACCGACGTAGAAAATGGCGACTAAATACCAACAATTACATCGCGCGTTCAACGTCAAAGCGAATCGATGTTTTAAAGTATCTGAAGACCACTAACTAGCCTACTTCATGTAACCGAGAACCGAAAGATGCAATAAGCGGCTTATCTTTCCAAGTGACGGAGATAAAGGTTCGCCTACTTTTATAAGAAAAATCAAAAACGTTTACATACCGTTGAATAAGTGGTGATAATGCGTTGAAATCTTCGTGAACGTGATCAAAACGTCTTTTGTAACTCAGAAAACTGTTGTTAGACAAGGAATTGTGATAATAACGCGTCACGGCACGCTCCGCGCGACATTCGTGCGCCTTCAAATAGCGCAGCGGCGCAACTTTTTCGAGCGCGGCGTCAACACGGTCAGGTGGGCGAGGTTGCGACACTGCCATAGCGCAGTCTCTTTCTCGCGGCTCTCGCTCTTTCGCGCGGTGCGCTGTCTCGCTCGCACTCGTGGGGAGGCCTGGGATCGGGCAGGAGGGACGCGCGGAGCCCTCCGCGAACGGACGTCGCGCACCGAGCTGCGCGGCCGACTGACTGCGACCGACGCCTTTTGCCGCGCGCGGCCCTGCGGGGCCGAGAATCGAGCTCCCAGCTCACAACGGAGCGGCAACGTCGCCGTCGAATAATAGCAAACGAACGGACGTGATATGAAAATGCCACGAACCTCCACGGAGGTGGTGGACCAAAACAAATCTCCTTTCTCTAAAATTATACAACAGTTGCGATCGAGAGCACGGGCGGGCGCTTCGTTTCTGTTTCCCGCCAAAATTGACCACTTTCTACGTGTAAACGCGAAGTGGAGGTACGAGCGATGACCTAGATGCGGTTGGACAGAATTTTTATTCAAGATGGCATACAGGTTTTCTGTTAGAGCTACCAATAACTCGGCGATCGGCGTTGCTCTGTGCGCGAGTGTAGGTTGCCACCGCCTCGGTGGCGGGATAAGTAGGTATCGGGCTGGTTGCCTTGGCGACAGAAACTTGTTACAGAGGATTACAATAAGATAATTGGAATGGGGGATCCGAGTGCAAGTACAATAGAATTGAATTTCCAGTTTTATGTTGCGAAAGGAGCACCTTTTGTATTGGATGTGAGAGAAAAACAATGCCCGCTTTACTTTTTGTTTTAAAAAGCGCTGATACTTTTTACTTGTACATTCTCTAATGAAAATAAGTTAAGAGGTAACAACCTCAGGGTCCTCAGGTGATGTCAAAGGATTACACAAAGAAAAGCAAATACAATGTCAATCATGTTTTATTGACCAAAATATCTTCTATGTGAGATCCCCGAACCTAAAATGAGAAATGTGATGAAGCTGTTAAACAATTAGTCAACATTTTCAAATGAAAGGACTAACTACTACTATCTACTACTAACTAGGAGTAAAGCAATTTATTATTTGTAACTACAGTTCAACACAATCAAGGAATCAATGAAGTTTCAATTATTTAATGTCTGCTGCCAGAAGTTCTACCTCGTAATTTATTTACAGGACGTACAGAATGAGGTATAGATCCTACAGAATATGACAAAGAACATAGATACGAGTATTAACCCCGAAAATTAGAGAAAGAGGAACTTTTTGTAATCGAAAGAACAGATTTTCAGAAATTAAGCTCATAACAATCCTTGGTATTAAATATTGACCAAGAGCATCGGAATCAAAGTTTTTGATTCGTCTGGCCTCTAACTTTGTTTGTTTTCACGATAGATGGTATATGAAATTCATTCTGCGAATCTTTAACTGTTCAAAATCAAATACACGTATTTAATCTCTTATCAATAAGGTTCAGAAAGGGCCACGCATCATGGGGACACGACAACATCTTGCAGAAAAATTGGCAGACCCTTTCATGGTATTTGTTTTTATTCCGTTAAAGTTTACTACCACGAGATGCTATGCTACTATAATACTACAAAGGAAACCACCACACTGGAGTATACAGGTACCCAATAAAAACTTGACCTACGTCATAGATCCAGGAATCTTTAGGCAAAAAAAATAGCACACATTTCATTGAGAAGCAGAGATTACACCAAAAGGACCACTTTAATGTTACAAAAGGATTTCAAAACTGCGACACAATAGGATTATTAATAATAACCTCCCGTAACGGTTATTGTGTCATTACCTCATAAACAATCAAGTTTCGCCCTGAAGGAAACAAAGGGACTTCTATGAATAGCTTTTACTGGAAAGTTAAAATACAACGTGGTTTTGGCGTTCAGCTGATTTTTTGTGAATGGGCGGAGAAAACGAGTTAATTTAGAAAAAAACAATATGAAACAAATCCTCAGATTCTGTTTGATGATCTAGTTAGTTAGAATTTTTATCTTAACAAACCTAATGTACGATAGACAGCATAATTATTTCATTAAGGTCTTATCGTTGCGTGCATAATTGATTAATTAAGATTGCAGGCTGGAATCATGCTGGAAACAGGACTAGATACCGAGCTATAGGATGACAATAGGTCATTATCAATTACGCTTGATTAACCCTTAGTTTCTGAACCGATCTCTATGTTATGATAGACTGTTGACTAACGTTAATTTATGCTATCGAGGAGGTTGTATTTACATGATACAGTTTTTTTATCCACAACGAGGAAGTTCTTGGTCTGCATTTCACGTGGAAATTGATGATCAGGCCGAAAGTGGAAGCGAGCTTCACCCGGAATCCTCAACCACAAATGAAGTGTGTGTGGAATAGCAATAAAGAATTTGAATTATGAAATTAGGTGGTGTTATTAAGGCTAAGGCTCAAAAATATGTGTTTGAACCCTGATAAAGGTTTTTTGCACTAAGATATTCCTGCACTATTCCCAAAGGAATCGAAACCTTTGCTAACCCTAACTTCTTAATTAAAATTGGATTGTTTCGTCATTTTACATGTCTTGGAGATTAACGTCAAAATTAAATTACCTTTCAGAATTACTTCTAAAGTTGCATCATCGATGGATCATACTAAAATTACATCTATCCTGCAGCCTGCAGTACCTGGGAGAGGTTCAGAAATAAACTGCAGTGTTGCATACTATTCTAGTTCAAAATATAGACAGTTTACTATAACTGCGGCTTCGCAATAAAATTTGATATCATTGATTGTCGCAATCGGAAATACTGAATCAGCATGAATTTTAATTTAATTTTAGATACAGGGAGTTTTGCAATATCATTAAAAAATTTAACTAAATAAGTGTGGATAGTCTGTCTAACTGTAAAAATAGCTCAAAAGAAGATAAATCTTCAGTTATATGTCCGACAGTTAGTCACTAACAAACCTAAGATAGGCCTACAAGAATAATTTTCGATAGCTCGACAATCTATGGCTTGAATGCTGTTACGTTCAGCTTACAACGCCCTATTACTAATTTATACTTCCCAGCCGAGTAGAGACCTCACCCCAGCCGTGGGGTGTGGTGTGGGGTGGCTATCTACCTAGGCATGTAAAATTTGCCAGTCCAATATCACCCTTGCAGATTTGCAAGCTTCCATCCCAGTAGTTTATACGTTCATTACTGAATTGAATTCGAATATTTTTGGACTATTGAAGTAGACATTGATTTTAGTATATGACATAGAAGCAACTTCTATTTTTACTAATTTTAAGCATACCTATGGGCTGTTTTTATGGAATTTGCCCTTTAAACTAATCGGTTTGGATTTCGTATTTTCGGATGTTATGTAAACATGTTTTGAAATCATTTTAAGACTTTTATATTGTTTTGCCAGATAAACTTGATAAAAACCTAAACGTAATACCTCTTATGATACGTGTAGCGCCATCTAGCGAGCGCCAACCGAAGTATTCAACTTTGCCGCCGATTTCTCTATCGCAATAGTTGTAATGGTAATGTAATCGTATTTTTTATCAGTAATTGCATTAATTTAAAGAAACGAAATCTATTGTTACCGGTCAATTGCACATATTCATGTGAAGAAACGCGAGAGCCGTAATTGGAACTGGCAAAATGATTATAATACCTAATCAGAGGCATAATACACGTTCGACAACAATCACATGCCCATTTATTTTAGACCGAATAAGTATGTATAGTAATGTTTACAACTGATGAGATCCGATGACGTAAGCTGTGTTGTGAACCGCGCATTTCATGTCCGAATAATGCCCGTGGATGTGTGAGTGCGACATTCGCGCGTGTGCGTGACTCCCGCAAGTGGTAACCTTAATTTCCAACTCATGTGTGCGTGTTGTTAACATCTGCACATCAATTAAGAAAATTATAATTTATTTAATTACCGCCAATACGATGTAGGATAACTTCTTTATCGCGTATTAAATTTATCCATTGTTAAAAACGTATAGCCTTGAAACTTCTTATCGAAACTCATTACGAGTGCGACGTTGCCAGTGCTCCGCGCTATTGCGTCGCAATTTTAATGGCGGCCATCTTGTCTGGGTTATCAGGTGTGCAAGTACTTGCGATGATCAAGACTTTTTTGCCTATCCGTAACAACCTCATTGGATATCCACATGGACATGTATCGCCAGCCTTAAAATTAAAAACCGTACCGTTAGCCAGTTAGATGACCAGCTTGTTTGAATGATTACGTAACCTGAAAGAAAAGTTGGTACCTACACGCATTTCGCATTCCAATCATCATCTACACGAACATAATAATAGTGCTATGGATATGCGAGCGATAGGTGCAGAGATCATTCGAGATTCGTCAGCTCAGAGCAACCTATGGGGTGCATATCCATAGCTATCTATGTCAGGCAAGTGTCGGCGCAATATGGGTTGGATACGTACATTGAGCGGGTCGGGAGACTGGCCCTGGCGCGGACCACGAGCCCCGGGGCCCCAGCTAAGCTCTCCGGCCGACCCACCACCAGATAGAACACAAATTCGGACATTTTCAACGCAAATTCCACGGTATCGATCACGCACAGACGCCATTTTGAACCGACACTGAGCGCGGTGCCGCGACGTTGCCACGTCGTTCCCAGCCACTATTTCTGGCGCCCTCCCCCCGCGCGCCTTCACGACTGAGGTCGTCAAACAGCGACAAAACATGATTTGGATCGGCCACACAGTGTACTTAAATCCTTATTGGAAAAACGAAAACAACATCTACATGGCTACGGAGCGAGGGGGGAGGCGGACAGCTCTGTGATAAGATAGTTATACACAGTATAGAATGTGCAGCGGCTTTCACCGCGAGAAGGCGCGACCGCGCAAGCTCGCGCCGACATATGCCATTGGCCAGTGTCGAGATCGATAGGCAAACAGCGACGAGGACACCGACCCAGAAACATAAAGCGCTCTATAGCTACAACCGCACGGCTCACTTTGCCGCGGCAGCTACTATAAACAAACTACCATACCACCACATACAAGTCCTCACGTACAAACGCACGACTACAGCCGCGGAGAGCGACGCTCGGCAATGAATGTATACGTACATAACATCATGTATTATGGCAGTTTTCTAGAGTCGAAATTCCTGTATCACGTCGCGCCCAGCGCTCCCTACCGAAGGACAAAGGGCCGATTTCACACGAAAAACAAAGGGAAAAGCCGGTGTGAGGATAATAACATTTTTTTTCGTTGCAATCGCGGCGAAGTTTATAACAAGTGTATGGACGTTGCCAAGTCGCACGGTTAGCATCGTAGAGAGCGCGCGGTCTACACTTATGAAATTCAGATTTTTTCACCAACTGCACATGACACGATAGCATTCTGATAACACTTTTATTGAATAATTGGTCAAAATTAATGAATTTTCGTCGCCTAGCCCACCACGAACGATAACGCGGCAGGTGTGACTATCATCTATATACAATATGGTACTATACGATACCTATCTGCATTGATTGAAAGCAGTTTTTATCATCAAAAGCAATCAGAATCAATTATAAACGTAAAATAAAGCTCGAAATAGGAAAAGACGCAGTCTGTCAACCATTCACTCACCTGTATTTTTAATCGAAATGTGCTTCTTTCTTCACAATATTCACTGGGACGCCACTTCAAGACGCAACAAACAAGAATATTAAGGTATTTTAAGGATTTTAAATGATTTGATATGCACAAAAAAATTATACATTCCGCGAAGCATACGTCCTACGCGCAGTTAGACCGAATGCGAACTGTTGGTTTGGTTTGGGTCGCCTGACGGGTGGGAGACGGCGGGCGGAAAACCGGAGAGCGGGCGAGCGAGGGAGACCCGAAAGGGCAATGTTTTACAATCGCAAATGCATTCAATCAGTTAAAATACTAACGCTGGTACATCTCTAAAATCAAATCATTTTTTTTTGGACAAGATTCCATTAGAAATAGGAATGTTTGTGTAAGTAAATATTAAGACAAGTATTTGTTTTGACTCGTGACTAATTGCGTTTCCTGTCGATCATTTTCTTTATTGACGTTTCTTGACACTTTTTTTTAGTCGTGAGTCGCTACTAATGAGGTCGTATAACTGAATTAATTTAAAATATATTATTATTATTCCTATCTAATAATAAGATAGATAAAAATTATAGTTGAGCGCAATGATGTAATTTTACATGTTTTTAATATTAAGCATTACTATTTTACATAGAGTTTTTTTTTTTGTTCTTAGTAAATTAGCTATTCAAATACATGGATTCAATACTTCTTTTTGTTTCAGATTAATTGGTGTTATAAATTAAAGCAAAATTATACTTGATTATGTTGTTTATTTATTTATGCTATTGCATATTTGGAAATTATTTATTAAAAAAATATATAAGCTACAAGGATCTGTGTGAACGTGGCTAAAAAAAGAACTGACAGATTCCTTAGGAATTTTGGCAGATTAGCTTGGAACTAGCGCCCTCTTCTTCGTTTTTTCATATTGTCACATTGTTGTATCTAGAAATGCACCAATCAGAAATCGGTGCGTGTATTTTGACAGGAAGATAAACTTCTTTACCACGTCGAGCAAAATATTCCCCATTATTTCGAATTTTCCGTGGAAATTACACTTATTCTGTTACGTTATCTAAGTGATTAATAAAATGCTGTACAGCAGCAAGTATTTCGTCGTATTTGCAATTTTATTTGCGGCTGTTTCGGCCAGAATAGACCCAAAGAATTTGCAGTGTTTAGGTTTGTAATAAAACTTTATTTTAATCACATTTTAATGTGTTACCGTGTGATTAAAATGATATAATCCATTCCAGTGTGCCGGACGACCTTCGAAGAGCTTAATGATGCGATAAAGAAGATCGATAAATGGAAAAAAGTTGATGTAAGTAAAACTTTTGTATCCCTCTATTTTATGTTTACATTACATTTATAAAGAAAATTAATTTCCTTCGAGTATTTCAGAAAAAACTTGTGTTAACTCTGGATCACAATTTTATCTTCTTACTTAGGACTGAATATTCAGAGATTAATTTTAAATACAGTCCAAAAACTTATTGTTAACTGAATTAGGTCATGATAAAATACATTTGACTTGAAACAGTATGTAACAAGTAAATGCACAGTTTAGCATTATCATAAAAAAATTAAACTTAGCTATGTTATGCCACTTACAAGCAATTCCAATGCAAGTATCATTGAATGATACAAAATACATTTTAATTTACTTGTAAAAGAAGTTTTTTTTTTTTTTTTTATCCACAATGAGGAAAGCCTGTATCTCACCTGATGGTACAACAAAATATATGTAATAATGTTTATTTCCATACAATTTCTAGGTTGGCAACTTCAGAATGGATGCGGCTGGCAATACACTGCAGGACAAAGTTCCCGCCCACCGCTCTGCAGTGTACATATCTGAGATGATTGATGGAATCTGTAAGTAAATAGTCGATTGAGGTAAAAAAGAGAATAAAAGGTGAAAAAATTAATAGATTTCTGCCTGCACAAAGAAACAGAGAACTAGGCCTACGTTCAAACTAACTGTAGATGTATTTGAGTGCAGTTCAATTGAAACCTAAAAGATACAATTGTAGTAAAAATAATAATGTATTTTTTTTATTCCACTCATAAAACTCTTAGCTCATTTTATTTTTGTAAGTACACTTTTTAAAAGCAGTTTTACACTTCCTAGTATTAACCCTACCACTGCTTCGGGACAATAAATGGGCCAATGCCAGTGTGCTGAGAAGAAGCAGCGCAAGAAACGAAGTCACTATTTGACGTTGAAGTGACAATACCTCGTAATCATCATTATCATCATCATCATCATCATCATCATCTCAGCCATAGGACGTCCACTGCTGAACATAGGCCTTCCCCAATGCTTTCCACGTTGATCCATTGGTAGCGGCCTGCATCCAGCGCTTCCCTGCTACCTTTACGATATCGTCGGTCCACCTTGTAGGTGAACGTCCCACGCTGCGTTTTTCTCCATTCCAGAACCTTGCTGCCCCATCGGCCGTCAGTTCTGCGTACTATGTGCCCTGCCCATCGTATTGTACTTCACCGTCGTATTGTGCTAATAAAGAATTATAATTATTTGTATATTCCAGGCAAGAAGATGGACGACTACGTCCGAGTATACTACAAGTCGACCGGCAAGCTGGCCATCATGCAGCTGGTCATGCCCAGCGGCTCCATGAATCCAGAGTTCAGCAAGACTACGTTCGTGACAGATGACGATTTGAACAAGAGCTTGGAGTATTATGTGAGTCAACCCTTTATACGGCAGTGGGAATATAGTTCCCACTAAATTTTGAACTTTTAAATGTCCAAAGTGAGTAGGTACTTCCCACAAAAAGAATCTTCACTCTGGTCTGTTCTTTGTAATTTGTGTTATGCTTCGGTTTTATTTATCTAATGGATTGTTGTATTTCCTGACGTAAGATTATGCCCATATTACTTTTTAATTTGTTGTAGTTTTGGAAAATAAATGGCTAGTCAAATGAGTTTTAGTGACGTCATAGAGACATATTATACAGTGTGAGTCACGTTAAAGTGTACATATGAAAATAGATGAAACTAGACCTTTTTTTATCGACAAAAAAGAGGTCTAAATTTTTTGAGATTTTTTTTAAATTTTTTGAAGAATTTTTTTTCTTCCAATTACTTATTGTAAAGAAAACGTAATAACTTTTAAACTAAGCGGTATATCCTGATAAAATAAAAACAGTAATAATGCTAAATAACAGGCGATACTAAAAAAATACATAAAATACACAAAAAAGGCCAACAAATAATAAAAAATGATACTTTTTGAAAAAAATCTGCTTTAAAATTCGTGTTTTTTTTTGTTATTTGATCAATTTCTCCAAAAAATGCCCCTATAACCGGTAGTTTTTATTGCTTTGTATTATTCCCTATCGTATAACCTTCGTAAAACCAAAAATCGCATGTCTCTATCCCTATCACAACGTTTGTAATGATCGTTTGAACTAAGCCTCTCCGGGCGCGCCATTCAACGCTTCGTTAACAACGAAACTGAAAATGGCTCTAGATTTGTTATTTTGATAAAGACAAGTTATATTTCAAATAAAAACAAAAGATTTCGAAGTAAAATAAGCATTTTAGTTAAAATTAAAATTGTCTCTAACTGTAGCGGAGAATAATGTTGTGGCAGGCCTTTGTTCAAACGATCATAGCAAATGTTGTGATAGGGATAGAGACATGCGATTTTTGGTTTTACAAAGATAATACGATAGAGAAAAAAACAAAGTAATAAAAACCACCTGTTATAGGGGCATTTTTTGGAGAAATTTATCAAATAACCAAAAAAACACGAATTTTAAAGCAGATTTTTTTCAAAAAACAAAAACATTTTTTATTATTTGTTGACCTTTTTTGTGTATTTTATGTATTTTTTTAGTATCGCCTGTTATTTAGTATTATTATTGTTTTTATTTTATCAGGATATACCGCTTAGTTTAAAAGTTATAACGTTTTCTTTACAATAAGTAATTGGAAGAAAAAAAAATCTATAAAAAAATTAAAAAAAATCTCAAAAAAATTTTGACCTTTTTTTGTCGATAAAAATAGGTCTAGTTTCATCTATTTTCATATGTACACTTTAACGTGACTCACACTGTATGTCGTTTCCATTCTTCCGCTAATGTTTGAGTGTTATCGGTACACGCTAATCATTCATGAGTGCACACGCACACTACAATAATGCCTTACGGATTGCTCCGCCTACCGGTCCGTTTAAATTGAGTCTGATAATTCTATAGATTCTCTCTAACTACCCCTGGCACTGTAACTGCTATGAAAAGTATTGTTTTATCGTATAATTTCGTGACTTTGGCAGTAAATTCCCTAAAACATGTTCTGCTTTTCTATATTGTACCTATTCATGATTTCCATAGACTCTGACAATTCATTGTTTTCAATCCACATGTTATTTTAAAGTTTATAATTCTATAATTTCTTTTATTTCAGTGTGAGCGAATGTTCGAAGCGAACGAGGACGAAATCACAGATCTTTACAAAAATCGGCCCGAGGATGACGTCATGCCTGACGCTGAGAAGGAGGTAAAAAGTCTTTGTTAAACTACTAAAATATACTCGGAACAATTATAAATATAGAATAGAATATTATTTATTTGGCACAATACACAATAGGTACATGATATAGGCACAATACAAGATTAAAACATAGAAAAAAACAAAAAAGAAAAATAAAAATAGATTTTAAGTGCCCTGTGCCAAAAAGGTCCCTGACTCAGCATTAGTCGTGACAAAGATGCCACGACACTGATTTTCAGCAAGGACCTTTGGGGCACTGGGGTCGCCGTAAAAATAAAAAAATAAAAGAACAAAGAAACACAGATTATACCTAACATAAATACAAACAATAAAATCATAAAACAACAATATAGTAAAATCTAAGTCTATTGATTATATTTCAATTACACATGATGCAAAAATATTTTTCATTTAATGTACGCAATGTTTGAAACGGAATAGATTTAGTGCTGGGGTATTTCTTGTATAATAAAATCGATTATTTCCGCGGTTCATTAATCGATTGCAGTGAATACTTAGTTATTAAAAACATCACAAAAATCAACCATATTTTTCGATTGATGACTTTAATAAACGCATAAAAATTAATTTGTAGTTTTTAATTTAAAGAAACATAACCAGCACTTTTTAGGAATGGTTTTTTGAACACAAACCATGAAATATCTGTTTGTTAGTGGCTAGGCCCTTTAACTTTCCCCTGGGACAAACTTGGCCTTCACTGGTTGGGTTGTTGGCGGTCAAGCTGTAGATCCTGGCTACACAGGAGTTGCAGCGGCGGGAACGAGAGGTGGGAATAGTCCCGTTAGTGGCTAGACCCTAGTCACTAGTGTTCTTTTTTCCAAACGATCCAGTTGTTTTTAAAACAATAACTGAAATTTTAATTTAAAGTATGTTCGTGTTGCTTTTTGAAAGGCAAGTATCCAAAGTTAAAGGGTAAAATAAGCGTAATAAAGTCTGAAATCAACCCAGTAAACTACGAATATATCCCGAGAAAGCTTCTCTTAGGGCAGATATGCTTTTTTATGCATTATTTCCCCGAAAAAAAAGGGTCCCCGTGGCTAAAAAAATTCTAATGGCCTAGTACGGCTAGCACGAAAAACTTTCGAGTTCGAATTGTTTGCGTATTCGAATCGCTAAGAAAAAAAGCTAAAAAGAATTTAGTACAAAAACTACAACAGCGCCCTTGTGAACGTGTCGTAAAGTAAACTTAGGCTGGGTTGCACCATCTTACTTTAACCACGGTAATACTATCTATACAGTATTCCAACTCGGCCATATTTTTGAAATAAATGTCAACAGCCGAGCGGTACGTCACCCTATGACAACATGCGATAGGGCTGCCCACCTGCAGAACCTATTTTCACTACATCTGCCTACTTAGATTTTCTATCTAGTTTTGTGAGTGTATTTTGTGATTGTAATTTTTAATTTTATTTTGACAAACAAAATACTTTGTGAATGAAATAGGATAAAAATGCATGTTGTCTCGTCATTAGTAGATTTAACTAAAAAAAATATTTGTGTTAAGATTTAGTAACAAATCTTATAAATTTGCGACCGAAAAATGTATGCTCCTCGACCGAGGCGTACAAAATGCTTAATTTATTACAGAGTGTTGGGTAAATGGTATGGTGAAGTCAGAAAATTGATATCAGCATTTTAATAATTTTAATACAAATCTGATTTTATAAATATGATATCACTGACTACACCGTACCATTTACATACAATGTTAATAATATGGGCTAGTGTCGGCTTATAAGCCCATTTACCTCACACCCTGTATAAATAGGTACTTGTAATTATTTTTTATATAAAAATAAGTCGGGTTTTCCTCCCTGACGCTATAACTCCAGAACGCACGAACCGATTTCCACGGTTTTGCATTCGTTGGAAAGGTCTCGGGCTCCGTGAGGTTTATAGCAAAGAAAATTCGGGAAAAGGGGTAAAACGGGATCCACGCGTACGAAGTCGCGGGCGCCCGCTAGTTTTTTTTATAAAAACAACACTTACTGTTTACAAAACAACACATCGTCAGTTTATTACTGTGGCACATTCGCGACACCCCCGACTTTTGCATGTCGAGCGCATACCGAGATTTGAATTTCGAAGGAAAGCTCGCGTTTCGTCCGTTTATATGAAGTTACAATACTGTATGATAGTATTACCGTGCTTTAACTGTGACAAACGTCAAAAATCTGTCAAACTTCATACAAAAAACACTGGTTATCGTCATAGTTACGGTCCAAGTTAGGTGGTGCAACACAGCCTTAGTTTGAGAATCAAAATTGTCACGTTATCGTTATATTCGAAGGTTGAGTATCGAATTTTGTCGAATACGCAAACGATTCGAAGATGAAAATTGTTTATAATTAGAACTAGAGGTACCTTTTACACTCGTTACATTTTGATATGAATTATTTTCTTTTCTGTTGCAGATCTGCTTCAAACAAGCCGGCTACTGCGAGGACTGGATGCTGCCGACTGAGGAAGACACCACCTGGACTGAGGAGATGGAGCGCGAGTATGTCAAGGTAAGACCTACCTACTATATCTTTCTTAAACATATTCTTAATATTAAGTATAGTCCGATTAAGCCTGGGCGCAGACCACCGATTTTTAGTTGGGCCCGATTTATTTTTTAAGGAAATTAACATACTGACAGTAGCTTCACAGTTCATTTATGAAAACCTTTTATATATTCGCAAAAATATAGAGCAATTCACGAAAAAGAGTGATTTGCATAACTTTAATACAAGAAACAAAAATAAACTTGCCGTTCCAAATTTCAGACTGCATAAGATTGGGAATTAATTTAGTTATGGGGAAATGTATTAAATTATTTACTAAATTACCACAAACTGTTGTAGAACTACCCATTCATAAATTCAAAGCACATATTAAAAGTACCGTAATGAAAAAGGGCTACTATAAAGTCTATGATTATTTAAAATATAAAAATGTTTGGGATGCGTAACTGCCTAGCTCGCATAAATATTTATAACTATGTATTTTGAAAACCTGTAAACCTTTGAAAAAGAGGCTGACAATAGTGACTGAGTTTCTTGCGCTGCTTCTTCTCAGCACTGGCCCATTTATTGTCCTGAAGCAGTGGTAGGGTTAATACACAGAAATAAATGAGTTTTACTGAGAGAGTTTTATTTTAAATTGTATGAAGAAACGTCTGATACCAATTTGGTGTAATGTGCGCACTTTCATACATCTCTGTACTGATCAACAACCCGACCTAACTATCGGCCAACTAAAATTGGGGGTCTGCACTTAGGGCTAAAATTACCAAGAAACTGTCGACTCGAGCATAAGACGCTATTGGCTGAAATGGACGAATGAATTACGTAACAACCTACTACTGCTATTTCTATTTATTTATATTAACCGGCAGACAGTGGTGACTGAGTTTGTTGCGGCGCTTCTTCTCAGCACTTGCCAAATGTTTGTCTCGAAGCGCTGGTAGGGTAAAAAGATTATGAGACATGTAGAGGCTCTTAAGATCAAAATATTTGACAATTTGTAAGTACTATCCGTTCACGATAAGTTTGCCGCTGGCGATATGACGTCACGCGAAGGAAAGTGTCTAAAACATTAGCAAACTATATTGATTTTTTTTTGTTCATTAATATTGATAAAAATTGTGTATTTGCGTAAAATAAAACACTCAATGAGGGCTATCGTTTTAGCGCTCACCAGTTAGCGCCACTGTAGAGTAAGGTCCTGTCACTTGCTAGTAGCGAAGACAGTGGCACCAACTGGTGAGCGCTAAAGTGGTAGGAGGATCGTATTTGCACACATCAAGATGGCGCCACTGTAGAGTAAGGACCTGTCAATCGCCAGGGGTGCCAACTGTTAAGTATAAAAACGATAGCCCTCATTGCTTTTAATCACTAATTATTTGCGTTTAATCGCGGTTGGAGGAGGGGACGCGAATTCCACGGACCGGCAAACTTAGCGCGAACGGGTAGTACTTGTTATTTTCCGGTGACATATTTGATAAAGCCTGGTCCGTGAGCACGTAGAATCCCGTCCAATGACCCCAAGCTGCCCATCCTTGTCACTCGCACGTAATTATGTTGCTGTCGCGCTCGCACACTCACTGCGGGCGCGCGTCGCACAGTCGCGACAGCAATATAATTACGCGCGAGCGATAAGGATGGGTAGCTTGGGGTCATTGGACAAAATTCTACGTGCTCACGGACCAGGCTTTAGAAATATTAATCAAAATATTCATTATTGTCACCAGGTGCACGGCCCAGACCCGTACGGCTTCAGTTCGTTCGGCGCCGGCGCCGGCGGGCCCGGCGGGCTGGGCGGCGGCGGCGGGCTGGACGCCGGCGACGACGCCGACTTCGACGACGCCGCCGGGGACGAGTTGGACGACAACGAGCTTAGAGACGAGCTGTAGTGTGGTGGGGATGCCAGAGTTCGACAATATTGCAAATAAATTCACGCCTTCGTAAACTTCGTTGAAGTTGTGGACCACAATTTAAACCTTTACAAGGCATCGGAATAGTTCCCACCATATTTTGAACCTTATTCGTTTGTGTTATGGTCCAAAAACAATAAAAAATTGATTATGTAATGGGTAGAGACTGTACAAATACAAATCTTTTATTCTGTGCTTAGGCCTTTTCCAGGGCGCTTATACACGTCCCAAATAGCTTGCCCTAGCTTGCTTCGTAAACCTTTTGTCTCAGCCTAACCGTGGCACTCAAGTTAAGAAAGCTTATAATAAAAGTATCTGGCTCGAAGGACCAGTGTGCCGGATAGTTACGAAATTATGAATAACAATTCATGTAAATATCTAGAGAATCCAGGGAACATGAAATTCGGTTACTATAACGTCATGAAAAAGGCAATACATAATTTAAAAACTATTTTCGATGGCTCCTACGTATACTGGCGTAAATGAAAAAAAAAGATTTTACAGGAGAGCCATTTAAGTAGCCAGAACCATACTGGCTACTTAAATGGCGATAATAAAGGAGAGCCATGAGATGAGAGATGATGATGAGAAATAAGAGGAGGCTCTCCTGTAAAATCCATTTTTTTCACTTACGCCAGTATACGTAGGAGCCATCGATTTATAACATGGTGCAGTTTGGCACAAGTTTTTTTCTATCATGTGGGTTGTAACTATTGACGTCATAGTCTTTAGTCAGACTTCACAAAGCCACATAGTCTTTCAGTGTCACTGGTATTGTGAACCTTATATGTTTTTATTTAATTAATCAGATCACTGTACGTACAGTTTTCTGTATTTTATTCACTAAATTGTCGAATTCTACTGGCGTAAAATTTAAATGTGGAGTGTGCAATAGAGATTATTGTTGATGCGAGTATTAATGTCAGTTGTGTGTGTGATATGTCATGAAATCATGATTGTAAGAAATCGGAATAGGTGGTTTTACATAATACTTGTTGAAGTTAAATTACTATATGTGAATAAACCAAATGGGATAAATTTTGGATTATTGGTAATTTCAGCAACATTATACAGGGTGTTAGGTAGTTAAATGGGTTTATAAGCCGACACTAGCCCATGTTAACATGTACTTATAAACAGTTTGAAGTCAGAAAATTGATATCATCATTTTAATTATTTTAATTTTCATACTAATCTGATTTTATACATTTTATTTTGTAAAAGGCTAGTGTCGGCTTATAAACCCATTTACCTAACACCCTGTAGTGAAGTTATAAATTAAGTAATAATATTATTTGTCATACTATTTTAACTTTGACGTAGTTACATAAAAAGCACCTATTCCAATGTACTATAACTAGGGTAATTTGTGGCCAACATACTTATAAAACCATGACAGATTTCAATAAAACGTCTTCCTAAATAAAATATATTTACTTACTAGTATTTGCCCGCGACTTCACCCGCGTGAAATTTAGTTTGTCACAGATCGTCATAAATTATAGCCTATATGTTATTGTGGGTTATAAACAATAATACTGTAGTTTCATCAAAATCTGTTCAGTAGTTTTTGCTTGAAAGAGTAACAAACATCCATCCAGACATCCAAACTTTCGCATTTATAATAGTAGGATTGACTGATGTCATATACCGGATGATCAGTTTTATATTAGATCTAAAACATTTCTAATTCAAAATTCACCCTGTATACACATACATTCCAAAAATATTCCAAAATATGTAAAATTGACAATATAATAAATGTGCCTTATTAAATATTAGACGTAAAGATATTATAATTACTCAAATGTCATTATTAAAAATAAAATATGTGCTGAGATTATTTGCATAATGATATTGACTTGTGTTTCGTTATTGTATAAAATTGGAGATTAATACTACTACTATACTTTACTTTGCCGTTGTAAGTACTAATTCAAGTATGTACCTACTACCCACCTAGAAACTACGTTGTCTTCTACAAAATTAATGCTACTATAGCATTGCAGTCACACTTGATGTGCCCTCGAGTGTACAAAACATACGTCCGTATTCACAAACGATGCTTGCTTAAGTGAAGCAGCAAATCGAACGCGCAGCGTTGAATAGAGGTCCGATTGGTTCGTGTGTCACCCTGTGCCTGTGCGTCCACGCGCACTGTGAGACCTCATAGTAATGTTTGTGAATACTGGACAGTTTGCATTTATAAAAACTTGTCACAATAAAGACCTGCCATCTTGTTTAGTTTTAAGGTGAACCAGGGTATCTGTAAATGTGAGATGTCCGATGTTGTTGTGAAATTAAGAGTGATTTAAATGTATTAAATACTTGTTTTTAAAATTTGACTTTTACTTATAACTAGCGGCCGCCCGCGACTTCGTACGCGTGGATTCAGTTTTACCCCCTTAGGAGTTGAATTTTGCAAAATCCCGTCTTAGTGAGCACCTACGTTCTAAAAGGAACCCCCATGCAAAATTTGAGACTCCTAGCACTTGTAGTTTCTGAGAATTCGTGATGAGTGAGTCATGCCCGTTTTCACCATCAATCCCTAATTTTTAGGTGACCCCTATAGTAACAAATAACAGGAATTTTGTTGTCATAGGGGTCTCTTAAAAATTAGGGACTGATGGTGAAAACGGGCGTCAGTGACCTTTCGCTTTCATAAAGATAGATTGATCATATAAAAGACGTGTAATGTTGTCAGGAGTATTTCAAAGAAAAGCAGTTTTCTTAAGAAAAATATATATATTTATTCCTATATCACATTAGGCAAGAATTATAATAAGCAATACAAAATATAATAAACATTAACTTAAAAAAGTCATCTTAATTCAAGATTTTTGAGTTGGTAAGACAGAATCAAAGAGAGAAAGTTACACAATTTTATTCCGAAGTGAATATCTGTTATATTAATTAAAAATAGTGATATCATTATCCAAATATTTTTAACCGACCTCAAAAAAAAAAAATTTTTTTTATGTTGTCAAATAGCTTATTTTAAAAGGAAATAAACAAACTAAAGTACCTATCTACATTTTATACATTAAATAAATTCTTTGCATCGAACTGTAACAAATACATTTACATAAAACCTAACATATTTGAGTATTTCTCAAAAAAAATGTACGTAACGAAACGGTAGTAACGAAATAGTAAGGCCATAAGGCTTGTTATACATTGGCGAAATATTATGAATGCTCTTTATTTATTCAATTCGAAATATTTGTAAGTATGCACCCAAATACGGGGTAATATTAAGGGGTTAGAAATAAAATAAGGGAGTAATCATTCATACTATTTTAATAAAAATATTTTTGTTCCATCATGTTTATTCATTTTGAGTCGTTCTCTGTATAGTCCAGTCATTACGTACATTCAAAAAAGAAAATGAATTTGCGCTTCTAATTTTTTAATATGTTGTAGGGGATACCTAGAAAAGCTTAACTTGAGATTGTCGACCAAGCTTTCCTAGGAGCTTTCGCCGCCATGTTGAAAAAAGGGGTAAAATTTGTTTTTCGGCAATAACTCGGCTATCCGATGAGACTCGAAAATTTTTGTAGGACACTTTTTGTAGCTTTCTTTGTGCTCTACAATAACGCCCGAACCATTTTTAGCGTATCATGCATCGTTATCGAGATATCGATCGATAAAGTCAAAAATTTTGGACACAAATTATTTCGGAATAATTAAATAATTAACGTCAGATACGTACAACATNTATTTGGTAATAAGTAGGATTATAGCTATAATTCTTCGTTATCTTAAAGATTAATATTCATCCTTCAAAATTGTGTGTGTGTTTTTTTTGTGTGATGATTTATAAATATAAAACTTTTGAACTGTTTCAAAGCACACTTTTTTTTTTCAAAATGTACATTTTTTTTGAGAAATACTCATTTATTATTACCCTGAGTAATTAGGTCAGGCATTCATAGCAATTCGTTAAAACTAATCATCATTATAAAAATATTCTGAGTAAAATACTGCATTTATAATAAATCATCTGACTTATCTAAAGTAAGGCTGGGTTGCAACATCTTACTTTAACGATAATAAACGTCAGAAACTCCATAAAACACCGGTTATCGTTACAGTTACGGTTAAAGTTAGGTGGTGCAACTCAGCCTTAGTACCTATTTGTGATATTAAACTTAACATTAACTTTTGAGTATTTGACACCAACGCTCATTTTCTAAAATAATTATAGAAAATGTCAATTAGTTTTTAAATACATTATATCCTTGGAGGCCACTGTCCAGCAGTGGACGTCATTTGGCTGAAACGAAAGAACTGCAAAATTAATTATGTATTTTGATATACAAGTTGTATAAATGATTGGAGGTGTCAAATACTCAATTAACAGTAGATTCTAAAAATATTAAATTAACTACGTGAAAATATAAATTTAAAACTTCATGACAATAACAAATTGAGCATTTTATCTATTTCTAGTGGTATTATAACATCATGGTTAACTCAATATAATTTGTATCTATGAGAAACACTTGTGATAATATTACTCTACTGATTTTAAAAAGTCAGCATAAATATCTAATAATCCTTGGCACTATTGTGAAATTCTAGTTCCACAATCCTTTAGTCAAGTACCGTCAGGAAAATATTACATTGTTTTAAATTATCATAACGTAATTTATTTATTACTGTCTTATGTCACTTGCATTCAGCAAGTATACAAAATTAGGCTACTGTCAGCAGTTAGTTTTCTGTAGGGATGTTATGGATATGTAGTTTCGGTTATGGATACGGTTACGGATATTTTTTATTTCGGATATCCGAAAGTTTCGGTTACGGTTACGGATAACCATAACATCCCTATTTTTCTGCCGTATGTAGTACCGTCAGTAAATAAAAAGTAATTATTTCACATAATTAACTAATTAAAACAACTTGTTACCAGCTCTTGAGTCAGATACGGTCAGCAAAGTTCAACACTTACCGTACCATCAGCAAAAAAGAGTAACGTTTTTCACAAGTAACTCCTCCCAAGTTACATAATAAGGTACCATCAGCAAATGTACAACACTGTTTAATGTACCGTCAGCAGCAGTAAGTATTTCTGTCATATCTAGTACGGACGGCGTTTATAGAGCAATTTTTTCACAAGTAACTCCTCCCAAGTTCCATAATCAGGTACCGTCAGCAAAATTTGTTGCACTTAATTAGCTTAATGTACCGTCAGCAGTATTAATATAGTCTGGTCTGCGAGCACGTAGAATTTTGTCCAATGACCCCAAGCTACCCATCCTTATCGCTCGCGCGTAATTTATCGCTGTCGCGACTGTGCGACGGGCGCCCGCAGTGAGTGTGCGAGCGCGACAGCAACATAATTACGCGCGAGCGATAAGGGTGGGTAGCTTGGGGTCATTGGACAAAACTCTACGTGCTCGGCGACCAGACTATAGCTTAATGTACCGTCAGCAGTATTACTACCACAGCCAGAACCGTCAGCAAATGAGCATTTTTTCACCTCACGACCTCAAGAGTCAGGTAAGGTCAGCAAATGAGCATTTTTTCACCTCACGACACGATCTCAAGAGTCAGGTAAGGTCAGCAAATGCACAACAACATCAGCAGTAAGTTTTCTACCACATCTAATACCGTCAGCAAATGAGCATTTCTTCACCTCACGATCTCAAGTCAGGTACCGTCAGCAAACTATAGTATACCGTCAGCAACACATGCTTTTCTGAAGTTCACCGTGCGCGATACTGTCAACACTCCATGCGGGAAGTTCTACTTTGCCTGTGTGCGTCGCCGCTTCTTCTGTGGGAGAACCTGGAATGACATATTTTATTATTTATGTTTAAGTTTGCTTTTTTTGAAAACTAGATGTCGCTGTCTTGTTGAGTTGCAACGTGGCGTGGTGTTAAACTGTTCAGCATATTTAACGCATATAAAAAAACAAGTTCATATTTTTGAAAATTAGATGGCGCTGCTGTCTTGCATTAGAACGCGGTGTGATTCAGTCTAAAATATAAAATACTTATGCCCGTTTTCACCATCAATCCCTAATTTTTAAGTGAACCCTATGGAAACAAAATTCCTGTTTACCATTTATCTACACATTTACAAATTTACCTACACTTAGTGAGCAAATAAATGAATATGAATATGTTACCATAAGGGTCACTTAAAAATTAGGGATTGATGGTGAAAACGGTCATTAGTCGAGTTAATTTATAAGAGTTCAGTTACAGTCTAATGCCCGTTTTCACCATCAATCCCTAATTTTTAAGTGACCCCTATGGTAACAAATTACAGGAATTTTATTGTCATAGGGGTCACTTAAAAATTTGGAATTGATGGTGAAAACGGGCATAAGTCTTTTTTCTTTACACAATCGTTCTTGGTCCTCGTATGTTCTTCTGATTAATTTCGTTGCGGGTCCAATGACAGTTTATTTATAATAAGTATTTTCGGTCAAGCTGATCCTGGCTACACAGGAGTTGCAGCGGTGGGAACGAGAGGTGGGAATAGTCCCGTTTTGTCCAGCAATGGACGTCATTCGGCTCAAAAAGAATGAAGGAACCATCGAAAGCTGTATTCTACGTACCGGTGGGTATTTTGTCACTTTCTCCATCTGCCGAGTCGTAAGATCGAATCGCACCGTTACTGCTCGACATCTTCAGCAGGGCTGTGGCTACGCTGAGAAACACTTGGTCTATGCCCTGGAAAATAATAAAATTGTTGTTAATTTAACTTTAGCCCTGGCCAGACAGATTGGGTAGGACTGATGTTAGTAGGTCTTCAGATTTAATTAAAACTCACTGGTTGGGTTTCATTGAAGTTTTCTGGCCCAAAGGAGGAAGATCCAGGGAAAGACAAATGAGGTATTTTAAGGCCCTTTTAGACACTAAAAATAAAGGATAAAGTAGCTAACGTAGATAAGGGTTCAAAAGAACTAAGGAGAGAGAGGGGGGGGGGGGTCCTCTCAGTATGCCTTCTTTCTCACCTGATCGCTGTAAAGCCGAGGTCTATTCTTTGCTTCCTATAAGTGTTTCTTTCTCCTAACCTGGTCTTGCATCTCTATTTTCTACTGCGCTTTAGGTAAAAAGGGGTTTTCTCCCTTCTTACTTGCTCGTCCTGATGTCTCGTATCTCTGTCCTTCCTTTCCTCCTCTCTCTCCCTCTCACCTGCTCGAGCAACGGAAGGATGTCTTCTGTCCCTTTCCTGTCCCTACCTGTAACTATTCTCTCTCCCTCTCACCTGGTCGGGCAGCGTCGAGTTCAATCGAGGTCTCCTATATACCCTTCTTGGAGGCGTGGTCTTCTCTCCATCTTTTCTGCTCGTCACTTGAGATGTCTTTTTTTTTATCCACAACGAGGAAGCTCTTGGCCTGTATCTCACCTGATGGTAAGTGACGATCAGGCCGAAGGTGGAAGCGAGCTGCACCCGGAATCCTCAACCACGGAGGAACTGGCTATCTTACCTCTAACTGCCGGAACACAACAATGCTGTTAACATTGTTGTTATGGCGACAGNGCGAGCTTCACCCGGAATCCTCAACCACGGAGGAACTGGCTATCTTACCTCTAACTGCCGGAACACAACAATGCTGTTAACATTGTTGTTATGGCGACAGACTTAGGTAAGATGGTGGTAGCTAGCCAGGCGGACTTAGAACAAGCCCTACCACCAACCAAACCGAAAAATCTGCCCCCACCGGGACCTCTGCGTCTGAAGTAGGTGGTATTACCACTAGACCACAGAGGTGGCCTCCTGTCCCTAGCTGTAATAAATCTCTCTCTCCCTCTCACCTGGTCCCTCAGTGCCGAGGTCTCCCGATACTGTTTTTCTGCCACAGCCAGAGCCACTTTCCTTCTCACCTAATCTTTCAAGGCCGAGGTCTTGCAGTAAGTGTTTCTTTCTTTCCTTCTTAACTGGTTGTCATTTTTGTATAGACACTATAGAGTCGGTCCTTATCTTGCAGTAAGTTTCTTTACTTCCTATCCGGTCTCCTATAGACCCTTGGAGTCTGCGTGATGGGTCTTCTCTCCATCTCTTCTGCTCGTACAAGATTGATATCTCCTGTCCCTGTCCTGTTCTTACATTGTTGCTATCTCTCTCTCTCACTTGGTCGTGCACCGCCGAGGTCTCCTATATACCCTTGGAGGTGTGGTCTTCTCTCCATTTCTTCTGCTCGTCACTGATGTCTCCTGTCCCTGTCCTGTCCCTAGCTGTAACAAATCTCTCTCTCTCTTTCTCACCTGGTCCCTCAACGCCGAGGTCTCCCGGTACTGCGCGCCGATGGAGGCTGCGTACTGCGCCGCTTCCGAGTACGGCACCGCGCGCCGCTCCGACAGGTCGCTCTTGTTGCCCACCACCGACACCAGCGCTTCGGCTCGTTGCTGGGGCATTGGGCTCCACTCTCTAAGTTACCAAAGGCAAATGGAGGAGGCTTACACACTCCATGCTGGCCAAACTAATTCGCATTAGTCGATTTCTGACCCAGAGGAGGGTAGGGGGGCAGCTGATCGAGGGAAAGACACATGAGATACTTTAAGGCAGCCCCCCCCCTTTTAGACACTAAGAACGAAGGATAAAGTAGCTAACTTAGATAAGGGTTTAAAAGAACTAAGGGGGGGGGGGGGTCCTCTCAGTATGCCTTCTTTCTCACCTAGTCGCTGTAAGGAAGAGGTCGATTCTTTGCTTCCTATAAGTGTTTCTTTCTTCTAACCTGGTCTTGCATCGCTAATTTCTACTGCGCTTTAGGTAAAAAGGGGTTTTCTTCCTTCTTACTTGCTCGTCCTGATGTCTCGTATCTCTGTCCTGTTCTTTCCTCCTCTCTCTCCCTCTCACCTGCTCGAGCAACGGAAGGATTCTTCTGTCCCTGTCTTGTCCCTACCTGTAACTAGTCTCTCTCCCTCTCACCTGGTCGCGCAGCGTCGAGGTCAATCGAGGTCTCTTATATACCCTTGGAGGCGTGGTCTTCTCTCCATCTCTTCTGCTCGTCACTGATGTCTCCTGTCCCTGTCCTGTCCCTAGCTGTAACTTGTCTCTCTCCCTCTCACCTGGTCCCTCAACGCCGATGTCTCCCGGTACTGCGCGCCGATGGAGGCGGCGTACTGCGCCGCTTCCGAGTACGGCACCGCGCGCCGCTCCGACAGGTCGCTCTTGTTGCCTACCACTGACATCACCAGCGCTTCGGCTGCTTGCTGGGGCATTGGGCCCCACTGCCCGACTCTTTCTAAGATACCAGAGGCAAATAGAGGAGGCTTACACACTCCATGCTGGCCAAACTCATTCGCATTAGTCGCTTTTTACGAGATCCATAGGAAGAGAGGGTGGTGCCATGGGTGTACCCAGTTTTTGGTCCAGAGGAGCATGACCATCTAATATACTAGAGGCAAATAGAGGAGGTCCACACTACAGGCTGGCCAGACTGGTTGGGGTTGCCTGGTTTTCGCATATTTGTCCCTAAGTCGCCTATTACGACATCCAGGAATCCAGGATGTCAATCTTTGTCGCTATGAAAGTCAATCTTCGGATGGTTCTTACTTACTATAAGCTATAATTGCCTCTTTCTTTCTTATCTGGTCGTGCAAGGCCGAGGTCTTATCCTTACTATGTAACACAAGTGTCTTTTTTCCTTCTTACCTGGTCAGGGTCTTCTATAGGAGGAGATGGAGGCCTCAAGATGGTTCTTGCCGTGTTTCTTTCTCTCTCCCTCTCACCTGGTTAAGCAAGGTTGATATCTTTTGTCCCTGTCCTGATCCTACATGTAACAAACGTCTCTATCCTTCCTTTTCATCTGGTCGATGACGTCTCCTGTCCTTGTCCACCTTATCTTATCACAAATGTTTCTATCTCTCTCCCTCTCACCTGGTCCCTCAGCGCGGATGTCTCCCGGTACTGCGCGCCGATGGAGGCGGCGTACTGCGCCGCTTCCGAGTACGGCACCGCGCGCCGCTCCGACAGGTCGCTCTTGTTGCCTACCACCGACAACACCAGCGCTTCGGCCGCTTGCTGGGGCATTGGGCTCCACTGCACGACTCTTTCTAAGTTACCAGAGGCAAATAGTAACTTAGAAGGGTTGGGGAGACCTGATGTTCGCATGTCTGTCCCTAAGTCACTTTTTACAACATCCATGGGAAGAAAGAGAGGCCCTATTTTTCTTTATTCCTTCTCATCTGATCCTGCAACCCCCGAGGTGTCCTAGGGGCTAATGGATGTAGCTAGATGGTTCTTCCCTTGTTCCAGCTATTTCTATGTGTCTTGCCTGGTTTGTTGCTAGATGCTATGAAAGCCTGTTCTTCAATGGTCCTTACCTGGAGACAAGAGTATTTCTCTTTCCTTCTTAGCTGGTCGTTAAAATGAGTGTTCTTTCTTGCTTTCTCACTTGCTTGCTTGAGCAAGGCTGAGGTCTTCTGTGTCTGTTCTTCTGTCCCTGCCTTTTAACAAATGTTTCTCTCTCTTCCAGTTACCTGGTCATGCAAGGCGGGTTTCGGTTCCTGCTCTCTTTCTGTCCTTAGGTCTTCTGTGCCTGTTCTTCTGTCCTTAGGTCTTCTGTGCCTGTTGTCCCGTTATTATCTTACCACAAATGTTGCTATCTCTCTCTCCCTCTTACCTGCTCATGCAAGGCCGATGTCTTCTATCCCTTTCCTGTCTCTATCATGTAACATAGTCTCCCTTTGACCTGCTCGTGCTAGGTTGATGTCTTCTGTCCCTGTCCTGCTCTTACACTGTAATATCCTATCACTCTCCTTCTCACCTGGTCCCGCAGCGCGGATGTCTCCCGGTACTGCGCGCCGATGGAGGCTGCGTACTGCGCCGCTTCCGAGTACGGCACCGCGCGCCGCTCCGACAGGTCGCTCTTGTTGCCTACCACCGACATCACCATTGCTTCTGCTACGTTGCTGGACAGATAAATTAGAGAGTTAAATTGTGAAGGAATTAAGGCGACAATTGCCTGACAGTGTCACTCACTAGTGCTTCAGCTACGTTGCTGGACAAAGAATTAGTAGCTTAAAGTGAGTGGGATTAAAGGTGATAATAGCCCAACAGAATCAGGCGCTTCTGCTACGTCTGACAGTCGTCAGTGTTGCTTCAGCAATGTTGCTGGACAAGGGATTAGAGAGTTAAATTGTGAAGGAATACAGGCGACAATTGTCTGACAGTGTCAGTAACGCTTCTGCTACGTTGCTGGATAAGAAATTAGTGGCTTAAAGAAAGAAGCAATAAAAAATTGCGCAACAATGTCAGTATCGCAACTGCTTCGAAACAGAATTAGCGGTTAAGAGAGAGGAAATAAAGGTAAACAATGCTGGACAATGTTAGAAGAACTTCCGCTACGTTGCTGGACAAAGAATTTGCGAGTTAAAGAGAGTGGAAATAAAGGCGATGTCTGAGAGTCCTCCGCCTGGACAAGAGCTCCCCTGGCCTACCTGGAAGTCTTTAAATAGACTTCGCACGCAGGTCGGCCGTAGTAAGGACAATCTGTTCAGATGGGGATTCTGAGATGGCTCAAACTTGGAGTGCAAGTGTGGTTTTGTTCTCCAGTCGACGAAGCATATGATGACGTGTCCTGCGTGCCCAAACAACTGCAGGAAGATTTAATGAAGGCTACAGACAACGCCATTCTTGTGGCGGAGTTTTGGGCTGACGCTGTGTAGGTTTGTTGTCGACACTACAAGAAGAAGAAGAAGGCGATAATTGCCATTGTGAACCCACTAACCTAATACAAGCATTATATTAAGGAGAAGTTAACGGGAATGTCGACGACTCGACGACCTCATAAAGGTAGCAGGAAGGCGCTGGATGCAGGCTGCTATCATCCAGTCATTATGGAAATCATTGGGAGAGGCCTGTTTAGCAGTTCCTATGGCCGGGCGATGTGGAAATCAATGGGTGCGGCCTATGTTCAGCAGTGGACGTCCTGTGGCTGAAATGATGATGATGCTCACCTCTGAAGCTCCTTCACCCATCCTTTAATGGCTGCGAAGCTGGCAGCGCTGCTGATGTCGAACACCAAGAGCGCTGCGTTCGCGTTTCTGTAGTACATGGGCGCCATAGCTCTGAATCGCTCTTGGCCTGCCGTGTCCCATACCTGGAAGGATGAAGAGTAGGGTTTCTTTTTTGGTAAGGTGTTTGACTTTACAGGCGTCAATTTCAGTCTGTCACAGAAAGTCTGTGTCCCCCAAAAACCGGGATAAAAACCATTCAAGGCTGGTTGTAGAGTCACGCGGACTGTCAGTGCGGATCGCTACGCACAGCCGATCTGTATGAACTGCTAGGGAGCGAGCGGTTCCTCCGGACCGCATTACTCTAAAACGCTCCCTAGAAATTCATACAGATTGGCCGTGCGGAGCGGGTCCGCACTAGGGCTTGAATACCGGAATTCCGGAATTTCGTAACTCCGGAATTTCGGATACATTTTTTCCGATATTTCATTCCGGAACTGAAGCCAATATCGTATTCCGATATTGAAATTTTTCATAAATTATTTTAAGTTTTCAAAACGTTTAAGTATTAAAATAGGTTCTTAGATAAGGAAGTCCTTGAGATATGTATTCGCAACTTTATTAGTAATAATATTAAAGAGGCAATAGGGCGAAACCAAAGCTCCAAAATGTTCGATAGAGACAACTCTAATGGGCGAAGCCAGCTGAAGAGAGCGGATGATAGAGTAAAACCTGTTTATAGCTCATCCACAGGACAGTTCCAACAGCTAAGCTAACTCGACACTATACCGAAGATTAGCCGGATATCAGCCCTTACGTGATTAGGATGGCTCTCAAATAGCTAAAGAACAACAAGGCACCGGGTGATAACGGAATAACCTCGGAGCTTCTGAACGCGGCAGGTGATAAGCCGATACTGAAAGTCCTTCATAGACTGTAACTCCGTCTTACTCCAGGGAATAATGCCAGAGGCACGGAACAAATGCTTGGTGGTGTTTTTCTTTAAGAAAGGGGTAAAAGCCTTATTAAGGAGAAAGGATAATTACAGACCCATCTGGGTTCTGACTCTGAGTCATGTCTACAAGCTGTTTTTGAGAGCCATCACGAATAGTCTCGCGCGTAGGTTCGAGGAAGCCAGTTATCGAAACGTTTACATTACCATATACCGCATCTAAACGCTACGGCAGGTTATACAGAAGACCGAAGAGTCTAACTTGCCTATATGCTTGGCGTTCTTAGACTTTGAGAAGGTCTTTGAGCCTGGCTGAACACGAGGGCGATTCCTCTGCGATTCCTCTGCAGCGAGCTGTGAGGCAGGGAGTCGAATTCAACTCGGCTGGGCAGCGTTCGGGAAACTACATAACATCTTTTCGACCAAAACACTTCAGTGCCTAAAGACGAAAGTCTACAATCAGTGTGTGTTACCAGTAGTGATGACACACGGTTCGGAAACGTGGCCTCTTACTATAAGGCCTTATAATAAGCTCAAAGTTGCACACCATGGTATGGAGAGTGCTATGCTCGGTGTTTCTTTTCGAGATCGAACCAGAAATGAGGAGATTCGTAAACGAACTAAAGTTGCCTGACATATAGCGATCGGATTACCAAGCTAAAGTGGCAATGGGCAGGGCACATAGTACGTAGAACAGACGGCCGATGGGGCAAGGTTCTAAAGTGGAGGCCACATACGTGTACCTACGTGTTTGTCGGGAGGCGCTTTCTTTTTTTAACCAACTCCGGAACTAGAACCGGAATTCCGGAGTTGAGTGCCCAATATCGGAAATCAGTTCCGGAGTTGAAATATATCCGATATTGCAAGCCCTAGTCCGCACCGGACGGTCTGCGTGATACTAAAACCAGCCTAAGTCTCAAAATAAATATCTGTAAATCTTTTAAGCCTGTAACAAACAAACAAACATTCCACTTTTCACAAAACTACTCAGATACGAATTGGCGGGCAGCGAGAAGCGAAAGAAGGTCGTTCTCTCTTGGCTATTGTTAGAGCCATGTCTGGTCTGGACTATCTTCATCTAGTCATTTAGTCTCCATTGCAGGAGCAAACCCCTTACTAGCTCACTGGAGGCAAATAGAGGATATGACTACTCCTCGCACCTTTGTTTGTCACCTGTCATACGCTTTGCAATGGAGGGAAATGGAACCTTAATTTCGAACTCCTCCTATGTTCTTCTGATTAATTTCGTTGCGGGTCCAATGACAGTTTAACTTTCCCCCGGGACAAACTTGACCTTCATTGGTTGGGTTTTTGTGGCGGTCAAGCTGTAGATCCTGGCTACACAGGAGTTGCAGTGGTGGGAACGAGAGGTGAGAATAGTCATCTACTCCTCGCATTGTCCAGACGGGTTAAAGAGGACTGATTTTTGCTGAAAAGGAGTTGTAATGAGGGCTATCGTTTTTATACTTAACAGTTGGCACCCCTGGCGATTGACAGGACCTTACTCTACAGTGGCGCCATCTTGATGAGTGCAAATGCGATAGTCCTCCTACCACTTTCGCGCTCACCAGTTGGCGCCACTGTCTTCGCGACTAGCAAGTGACAGGACCTTACTCTACAGTGGCGCTAACTGGTGAGCGCTAAAACGATAGCCCTCATTATCCCTTCACCGCTTGGGGAAATCGTCATTTAGTCTCCACTGCAGGAGCACCAATTTAAGCTAGCTTCTCTAATTTACCAGAGGCTGGAGAATTTGGCGTGTTGGGGAGGCCAGATGTTTTCGTATTTATCTCTGAAATGATCTCCCTCATTCTGGCTAATAAGGAGTTGTAGTTGCTTCTTCACTCGTTTAGTCTCCATTGCAGGGGCAAGACCCACTTTAGTTTATGGTAGATTTGGCCTTCACTCCCATAAAACGTAATCCTTCGATTGTTTTCTTTGTCTTATCATTAATTTTATCGCATGGGCGAATTGCAGCGCGATTTCCGCATATCAAAGTAAAGGATTTAGCCAAATCTGGCTTTATGTTATCGCTGCGACAAACAAAAAGAAAATGCTTGTGTTTTACCGAAATTCCAGATTTAGATAAAGCAAGGCCGTATGTTATTAGTACAAATTTGATTGGAATGAAAATGGGGAAGTAGTTTTACTTTTTTCATGGTCTTTAAGTCCTGAAAGAAGACACACCCCTGCAACTCCTATGTAGCCAGGATCTACAGCTTGACCGCCAATAGAAACCCAACCAGTGAAGGTCAAGTTTGTCCCGGGGGAAAGTTAAACTGTCATTGGACCCGCAACGAAAGTAATCAGAAGAACATAGGTGGAGTTTTCCAGGGCCAACTCGTCTTCTTTGGGCAATATTATGTAGGTTTGTGTACATACCTGTAGCTTCACCCTTGCATCATCCACGCTGATATTGCAGGTGAAGAAGGAAGCTCCGATGGTGGGTGAGATGTGCTTGGAGAACATTTTGCCGATGTACCGAACCACCAGGCTGGTTTTCCCTACTCCTGGAATAGAAGGAGATATTTTTATAGCATTTTTGTAACCACAAGCAGGAAAAACTAATAACCGATATAGCCCGCAGAATTGCCAAACTTATTTGAATTGCAAAGATGATGGCCGTTGGGACAGTTCTCGAGTAGACCATGGGCCGGAACCGAAAAACGTAGTGTGGGCAGGCATTAAGTGGGGGCGTGTTGGGTCCCGCCGTGTAGGGCGGGACGTCCGCGGAAGGCGCCTTGGTCGTTTCTAGTACCCAAGGCGCCGACCACTATGCGGCAGAGGGAACACCCCAGGTTTTTAGTGGGTTCGAACCTCACATAACCTGCCGTCCCCCGGCGGTAGGTATGGATAGGCCATTTTCCTGGGTTAAAAAAAAGCTGAGCCTGGATGCGAGCAGCGCAGGATCGATTGTTGTGAAACTTTTTGTTATTTATTTAGTTTTTGCAATCGTTTCTCTCACTTAGACGGCGGTGCTACTGTTCATCCGATACATTCGATAAGGCTTGTCAACACGCGGCTTAAGGGCCGATTAGATATAGTATAAGCAATAGACGGTAGATAAAACACTTACTTATGCCGATAAAGTTTTTAAGATAATACATTCATTGAACTTGAAACAACTTAGCTAAGTCTTTTTGACACTATGCTTCCGCTGTATTTGGGAAAATATGATTTTTTTTCTTTGTTTCTTTTTCTTGTTTGTTTTAGACAAACATGACAATGTCATCGTCATCATCATCAACAGCCTTTTACAGTCCACAGCTGGACTATGAGCCTCCTCCACTATAGTGGAGCGTTTTGCCATAATCCCCACGCTTGGCAGGCGGGTTAGAGATCGCACTTTAAATGATTGATGTTTTTCAGAGAGCGCTGCTGCCCGTTCTACTACATGACAATGTGTGAGTGTATATTTAAGTTTTATTTCATCATCATTTTCAGCCACAGGCCGCCCACTGCTGAGCATAGGCCTCCCCCAATGATTCCCAGATTTTTGGTAGCGGCCTGCATCCAGAGCCTTCCTGCTACCTTTACTAGGTGTGTTAACCTTGTGGGTGGTTTTGTTGGATGTAATTTCTGGAACTCGGAAATTGACATGACGACGCTCGACATGCTCGACGGTTTAGCAAGCTGAAGTGGCAATGGGCAGGGCACATAGTAAGCAGAACTGACGGCCGATGGGGCTGCAAGGTTCTGGAGTGGAGGCCACGTACCGGAAAACACTGCGTGAGACGTACAAAAAGGTGGACCGACGACCTCATAGTAGCAGGGAGGTGCTGGATGCAGGCTGCTACCAAGCGGGCGATATGAAAACCATTGGAGGAGGCCTATGTTCAGCAGTGTCCTTTGGCTGAAATGATGATGATAATGAGGGTTGGACATAGTGCAATCCGCTTTTAATTTAAGTAAACCTGGTTTTTGTTGAAGGTCATTGAATGTCAGACACCTAAATGATGACTCAATTAAGTCATCCATTTGTCAATATTGATTACAGATAACGATATTGATTTAGCTGCATGATCGATAGATTGTTTTATCGTTAAGTTTATACACAAGAGTTCTGTCTGCAATGAGTTTTTAGCACGTAAAGTTGTATCATCATCATCAGGTCATTTAGTCTCCACTGCAAGCGCATGACGACCTTTTCTTATTTAACAGGATTTGGCCTACTCTCACGCTGGCCAGACGGGTTGGGAAGGTTTGACGTTCGCATATTCGCAGGGACAAACTTGACCTTCATTGGTTGGGTTTTTATGGCGGTCAAGCTGTAGATCCTGGCTACACAGGAGTAGCGTGTTGGGAAAGAGAGGTGGGAATAGTCCCGTTCGCATATTCGCCTTTTCACGTTAAGAGTGGGGGTGGGTGATGCTATTATTCTCAGCCGAAACCACACGGTACTAAGTTATTGTACCGTGTCTGCCGTTTGGTGTAGTGGTTCGAAACGGAATACTATTTCGGAGGTAGCGGGTTCGATTCCCGCACAGTACAAACATTTGTGTGCATGAACATATTTGTTTGTATTGACTGGGTGTTTTCTATGTATAATAAGTATGTATTTACAAAAAAAAAGTATTTAAGTATGTTTATATCCGTTGTCTAGTACCCATAGTACAAGCTTTGCTTAGTTTGGGACTAGAAGCGCAGTGTAAAATGTCTAAGGATATTATTTATTTATTTATTATTTATTGTTACCTAAGTTATACCTTCGTTTAAATTGTTGAAAAGCAGGAGACAGATGACTGAACAGGTATTTGAACTTTTATAAGAATTAAATTATGTGTAACCTTGGGTTTAAGGGGGATGGAAGTACGAAGATAACTGTAAAGCTTTCGGTTTCCGGCTCGAAGGACCATAAACTGGGGCTGCGGGTAGGGTTGCCAGGTCCAAAAACACAAAAGCCGGACTCTGTGCTTCATTTGGCCGGACATTTTACCCTAAAAGCCGGACAGTGAAATGCCGGGGGGTGCAATTAGTGTCATAGCTCACGAGTGAGTACTATCAACATCGGTTGCCTAACATCCTGATGCGTGCGCTTGATATTATTCTGTAGCTCGACTTTCACCTGGCGCGGCAGCCACATAAAAAGCCTAACAAACGCCGGACAGGCTGGACAAGCCAATATTTGGCCGGACAAGATCGTAAAAAGCCAAACATGTCACATCTGGCAACCCTAGCTGCGGCGGGATGCGTAAAAAGTATTTTCGTACACGTCAATTTTTTAAAGAAAACGGATCTTAGCTATCCAACCTGCGCTAGTTTTTCTAGGTGCCCACTGAACTATGACTTGGGTTACATGAATGGTACGTACCGGTGTTGGGTTTCAGCAAGGCTGGTTCACGCTCTAACAGACACACGGCTTATGTACTTAGAATTTCGTACTTTGAGGCGTTTTCGTAGAGTTTTTCTATTGTTATATTCTGCTTCGACTATTGATCTACGGATACGTATTGAAATCAAATTCTTTCTTTTCAAAGCATACACGGGGACAATATTATCGGATGGTTCGTTCGTTCGTTTCAGCCGAATGACGTCCACTGCTGGACAAAGGCCTCCCTCAAGGTTTTCCATAATGAGCGGTCCTGCGCTGCCCGCATCCAGGCTCTTCCCGCGACCTTTACCAGATCGTCAGTCCACCTAGTAGGAGGCCTGCCCACGCTACATCGGATGGTGTTGAGATTGAGATCAAATTGGTGGATTTTTTGTTATAAACTAATGTTGATTTACCTTGACTGTGATCTGTTACTAGACTAGGGGCAAAAAGATTTTAAGATTTTGAGACTTTGGCAACCAGCAAAAGGGCAACAAGGGACCTTTAAGTTTATTTTTATTGGACGATTATTATAATTAGGACACAAGTTACAAGGGCAACAAAGGATATTGGTTCAAGTTTTATTGGTCCTTGATTTTTTTATGATTTTCAAACATGTTCTTTGCTTTTAAAATCTGTGCCAAAAAACTAGCCGACTCAAAGTCAATCTTTGGACAATTTACCTACATGCATTGATGTATCCTTCATATGAATTCGATAACTGATGCAACTGCTTATCGTACAAAGATAATGAATCAGAGCGTGCAGCCGGTGCATCGAGTGTTTACAAAGATAACTTTAACTACCTAAACGAGGTAATGTTTAGCAACATTGTTTTGACTTTAGTTGGGTTGACCTTAAGCTTCAACCACACCAACTTTGCACGCAAATCGCCATCGCCGGAGCGATCATAGGCCAATGACAGATCGCGCGACCCATGATAGTCTTCGCGACCTGTCATTAGCCTATGACAGAGTAAATACAAATGAGTAGGTCAGCTTCATAGAACCGCACCGAGCGCGGTTTGTCGGCGCAACACCCCGCTAATCCACGCTAAATTTTGCCAGTGTGTGCGTGCGCGCCGCATACGTATTGGCGCGCTCACATGCAAACCGCGCTCGGTGCGTTTCTATGAAGATGACCTACTCATCTGGGGGCGCGGCAGTGCCCCCACCAAGTCGAGCAAAAAAGCGGCACGGCCGTACCATCCTTTTCTCGAAGCAATTCAGGCCATTTTCGACCGCCTGTAACTTCGTTGTGGATAAAACTAGAAGGCTGAATTTTCATTAGCTATGCAGGCATTGTAAAGACACGGTATATTTAAAATTTCATTCAATTTGAACCAGTAGTTTAAGAATTATAACGGGTCAAAGTTACTTAATTTTGTCACTCACTGACTCACTGACTCACTGACTGACTCACCGATCATCAAAATTCTAAGGCACTTCTAGCAGACCTAGAAGCTTCAAATTTGGAATATAAGTAGTGTTTGGTGTATGAATCAAGGAAAAACTAAAATATTTGGGGGCACGGTAGTGCAACCGCCAAGTCGAGTAATTAAAGATTTCCTGGCCTGGACTTGGTATTACATGGATCTCACAACTTTTTACCGTAGAACAACTGAGTTGCGAGACTTGGTTTTTTTGACAAGTATTGTTTTTGATGGGTTTGTATTTACTCTGCCTATGATCGTGCCGGCGATGCCGATCTGCACGCGTTGGTGTGGTTGAAGTATTAAACGCATTGGTCGCCATCGCGCACGCAGGCTGATCGCATCGGTTTGGCCGAACCTTAAGAAACGAGGTAATGTTTAGCAACATACTTTTGACGTAATTGGGCGATCAGTTGACATGTCAAATGTCAACTGATCGCCCAATTACGTCAAAAGATTTAGAGATTCCTACTGACCTAAAGCTTGTTTTTGTTTTGTTTTTTTTTATAACACGGTAACCTCTCGTGGGTTAGCTTAAAAAAACATGCTTTTGTCACGAGTGGGTTCACTATAATAGTCCAGCGGCGGCGGAGTTTGAACCAGCATTCCTCGGATCTCGAGTCGGCTAGTTTGTGAGTTACAGCTTCACTGTTGGGCTATAGTCGCCATCAAGTGAAGTCAATAAATGTTATACTTTTCCCTTGTCTCAGCCTACAGAGTAATGGGGAGAAAGGATTATTCTCCCACTTGCTCTCTGCTGCACCCTTCTGTAAGATGATGCTGTGCGTTGACCAGGCTTGGCAGCGAAAGGTCCACAACCACAACCATAGTGATAGAACCTCTCTTTCCTAGCTCCTAAAATGTGCCCAACAGTGTTCACAACACTGGTTTTCATCTAAAATGTAGCATCTCATGTAATACGTTATGGTTTTACAATATTGAGTATGAACACTAGGTGAACCGAAGATCAGGTGAAGGTCGCGGGAAGAACCTGGATGCGGGCAGCGCAGGACCGGTCATTAAGGAAATCCTTGGGGGTGGCCTTTGTCCAGCAGTGGACTTCATTTGGCTGAAACGAACGAACGATTGAGTATGGAAAAGAGTCATAATTATCACAATCTACTGTGTAATTATTATCTTAAAATGTAAGCAATTCTATCGCATATTTATAAATTAATCAATCAAAATAGGTATTATTCTAAAGCTAGGTGCTTTAAAATGACAGAGTGCGGATAATATGTAATTATAAAGTATTTAACCATGAGGATATGCCGACGATATACACCTACCTAGAGTGATACATTACAATACAATGTATTGTTAATTTACTAATTACAATGATAAGTGTGTCCTTACATACCGATAGCTAGTAGGTATTTAATAAGGAAAAGTTCGTTATTAATATAATAATGATTCAATGCTATGAATATCTAGCTTTTAACTGGTATTTGTGTAATTATTTTAAGTACTAAACGCAATAAAGGAAATGTTAATTACCTAGCTTATTTCCTGTTTTTATTTATATCTGACTTACTAGACTGCTAAAGAGTTTGTTTGCTTGAACGCGCTAATGTCAGGAAGTTCTGGTCCGTTTTGAAAAGTTATTTTCGTGTTGGATAGCCCATTCGAAGAAGGCTTTAGGCTTATTTCCTATAGGGGTGAAGCAGTAAAGAAGAATGTTGCAAAAACGGGAAATATTATTCAAACTATTTTCACGCGTACGTAGTCGCAGGCACAGCTATAGATCGTTTCATCCACGAAGACGCGCCCCACCATTCTTCCGCTAATGTTTGAGTGTTATCGGTACACGCTAATTATATTATCCATGAGTGCACACGCACACTACAATAATGACGCTCGGATTGCTCGGATCAAACTCCCCGCACCCTGCCCTTCCCTTGACCAAAATTGGTGGGGCGCGTCTTCGTGGATGAAACGATCTATAATCAATGATATGGATATTCTAATCACCATCACCGCAGCATGTACCTATATTGATCCTGTAATAGAATCGCGCGTTTAACCTCAATTAGTGAAGCTGCCAATCATTATTGTGGATTGTGGACAGTGTTGATGGGTCAACGAGCATCAACGCAAATGATACGCTTCAAGGCCGGTAAACTATTGTTGTCATTTAGAAGGCTTCTTTAGCCGCAATTTGCTAATTGTGATGATTAGATTTTAGTTTGATGACATGGGAGAGGTGTAAAGTTTAATGATCTAATGATCCATAAAGTGAAGAGAAGATCTATCTAACTGATAGCAGGAGAGAAAGTGTGAGAAGATAAAGATGTAGGATGTCTATCAGCTATTTGGACTGATGACGTAGAAAGCTGGCAGACAGCGGCTGATTAAAATACGAAGAGCCAGGGACTCACTCTCGGGGATAGAGCTCTTCAGTTTTTCGGATTAATGATCTTTTTATGAGATGAAAGGGGACCCTTTTATCTAGAGTAGGTTAAGAATTATTCAGAATTTCTTCTTTAGATGGGATTGAGCCCAACAAATTTCACGCTACACCACCATTTCTAAGTTGTGGGCCTTGTGGCACACTTGTGGGGTCCTAAGGCAGGCACAATTACTGAATGATGATGATCCTAATGTGTTGCATTCAGCCACCCATTACTATAACGCTGTTGCGCTGGTTCTCTAGGCTCCAAGACCCAGTTCCCACCACAGTGGAAAGAAGAGATGTGAATAACCAATCATATTTCGTGATTTCCCCATCTCCTTTCCGCTTTGGTGGAAACCAGGCCTAACGTAGAGCTGACACTAATTACTATTATTCAAGTCGATTAACTCTGAATTTAAAGTGAGCACTTCGCGCAAAATTCAACCATTATCGCTTCGAAATCTTACAAAGGTCGTCCGCGCAAGCGACCGAGACTATCGGTCAATTTATGAATTGACCGGTTCCCATAATTGGCTATGGTTAGGGTTCCATAGACAGTTTGACCGTTTTCTACAGACATGAAGATATAATGTGCCCGCGACTTCGTGAAAAACGTTTTGAATTTTTGTCCCGTTTTCGCATATTTTCTGGTCGTGGGTTCGATTCCTGCTGCACTGCTGAACATAGGCCTCCCCCAATGACTTCTACATCGCACGGTTGGATAGCGGCCTGCATCCAGCGCCTTCCTGTGCTACCTTTATCAGGTCGTCGGTCCACCTTGTGGGTGGACGTCCCACGCTGCGTTTTCCGGTACGCGGCCTCCATTCCAGAACCTTGCTGCCCCATCGGCCGTCAGTTCTGGGTATTATGTGCCTTGCCCATTGCCACTTCAGCTTGCTAATCCGTCGGGTTATGTCAGCGACTAGTTCGTTTACGGATCTCCTCATTTCTGATTCGATCTCGTAAAGAAACACCGAGACTAGCCCTCTCCATAGCACGCTGTGCAACTTTGAGCTTCTGTATAAGGCCTAGTAAGAGGCCACGATTCCCGCCTTAGGCAGTTCGATTTTTTCAAGTTTTTTTTTTTGAGAAGCGTCTAATAGGTAAGAAATTTTATTAATGTAGAATGTTTCTTATTATCTTTTGAGAAACAAGAAACAACCAAATAGCTTCCTATATTACACCCTGATAGATATCTATGTCTAACCAAGATTAAAAATTCTGTTATTGATGCACTAAGATTAACAATCTGCTACAGAATGCATGGTAGGTAGTTACCTAGGTACCTACCTATTGATTGTGTGAATAGATCCTGACCTAAACCTAGATATTAATTCATGCCTAAACCCAGGCAGGTAATCAAGGATGTTGTTCAAAGCTATAAATTTAAAAGGTTTTATAAACAATGTTTACTTTTAAGCCTAGGCGCAGACCACCAACTTTTAGTTGGCTGATAGTTGGGCCCGATTATGAAGAATCGGCCGAAGGCAAATCGGTGTAATGTTTGCGCACTTTCATACATACCCATACTGATTCCCTGCCCGATTGGACTATCGGACTTTATTTTCTGTTGTATGGAAAAATCTACCCATTTATAAATAATCAAATAATTATGTTATTATAAATAATATGCTAGTTAGTACAATATTAATAGGTAGGTTTAAAATAAGTAATGATAAGTAACTAATTGCTTGCATAATTTAATTTTCCTTGTCATCTGTGTAGATAATGTTACCGGTTGAGATTGAACTGCATTTGTTAAAATAGTTTATTAGTTATTTTTAAACTTTTAAGCCTAACAAACTAAGAAATGATATTACTTGTGCGAAAAGCTGGCTGGACCAATTTTAGCACTTAAGGACTCGCTAATGGGTCCAACGGACCCAGTACTTAAATTTTTGTGTAATAACTCTTAAAGTTTGACGTTTGCGATGTTGTCGCTCTTAGTACCTTTCCACGACATTGTAGCACAGCTAATAGCGGTCATAATCGTCAAATAGCCCACTGCAGTGATTGCTACAGACGAAAAATGTGTTTTTGAGTCTACTGGACCCGGTAAACAAAGTGAATTTTTTAATGTTTTATAGTAATTTCTCATTAATGGTCAATTGGTATAAGTAGACAAATCATAGTAGTTTACGAAAATAAACAAGGTATTCTTTTAAATAATTAATTACAGAAATTTTCAAAACTAACCTTCATTTTGCCAAAAAACCTTAAATTTTTTAAATAAGTTGTTATTTTAGAAAAAGGCAATAAATATGACTATTTGGTTTATTATTTTGTCTTTGTTTATATCATATTATCCTTCTAATAAAGTAGTTTTAAATTTTATTAAGAGTTTTTGAAAAATACATAGGATTTTATATACTGGGTCCAGCGCACCCGGTAGCGAGTATGAATGTTACAAATTAAGGCGCGAGTCCTCAAGTGTTAATGGAATGAAATGAGGATTGCCTACCTACCTAAGTAGGTCTTAGAATACCTATAAAACTTTTTTTATAGGTCCATAGTGAATACACTAATATTTTAAAGACGAAGGAAAGATTTGATTGTTTGTATTGAATATCCAAAACTACTGGACTGATTTGAAAAATTCTTTCACCACTGTAATCCTACATTATTATTTCTGATGAATAAAGGCGGTACGAAGTTCGCCGGGTCAGCTAATAAGATATAGTTGGCAACTTGGCAAGGAAAAGTTAGTTAAGTAATACTTTTTTGCTATTTTAAGGTATTGGTTACTGGTTATTAAAAGTGGAACGAAAAACAAAAGAAAAGTTCCAACTTAAATAATGATGATGAATACCTACTGACAAATTAAGTACCTAATTGGTAATTTAACAAGTTTGAGCATGAATTAAACATTTTTATGTCACTAGTTCAACTTTTTAAACCGGTTTCCGAACATGCCGAATTGCCGATTCGTTTTGTAACTTCTCGCTAAGTCGATGTTTGATTGTATAACAATTTCACTATTTTCATACCGTAGAAATATTTTATTGATGATGAAATACACTTACTTAACTTCTAATCAGTTCTGAAACATCCGGGCAGTGAATTTCCAGTTTTTAAATTAAAAATAAGCGATTGCAATCTCACCTTGTGATCCCAAAACAACGATTTTTGCTTCAATGACCTTCATTTTTGTTCACAACTAAATAACATTAATCACAGCACGATTAATAAACAAATTAACATCGTTAAACAAAGAAAACAAAACAAAAAACTAAGTAAACAAAAGTCACATCTCCACTTCACGGCAGCAAAACGATTACTAAAATATAAAACGTACAAATTAAAAGAGTTCATTTTTGTCATACAAGTAATTTAAAATGATACCATTTTTATTTGGTCGAATAACACACCTGATAAAACTGACAGAAAAGCGACATCTAGTTAGGGCAACCAACTCATGTAACTTAATAATGGGAATTAAAAACAGATGGCAGTGTTAGCGCTAGCCACTTTTACAACGCCATCTGTTTATCATTGTAAGCATGCCAAAAAGCATCCTTTAGTTGTTAAGTTAAAATAAAGATGGCGCTGTAGAACAATTATTATAACCAAACGCTGCGTAATGTTGAATTAATTATTACATTTTTTGGGAAAATTACGCTGAAAATGGTTGAAGAAGAAAGTCAAAATAATATGAGACTGCATTGAAGAAGGCTTTATGTCTTACCGTAAAGTAGGTATAGTTCCAAAATACTGGACTGTCCTGTCGATGACATTGACAGTGGGGCGCCACCGTCAATACCGGATCGCTGGTTCAGATTTTTGCCATGTTGGAAACCATATAGTTGAACGATGGTAGCGCCCCCCTGTCATTGAGTTTGGCGGGACAGTTCAGCATGGGTCATCTATACCTACTTTACTTACGTAACGTCCCATTGGCCCCAATGGTTAAAATTCACAAAATACGAGTAAATAAGTTTTGCAAGAATGAAATATATAATTATGAAATTTTTTCGCAATGATACAATAAATACCCTCTTTTTTATAATCAAAAGTTTAGTTACTAATTAAGATTATTATAATATTTAATCTGTTACAACATTACACAATGGGAAAGTTATTTGGTAATTAAGTGACTTGATGAGTTATAATAAAATTTTTATTACCACTTCAAGTAAGTACATAACTTAAAAAGCGATTTTTATGGCATCAAGGCCGAAACCCTGCCATTTATTGGCAATCACCATAATATTTCCCATAAAACTACGAACCACAGATCATAAAGTGGGATAGTAAAATGTGTAGATCGCAATTATTTATGGATTTGGTCTAGTAAACGAGAAATAGCCGCTTGACCTGGTGGTTGGAGTGAAAATGCGGGTTCGACTCCCGCTGGGGACAAAATGTCTGTAATAATATTATTCACCTTGCCTAAGTATCATCGTCATCATCGGTCATCATTTACGCCCGTATTCACAATCGATGCTTGCTTAAGTGAAACAGCAAATCGAACGCACAGCGTTGAATAGAGCTCTGTGATTGGTTTGCAAGTACCCTGTGCGTCCACGCGCACTATGAGACCTCATAGTAATGTGTGTGAATACGGGACTTACTTACTTATGCCCGTTTTCACCATCAATCTCTAATTTTTAAGTGACCCCTATGGTAACTTAACAGGCATTTTGTTTTATAGGGGTCACTTAAAAATTAGGGATTGATGGTAAAATAGGACATTAGTCTCCACTGCAGGAGAACGACCTTCTCTAAAATAAATGCAAAAGGGAGGATTTGGTCTACACGCAAAGTTTAGTAAGTTATTTTGACTCTGTAAAGAAAAACATAATGTAGGTATGGTGTTTTTCATTTCTATCTCAGATTTTTATAGCAATTTTATAACATACAAATTCAGTCATTAAGTTGTTTTTAACCAAGTTTGTCTCAATAAAACACAATTTTACTGATAATTTTTATGGCATGAAAAACAAAGAGGCGGGAAAAATAATCCAAGATGGCCGATTTGTGCTCGCTTTCCCGGGGATTTCTGGCGCCATTACAATATTGACATCTGCCATTTATCTATTGCTGTTCTTACAAGGCTTAATTCAAGCGTGATAGGGTCGCTTTTAGCTTGTTTCGTGGCAGCGAAATTTTTGTTTTTGTAAAGGAGCCCGCCACAAGTCAAGTTGCAAATCGGGAAACATTATACAGATTAAATTTTCTAGGAACTATACAACGCGATCTAACCAATTTTTTTTACATAACAAAGATTTTTTTATGACGTAACTTAACTACTTACGTAACTACTCGATTTTGAAAAATTCGATCATCATCATCATCATTTCAGCCATAGGACTTCCATCCACCACTGCTTAACAGGCCTCCCCCAATGTTTTTTTTTAATTACCGATTTGTAGCGGCCTACATCCAGTGCCTTCCTGCTACCTCTTTATGAAGTCGTAGGTCCACCTTGTGGGTGGACTTTGCTGCCCCATCGGCCGTCAGTTCTGTGTCTATATGCCCTGCCCATTACACTTCAGTTTGCTAATCAGTCGGGCTATGTCAGCGACTTCAGTACCTCTAGTACGAAAAACTTTCGAGTTCGTTTCGTTGCGTATTCAAAGTGTCATCGAAAAATTTTGTATGAAAAATTAAACAGCGCCCCCTAGGGCGGCTATAATATAGGGGGCGCTGTTTAATTTTTCATACAAAATTTTTCGATGACACTTTGAATACGCAACGAAACGAACTCGAAAGTTTTTCCTACTAGAGGTACTGCTAGCACGAACANCATCGAAAAATTTTGTATGAAAAATTAAACAGCGCCCCCTAGGGCGGCTATAATATAGGGGGCGCTGTTTAATTTTTCATACAAAATTTTTCGATGACACTTTGAATACGCAACGAAACGAACTCGAAAGTTTTTCCTACTAGAGGTACTGCTAGCACGAACAACTTTCGAGTTCGAATCGTTTGCGTATTCGAATTGCCATGAAAAGATTTAGTACGAAAACTACAACAGCGCCCTTGTGAACGTGTCGTAAAGTGATCTTAGTATGAGAAATGGTTGCACGAAACTTATTTTGAAATCAAAATTGTCACGTTATTGTTTAATTCGAAGGTTGAGTATCGAATTTTGTCGAATACGCAAACGATTCAAAGACGAAAGTTGTTCATGCTAGAGCAGCAGTTGGTTTACGTATTTTCTATTAATTTCATACTTAACTTATGGACATAGTGTACCTTTTAAAATGAAACTTAACTATAGATAAGAAAAACACAGAATCATTTGCCTGCATAAATGATTCTTAGTACCTACTTCAATATAAAACTAACTCAATATTGGTGACTTAACAAAAATCTGTAACGTGGTTTTATCCACTCCATACAGTTACCCACTCAATGGCAGTCCCCCAAGAAATCTCGTCGAATCCGATCTTTTACATACATACAAAGCTGTTTTACATAAAAAAGCAATTGGCCTAACATATACAGCAGTTAACTTACGAAATCGACTGCTAATAAATTACTTCAATGGAAATCGTTTAGCTTTTGAGTTAACGGACGAGTTTAAACTGTCAGGGTCTCGGATTGTAATGGAATTATATTCCAAACTGCCTTGCCTTTATTAGGTTTAGTAATAGATAGTCGGTGGACTGACGACCTACTGAAGGTTGCGGGAATCACTGGATGTGGGCAGCGCAAGGCCGGACGTTGTGGAAATCCTTGAAGGAAGCCTTTCAAGTCCAGCAGTGGACATCTTTTGGCTCAAACGATTGAATTTAATTTTTATTTAAGCAGTTCTCTGAACGGAGATTTTGTAAATAAGTTGATGTTAAAATAAATAAGAATCATTCTAATCGATTTTAAACAGCGGCAGGTTGAATCAACCTGATTCTTCGAAAGAAAAAGTAACTTATTCACGTCGAAGGAGTCATTTAGTAAATTATCCTTGTTAATGCAAATTACTATTACAAATAAGAAAGACTGCAATAAAATCAAGTGATTTTTTCATCTGTTATTGGCCATCACCATAATATACAAACATTATTCTTCTAAATAGCTACGAACGAGGCGAAGGCAACATGCCCACTCAGCCTCGCAACAAATCGCCCGAAAAACTTTATGATACATTATCCGAATTACAAGGGAGGGTATAATCTGTACAAATATGTTAAGCACTATGTAAGAAATGGGACTAATTTAGATAAAAGCCCGCGAAATGCGGACAAAGTGGTCGTAACGCGAGAGTGCCGATAAATTCGCAGCGCCATCTGTAAATGGGTTCCATGTATTCATGAGGCTGGCTAGATGGCGTTAGTGGGCATTAATCCGCGTTCCAAAATCAAATGCTGTGCAAATAAAGGGTATTGTAGGATGTTGATTTGGGATTTTGGGTGAAAGTAAACAGTCGTCTTGTGAATTCCCAATGGAAATGTGATTGTCTGTTAATTATTGAGTGGGTTTATTGATTTTGCCTCGCAAAGTTACCTACTCGTTAAATACCGTCTATACCTTGGAGTATGAGTACCTATTCTTTGGTCTATACCTACTTACCTACATACACCCATATGGCTTAGTGGTTGGAGTTGGTCCAGGTTAGACACACAAAAATAAATAGATCCTACAGCGTACTTCAGCTTGACGTGCTGTAGTCCTACTTCAAGCTGAGCATGCATACGACAAGCAACGCACATAATCTAGAAACTAAGTAGCATCACATAACCTTGCCCCCGCAGGGTAGGTATGCAATTTCATTTTTTTTCCCGAAAAAAAAGGGTACTATGTTAGAACAAAGTAATTCGTCTATTTATTAGACTAAGGTCTGACTGAAACGTAATTAATGACGAATAAACTGGAGTGCGTCAGGAGCACATTTGTAGCTTTTACAGACAGGCGTTTAATTCAAATCCTTTACAAGTATTAGCCATGGTGTCCAGACGACCTCATAAAGGTAGTAGGAAAAGGCGCTGGATGCATGCTGCTACCAACCGGGCGATGTGGAAATCATTGGGGGAAACCATGTTCAGTACTGGACGTCCTGTGCAGCTGTGGCTAAAATGATGATGATGTAGTAGACGTTTTTAGATGTAGGAAATGTAGGTACATACTTTTACACGTCCCAAATATATAGCTCATCCTACCACCACTTCGGGACACATATTGGCTGGTGCTGAGAAGATGTGGCTGAAGAACATCAGTCACCTTTGTCAGCCAAGTTAATGACGAATAAACTGGAGTGCGTCAGGAGCTCGTGTTATGAGTCGTTGAGCTCGTCCTTGCGACGATGGCTGTTGTCCCGCGG